TGCCCCATAGCCTCTGGGTTGGCCTGAGGTCCACTTGTGCAAGTTGAGTCAGTAACTAACAGAAACAGCGCTTGCTCCCAGCTGGCCCTTCCACGGTCATCTTTGTGGACCTGTACAGCCACCTCAGGAGGCAGAGACCATTATCATCCCATTCTAGAATGCTCTGGTGCAAATGATTCAACTGAGGTCGCGCAGGTAGAAGTGGACGAGCTGGAACTTGAACCCAGACAGCCTTGATCCAGAGCCCAGAGCCCGAGCTGTGCTTTTCAGCTGCTAAACTAGCGCCTGACACAGACTTGGGGCCAGATCCTCCTGCCTCTTACTCTGTGTCTCTCAGCAAGCCATTGACCTTCTCTCACCCTCAGCTGCCTCATTCGAAAAGGGATGATTACCGCTTCGACAGCACAGAGAGAGTATGGAGAGAGACCGGGCTCATGGCTATAGCCCCCACCACAAGCCACGCTCTTGGTGGAGGCGCCCTTAGTATCACCTGGTGTTCTTGTCCTTCCTCCAGGTGCTCGCTGCCCCACAGGGGAGGGGCACATGGCAGCCATGAAGAGAGGCTCATGGGTGTTTATCCCCTTTGCCAGGGGACTCGCTGGTGCCCCCTGAGGTGGACTTTGACAGGCTGCTGGCCAGCCTGAAGGATCTCAGTGAGCTGGTGGTGGAGGGTGACACCCAAGTGATGCCGGTGCCTGGAGGAGCGCGGCTCCGTGTCCTGGAGCCCATCCCACTGAAGCTCTACCAGAATGGCATCGTCATGTTCGATGGGCCCTTCCGGCCCTTCTATGATCCTGCCACACAGGTAAGGGGGGAGAGGAGACAGGGCTGGGTGCGTCACACTCAGGCTATTCTGGTCCCCCCCCACCCCATTAGCGGGAGATGGTGATGTCCTTCACGGCATCCAGGCCATGCAGAACTTCAGAGGCCCCTCAGCCCAGAGCTCTGAGTAGATCCAGAATGTGATCAACTGGTGAACCTGAGGCCCAGAGCCTGCCATCCAGCAGGAAGCAAGGTGGGCAGCACTGCACAGGTCCAGCTGGGCCTCAGCCTTCCTCTCCTCCCTGCAGCGCTGCCTCCGAGACATATTGGATGGCTTCTTCCCCTCAGAGCTCCAGCGCCTATACCCTGATGGGGTTCCCTTTAAGGTAATGGGCTGTTCCTCAAACCACCCGTTCCCTAGGCGGGGATAAGCGGCTGCCTCAGCCATCACCCATTCTGAGCAGTGAGCCGCTGCCCTGCCTCAGGAGACCCCCAGTCTGGAGATCCCCAAGAGGGTGAGCCTGAAACTGGGCTGAGAAGGGAGTGGGAGAGTTGCCTTGGCCACGGTTGCCACATTAGTGGCGTAAGGCCTTTGGCTGAGCAGCAGGCAGTGCCCCCTGCTGGCTCCCTAAAGTCATGGTCTTCATCCTTGTGGGAACTCTGCCCCTCCTCCCTCGCACTAGGGAGAGCTTGACCACAGGGGCCCCTGAGGCAGGATGCAGAAGTGGCCTAACTTCCCCCAGAGACTCCTGAGGCCCTCTGACTGGGGTAGGAGGCAGGCCAGAGGGACTATAGGGCATGACCTGGAGCCGGTCCTTACAGGGGGTGGCGTGTGGGATGGAGGGTGCCGTGATGGGAGGATGAGAGTCCAGGAGGGCTGTGCGCTAGTTTCACAGTGGGGGCATGTGAGGGAGCATGTGGCACCGCAGCCCGTGAGCGTGACTCACAAGCGGCAGTGCTGGAGGCAGTCTCTGTCAAGACAGGCCCGGAGGTGTGCTTTGATGGGCAAGTGAGGTGATGTGTGTGGCGATGGGATCCGTGCGGCGGACTCGGCTGGCTTTGTCGTCTCCCCACACCCTGTCCTGTCGGCTCCTGAGAGGTGCTCTCTGAGGAGGGTGTCAGGACTGGCTCCTGCTGGCGTGAAAAGGGTTGCTCACAGGAAGAGCAGGCCCAGTAGGTGACCGCAGCATTGACTGTGCCCTCCTGGACCTCAGTTTTCTCCTGGAGATGGTGACAGATCATACCTCGGACCTATTCCTGGGCAAGGGGTGTGAAAAGGATGAAGCCCAGGACTGAAGACCTGGGCCCCAGCCGTCTCCCTTCTTGCCAGGTGAGTGACCTGCGCAACCAGGTCTATACAGAGGATGGGCTGCACCCGTTCCCAGGAGAGGGGCGCATGGTGGGCCGGACGATTCGCAAGCCCTTGGACAGGAAGGAGCACCCAGGTGAGCTCGGCCCTGAGGCTGAGTCAGGTGTGTGTGTGGGGGAGCGCGGTGTAGGACAGGCTCCAGGAGGCCTCCTCCCCCATCACGCACAGTCCTTCCCTGGGCCGAGACTCCCAATGCCCTCCCTGCAGGCTCTGGGATGACTGCTGAGAAGTTTCTGAACAGGCCCCAAAATTGTGATCCGGGACGGCGAGGTGGTTGATATCCGGGGCCCCATCCGTGACACCCTGCAGGTGAGGCCAGCCCTGCTCCCCCAGCCTTGTTGGGGGGCTTTTCCATCAACCCTAGCCCAGCCTATCAGAGCAGTGACTTGTGTGGAGGCCCAGGCTTGAGGGCCCGAGGAGGGCCTGGATGGAGAGGTGAGTCCTTTCTGCTCTCTCAGAAACCGGAGTAGGAGAGGGCCCAGCACTTGGCCAGAGAGTAACCGTGCTGGTGGGAGTGAGGTTGTAAGGGAGGGGGAAGTGAGTCGAGGCCAAGGGTGGGCACCTTGAGGTGCAGACCAAACCACCCAGCTCAGCCCCGGATACCCTTCCCTCGCAGAACTCAGCTTCCTCTCCCTTCACTCCTAACTGGCTCCTCCTGGGCTCCTCCTGTGAAAGACACCAAAGCTGTTCCCTAGGACTCTCTCCTTCACCCAGGTGCCAAGTCCTGCTGACCTGCTGATCCCCAGAACTTCTCCCACGTCCATCCCTTCTCTTCATTCCTGCTGCCCACCATCCTGGTCCAGGCTCCCGCTTCTCTCGGGGCGTCAGAGGTGGCCCCTCACTGGCCTCTCACCTCTACTCCTAGCCCAGTCAATCATCCTTCCTTTGTATTCTTTTGAAAATCTAAACTGATATTTGGTTCTTCCCGTGGGACCCAACGCCGATCCTCTTCCCACCTCCAGCCTCCTCCCTCCAGCCCCACCTGACTCCCAGCCACACGCACCGCAGACACTTTCCAATGGCACGGCCTCCTCTCAGCAGACCGTCTGGAGTACCCCTGGCCCTCTTACCACTTCTAAGGACTCCTGCCATCTTTCAGTCACAGCTTGGGTGTTGTCTCCCCTGGGAAGCCTCCGCTGACCCGTGCTGGGCCGGGCATCCAGTCTCGCCCTCTTCCAGGGCTTGGGCGGAATGATGAGGCCGCCCGCTAGAGCGTCCCTTCCTTTCTTCTCCGGGGGTCCCAGTTATGCAGAACACCCTCTGGCTCGTTGGCCTCATCCATGCCCAGGCAGGGATAAGTCCCTTCTCAGGGTTGGGGCGTGGGTGTGGCTCTGGTAGGGTCCAGGGCTCCATCACTGCCTTCTAGAACTGCTGTCCTCTGCCTGCCCGGATCCAGGAGATTGTGGTGGAAACTCCTGCCTTGGTTGCTGAGCGTGAGAGGTGAGGACACTGCAGAGGTGAGGACCCAGGGTTGGGCCACTGGGGGCACTGACGGCCTGTGGGCCCCTGCAGGAGCCAGAAGTCGCCAGCATTGCCCTCTCCCCGACTCTCCACGCTGCGAATCAAGTCTGAGAATGGAGAGCAGGTCTTCCTGCTGCTGATGCGGCCAGAGGACACTGTTGGGGATGTGCGCACCCTGCTTGCACAGGCCAGGTGGGCGTGGGCAGTGGCTGGTGTCCACGGGGGGCTCTGAAACCCAGTCCAGGCCTGATCTGTTCTACCCTGTCCTCAGGGCCGTGGACGCTGCGGCCTTCGAAATCTTCAGCACGTTTCCGCCCACGGTCTATCACGATGATGCCCTGACGCTGCAGGCTGCAGGCCTGGTATCCAATGTGGTGCTGCTGCTGCGTCCACGCAGGAACCAGTTGCCCGCCCCCAGTCCCAAATAAAGCGCCCAACACCCTCTGCTCCGCGAGGCTCTCTTGGCAGCCCAGTGCCTGGGAAGGCCAGGGCCCAGCTGGGCCGGGCAGGGGGCGGCGCTGACCCGCCCCTCGTAACTTGAGCCCCAGCTGGCGGGCCTGGCTGCTAGGTCTTTGTCCTCTGGGTTCCTCCTTCTCCCCAGAAGGGCTAAGCTGACCCAGTGGAGGAAAGGCCAGTCTCAGCTCAATGGCGGCTGGGGCAGCAGAGCCTCAGGTACCAGGGCATAGCCAGCAGATCGCGGTGCACGGATATGCACAGAACCACAAGCACGTGGGGCACTTGATCAACACCGCCCAGCACTGCCCTGAAACTGGCGGCACCCCAGCTGTGCTCGCACCCCCACGACACGCCCACTCAGCCTGCTATACCACAGGCAGCAGCGCACAGAACAGAGCGTGTTACCGACAAGGATGCAAATGGGCAGGCCACCGCAGGGCACGTGTGTGTCCCGGACACCATCACACATGCATGTGAACTGGAGTGACCCATCACACTGTCCCCAGATTGTTGGTCCACACAGGTGTGTGCCGGACATTTATCCAAACACACGCACTGTCACACACACACAGGTGGACACCGGCCAACTCAACCGACCTGCTCACGGGAGCACAGCTTCGGCGCGACCACGTCTACCAGTCTTGTCCAGAGCAGGGGCCCAGGCCACCCAGGCTACACCAAACAGACACGGTGTCAATGGAATGGGACATTTAATTGTCTCTGGGATATTCCCGGGACAGAGATTGCGGGGCCTTTGGCAGAGCCCTGGCTAGTGGAGTCGACAAAGGTGTCCATCAGCCAGCGCCAGGTAGGGTGGCAGCCCCAGGGCCTGGCTGAGGACAGCCAGCATTGGGCTGTGAAAGTAATTTCTGAGACTAGTAGGTAAGGAATGTTGCTTGTGAATGGAAGAGAGGGGGCTACAGTTCGGGGAGAAGGGAACTGGTCTGGGGAAGATTCCAAGGTTAAGAGGTTAGGAACGTCACAAGGTCCTTCATGGCCGGGCAACGGCTGAGGGGAGTGTGGTCCAGTGAGCTGGCTTGGCTCAGGCCAGCTTCAGGAACTCCTGCAGAGTGTTCTGCTCCACGGCCTCCACGAAGAGCTCATAGTCCTGGGGGAGGGAAGGGGCGAGGTGGTGACCCGGGTGCTGGTGCCCTGTCTCAGGTCTCACTCTGGCAGGCGCCCGCCTACCCCCAGCCCCCACCTCCAATCCCCGGTCCATACCCCACAGTACTGGTCCCCGTTGACAATCTGGGGTGGGGTGGCCTTGGGGTTGCCCGCCAAGGCTCGCATCTCATCCCGCAGGGCGTTGTCCTGGGAGATGTCCACTAGCTGGTACTGGATGCGCTTCCCATCCAGGATGCGGGTCACCTCGCTCTGCTGGGACTTGATCTGGGGACAGAGGGTGGGCAGGAGATAACCAACAGTGGGAGGATGTTTGGGGGAGCCCTGGGCAGGAAAAAAAGGGGCTGTGGCTGAAGCTTTTGTCTCTGTTTCCCTCCACACCTGGGGGGCCCTGGTCACCAGGAGTTGGAGTGAGGCAGGCCTGCGTGGTCCAGGCTGAGAGGGGCTGTCAGCCACGGGGAGGGGAGCCAGGTGGGGGCGGGGGGAGGGGTCCCGGGGAGTGGGATACAGTTGAGGGTGGGGAGAGCCCGGGCTCGGAGAGGGGACGACATGGCGGGCTTGGGTGGAGGCTGGCAAGGAGCCGCCCCCATCCCGGGTACAGAGTGGAGAGGAAGGGCAAGGTAAGGACGTGGCCAGAGTCAGCGGGTAGTGGGGGGTGCAGAGAATGAGTGTGGGAGTGTCCGGGGCGTGGGCGTGGGCAGTTCATGCTGGGGCGGTTGAGGACCCAGGATGTCCAGGGAAGGGGTTCAGGCTGGAGCCACGGAGCCCGGCCCCAGACGCACTCTAGAAACGGTCTCCAGCGCCGAGAGTCCCGGCCCCGGCCCGGGGGCGGCACCCGGTGCCCGCGCTGTCGCCCCCCACCCCCGGCGCCAGCCCCGGGCGTGCACTCACTTCGCGGGAGCCGGTGACCGACGTGCTGTAGACGCGCAGGCCGCTCATGCTGCGGGCGGGCGGGCGGGCGGGCGGACGGACGGACGGACAGGCGGGCGGGCGGCAGTAGCGGCTGCTGCACGGCCTGGAAACGACGCTGCCGCGCTCGGAGCGGTTTCCTTCCTGCTCGGCCCGCGAGTCACCGCTCTCGGGACCAATGGGCGGCCCGGCGGGCGCGCGGCTGGGGCGGGGCCTGTGCCACCCCGCCCCGCGCGCCGCCGGCCCCTTCCCCTCCCCCTCGGGGGCCCTGGCGCGCCCAAGACCCGCTCGGAGCCGAGCCGACCCTCTAGCAGGGGTGCCGCGCGACCCCGAGGCCCCTCCCTGATCTGGGGCTCGCAGTGTGAGACTTGGGGCAGGGAGCCCCGGGAGGCGAGGCGAAGATTTGGCCAAGGCCGCCGCCTCAGCCTGGCTCGGGCTTGCTGCGCCCAGCAACCCACCCGAGGCCACGGTGGTGCTCCTCGGCTTGGGGTTTCGAAGGCTTGGGCTGTTTTCAAATCTGAAGTTCCCAAGCTAGGGATCCTCGCCGCCAGGGACCACCTCACCACATCCCCCCACCTCAGGTGACACCCACACCACGGGCCTGGAGGCACAAGCACAACCCCGACTTGGAGACTTCTCGCAAAGTTCCTCTCAGATAGGCAGGTTTCGCCATGGAAGGGTGGTGGCAGGAGACGGACCACGCCCTGGGGAACCAGATGAAGGCCAAGGTAAGAGGTTGCCAGCTTTGGAAAGGTGGAGGCAGAGAGGTGTGAGGACTCCAGAGCCTGGGCAGCCCTAGTTGAAGTCCACTCCACGCTGCAGATGGCACTCCCGACTGCTCCTACCCCCAGCAGACTTCAGGGGCTCAGAGGGAGCAGAGTCTAGCAACCAGCTCAGAAGTGCTCCCAGGTTCAGGGCTCTGGAAGTAGCCCAAGAAGACAACCCTAGCTCCATGAGCAAACAGTGCCCTGCCTTGCTCCGGGGAAACCAGTTCCTCACTGCAGCCCCCACACAGCAGACCTCCTCTCAGAGGATGACAGAAACTTCCCAGTAACAAACTTGCCCTATGATTTAGTGCGGCTTCACCCACTAGAAACTGGCATAGGTAGAGATCTCATTCACCGTAAAGGACAACAGGGGAATGGAAATGGTAGATAGGACTTGATGCTAGAGATGTCAAAGGTCCCTCTGCTGCTGTCAGGAAACTGGCTAACCACCCAAGGCTTTGGCTCCAGTAAGGCAGAATGAGGGGTGGAGCAGGGGGTGGTGGTAATGGAAGGCAATGGAAAACTGAGGAGTCTGTTAAATATTTTATTTTGTAATCAAAATAGGCAATACAAACCAGTTGACATAACAAGGATTCATATAAATAACTGCTTATAAACTTTATGAGGAAAAATACCCGTGAGCATGGTGGCTGGGCTCCCAACACAGGGTGGAGACCAGCCAGGCGGCTCTGCTTTTAAGAGGCAGGAGCCCAGAGGCTGAGGGGACAGCTGGGTGGAGCTGTTCTGAATGGAAGGGATAAGTCACTCCATAAATAAAACACAAACTTGTAAAAACACTTAAGGAGTCTCATTCAAGTCTAGGAATGAGGTCCAGGATGCTGCCTAACAGGCTGAAGCTTTGCAAGAATCTCAGTGGGTGATTCTGGGCTCCTGAACTGCTCCCATACCTACATTTGTAGGCCCTGCTTGGCCCAGCACAAGATCTAGAGGAGCTCTGGGCCAGCCCAATGACCAGACACAAACAAGTATGTGTGAGATGCTCCCTAAACAAGGAGGCAAGAGAATACCAGAAAACACAGAGTCCAAAAGCCCCAGAAAAAAAAAAACAAAAAACCCCAGAAAACACTGGAAGTTCTATCTTAAGGTCAATATATCCAAGGTACTCTGAATTGTCACGCAACCCAGAGCAGGAAAGGGAAATGACCCCAGCCCTTAAATGAGAGGCACGAGAGGGCAGAGCACTGACCTAGCCCCAGGGGGATGGGGTGAGCAGCTTAATAGTTGCCCTATAGCATTCTGGGGGAAAATTCTGCCCAAACCCAGAACCATAGAAAGGAGTTTATACTCTTTGTCAAAGCCCAAGAAGGGGGTTACCTAGGAGGCCTGAGAACAAAGAAGGGGGTAGGTGGGGTATGTTAACTACATGACCAGGACCCCAAAGACAAAGGGCAGCTGGAGAATGGGGTCTCCTATAAAATGGCATGGTAGCACAGATGAAGGCGCCCTCACTATAATCCCTAAGCCCCAGTTTTAGTGGGTACTTTGCCAACAGATTGCCCTGAGGCTTCTGTGAGAACAAGAGTGCTAAGGAAGCAGCAACAGGACCGGGCCTGAGGAAACCCAGAAAGCCAGCTTAACTCTCAGGAAGTCTGACACAAGGGCGCCTGAGCGTTCTCAAATGGTCACTGTGACCGGTACTCAGTCTTCCCAGGTCCCGCTAATGAACTCTGGGCTTTAGCAGGATCAAGGTACAGAGCGGGAATGAATGCGGATCCATCCCAGAGGACGGAGAAGGTAGATGAGCATCCTATTTGCCTCTGATGCAAACCTGGGACTGGCGACAGTCTGCAAGAGGACTTATCAGTCAACCTACAGAAGGTAATTAGTAACACACCCTCAAAGGGTAAATCAGGATGAGAGCACAGATGCAATCCAACAAGGCAAAGCCAGTGTGGAGGAGGGGCAGATAGTTCTCTAACTGGTGGTTGGCCCCAGATGCAGGCTCTTATCTCCCCTTTGCCTCTTCTCTTTGGGAATAGCAGCAGACAGGAGGCAAGAGATTATCAGGGCAGGACCCACTGGACTGGGCGCTCATAGACCAAATCCCCCCTGGAGGAACAGAGCCTGCCCCACCCCCAACATTCCTCACTGTGTGACACAGTTTTCTCCCATATCCTGGGCGTATCTGTCTGACATGGTGGTCCGTAAGTCCTCGATGTCACGGCGTAGTTGTTGAACCTCTTCTAGTTTCCTCCTGATCACATCCGGCTTCTGCAAATCTAGCTGAGTCCTGGGATGCTGTGCGGCTGGGGAGAGCATTTCATGAGAATGTTAGTACGTCACTTAGGAGACAGGTTCACGTAGAGGGGGCAGTACAGCAGACAGGCAGTGCCATGAGGCCCAAAGTCTTGATGACACACACTGTCAAAAATGCAGTAGAGTGGCTGATTAGCTTGTGATCTAAGGCTACTTTCTGTTTGTCCTGCACGTAGGTACCCCTGAGGAATGCCTATTTCCAAAACAGATTTACTGAACACCTACTTTGCAAAACACATGAACTGCAGAGGGGAGTAACCAGGCCTATGTGGCCCTGTTCACACAGTACCATAAGGATGGGAAAGTGAATGGGGGTGAGAGGAGCATGAAAGCTACTCTCTCAGATGCCAGGTGGGCCTGAGCACTCACAGTGGATGCCGAGGAGCAGAGAGAGATTGGGGTCATGGCCCTGGGCCCTCTGAGTCACGATGCTGCAGACAGCTTGCAGATCTTGAAGGCAACTGGCCAATTCCTGGTGCAGCTCAAATGCTAGCTGGGCTGTATCTGGTGAAGATGGAGACCCTGGCTGGGTCTGGCGCAGGTGTTCCTGGAGCGTCAAATTCTTCTCAATAAGGTCCTGGTTCTGCACTGAAAGCTGAGCAGATAAGATAGGGAAGCACATTAACCAAGGTCCAGGAAGACACAGTATTTGTGCATGAGTGTGGATACGTGTGCATGTGTGTGGGGAGAGGAAGCACTGAGTCACCCTCCCCACCCCTACACCCACAGGCTAGTTCCTGCTGCAGTTAGACTGGGCCCAGAGAGCTCCAGCACTGGAGAGGAAACTTTCCTGTGCCCCAGCAGACTCTGAGTCATTAGCCTCCAGGTTTCTGTTCAGGAGCTAGAGAAGATACCCCCGCCCCTCAGAACTCTATCTGAAGCCAGTCCCTCCGCCAACTCTGTTAGCCAGGCTATTAGAGAAGGCTTAACGTGAACTGTGAAATCTGAGTAGGTACTGGTTTCAATCTCTCCCTGCCACCCTGCCAAAAGTGGCCACCAGCCAGCCTGATCGGAGCGTGTCAGAAGAATAAAGGGGGCAAGAAAGACATGACAGGAACACTGGGAGGGGGGCTGGAAAAGCTGGGGACCTGGAGGACATAGTATTGGAATGTGTTCTGTCTTTTCAAACCTTCGCCTCAGAGGAATTTGGCTTCACTGACTGGACCATCTATTCGTGTATACCTGTGTCTCCTTCCCTCTCTCTTCCTGAACAGCTTAGTCCTCCCCACCTCTATTCTGTTTCAAAGACACTGAATAGAGTTCCCCCTCCAGTTCAGCCCTTTACCCACAGTGGGTCCTGTGACAATCCCAGCTCCAGAAGAATCCTTCCAGGCACCTGGCCAGTGACTGCCCCCTACTGACAGTTGTTTCTTTCAGGGGGACCACCAAACTATCTTCTTGAATGAACCCTTTCTCTGTAACTCCACAAACCTGTGGCTGTAGGCAGACAAAGGGAGAATTAATTTCCACTTCCAAAAAGTATATCTGGGTAATTATGGCCACTCTAAGACAGGCGTAAGATCTTTTAAGTAAAGGCTGATACAATGTCTCTTTCTATTCTGTTAAAAAATCTCAGGAGGGGTCTCTCAAACCCAAAGGCTACTGCGGAAGAAGGGATGGGGGAGGTACACAGAAATCAGGCTGTATGTAGTACCACGAGGCCTAGTTGATGCGGCTCACCTCTTTCACAGCTGTGCGCAGCTGCTGCAGTGCTGTCTCCCTCCGTTGGGCCTCCTCTTTCAAGGCCTGGCTTGTTCCTTCTTCTTGAGCCACTTCCTGCTCTAGGCTCTGATTCCCATGGCGAGGAGCGATGGGAGAACAAACCAAGGGTGACAAGTTGACATCATACCATATTGCTTCTGGCTTGGACTATACAGTAAAGTCCCACTCATACATTACTAAGATTACTTTAGAACAGCCTTGATCTGTGACTTTCCATTTTAAACCCTTCTATACCCTGATCATGTACCAAAATGGAGGTCAGCTCCTCAGCAGTCTGGCCTTTAACTTACTTTTCTCACCCAATCTCTTAACCCTCCACCCAGCCTCCCTTCCAGCCACACTGAATGACAAAGGCTCCAGGTTCCCCTTTGTCCAGACTGTATTCTGCTTTCTAAGGCCCACCTGAGCCTTCTTCAACCTGCAAATCAGATCCAATTAATCCTAAGTCCTTCCTGCTACTCCTACATCCATCATGGCTCATGAATGCATTTGTTGGCTATATGCATGGTTCTTTCTTTCCCTAAACCATGACTTTCTTTTCTTTTCTTTTTTTCCAGATTTATTTATGCATAGAAGAACTGTGGTATAGGCCAGAGGTGCAGGCGGTCAAAGGATTTACTAGAGACAGAGTGGGGAGCAGAACAGGTGGATCTGAAATACACTGCTGAGGAGCAGCGGGTGAGACAGGAGAGGTCTGCTGTGCCATGTGGGTCAGCTCCCTGGCCGGGGATTGAACTCGTGCTGCAGTGGCTGGTGATAGCATGATAGTGCTGAGACTTTAACCCCTACGCTGTCAGGGAGGCCCAAAACGTTGGCCTTTTTCAACCTGTGTGGAACCTCAGGGTTCCAGAAAGCCTACTCTGAGATCACTTGAAAACTCTACAAAAGACCTGGAATTTTAAACAGGTACACATTCATTAGGTTTGACATCTCCTTACAGAACTTGAAATTGGTGAACTAAATAGATATAGCCCAACTCACATAATGGCAAAGGTAGTACTACAGCTTACAGTTACCCCGTGTGAGTGTATTTTCATCTGCTTTGGTGTGAAAACCTCTTATAAAGTCCAAAGAGAACCTGAGTGAACCTGCTTTACCGAAGATTTCTTGGAGAACTCAATTAAGGACACTCCTACCCACTCTGGCTCAAAAGAGCTCAGAGTCATCTTTGATTTTTCTTTATTCTCTCAACCACTGATTTCTCTCAATTTTATCTCATAAATTTCACTTAAATCTGTCACTTCACATCTCCTCCTTGTTCTGCTGCCTTTATTATCTCTCAGTAGGATTCCTGCCATTCGCCTACCTGTATTTCAGATCCACCTGTTCTGCTCCCCACTCTGTCTCTAGTAAATCCTTTGACCGCCTGCACCTCTGGCCTATACCACAGTTCTTCTTGCATCTTTCCAAGTGGCACACTCAAGTTCCACACTCAAGCCTGAGTTGCAAACCTGATGACATCACACCTCAGTTAAATGGTACCCTAGATTACCATCACCTACCTCAAGAACAAAAGCTAACTTAGTTGGAGAGACAGTCTTTTCATTATTCATTTCTCCACCTACCATCTTAACTTCAGATAAGCTGCTTGAAGCTCCATATTTAAACCATGATGTTTCCTGTCTCCATGTTCCTACCTGTGCTATTTTTCTCCTACCTGGAATCCTCACACCATTCTATTCAATGGCTCTTCTTTGCCTGCTAACTCTTCTTCCTTCTCCAAAGCTCATGATCTTTGGAAGTCCTTCCTTGACTGCCTCTCCCTCTGTGATTCTGTATTCTCCCAGGGTAACATGAAAGTTAATGTGCTGAAATCCCTTCCCAACAAGACCAGGCTAAAAATACTGACTGGGGCCATCCTGGTGGTGCAGCAGTTAAGTCTCAGCACTATCAAGCTATTGGCAGCCACTGTAGCATGAGTTCAATCCCCAGCCAGGGAGCTAACCCACATGGTGCAGCAGACCTCTCCTGTCTTGCTCGCTGCTCCCCTCAGCAGTGTATTTCAGTAGATCCACCTGTTTTGCTCCCCAATCTGTCTCTGATGAATCCTCTGGCCTACACCTGCATCTCTGGCCTACACCCAGTTCTTGTATGCATAAAATAAAATAAATCTTTAAAAAAATAAAAATACTGACTGACTTTTACTGTTGTTTTAACACTGAGCAAACTGTATGGCAGAGAACAGAAAACAGCATTGGCTGAATTCTAGAGATTCCATCATTAAATCCTTCCTACCATGACCTTAAAGACTCTAGCTCACCTGTACTTGTGAACGCAACTGATCCATCTTCTGCTGTTGTTTCTCCACAATCTACAAAGCAAAATTATCAAGGAAGATTGCTGGTGAGGTTAGAGGGCAAGAGGTTTGCACTGTGATCTGGTAATTAGCCCTACTAGCTATAGCCAGACAATAGTGAGACCGGAGGAAGTTAGCTCTACCTACAGAAATATAACCCAGACTCCCTATTCTGGTTAACTAAGCTTCACACTCCTATACTCAGTCACAAAGCGGTTTAGACAAGAATGTAGTGTAAACCATGAGCAATATGGTTATGTAGTGTAAACCATGTGCAATATCAGGGGCATACCCGCTCCCTGATGACTACAGGCAAGTGGAATCACTTTATATAGCTAGGATACATTCTGGTTCTGCAGTAAATGACATTACTAAAAGTTCAGGATAAGAAGCCTGCCCTAAGAGCCCTAACACTTTGGTCATAATGACTATTCAAAGAGAGAACTGAACAAGCTCCAGTTTCTTGTTACTAATACCTCATGCATTGTCTAAACCATTTCTGGGTCTTTTTTTTTCTGTTGACCTGTCATCAGGCTCACCCACAGGACCTAGCTCCTGCTCTAGGGAGTGAGAGCCACCCCACTGGTCAGAGCTCTGTCTAATACGGCAGTTCTAGCTGTATGGGCCTGAGCAGTGAAGGAAGTGCACCAAGCTTCAGTGCACCACTTTGGAGCATCTAGCCTAGTTATTCAGAGGGATGTCCTCCCATAACTTCCTTTGCTGTCAGAAAGATATGTAAAATACAAACTTAATATGGAGGGGAGACTTCTCAGAAAAGAAAGAGAAGTTCTGGGTAGCAGATCCTACGTGGCCCAGGGCTAAAAATTTATGGTTCCATCCCAATACTCAATCTTGTCCTTTCTCTCAGCCTACCCCACTGCAACCCGGACATGGTCACCTTTCGGAGAGCGTCGCACTCTTTCTGCCAGGACTCCATTTCCACTTTTGGACCATTTCCATGTGAGGCTGAACCTTCTCCAATGGCCTCCTCCACACATTTTGTATCTTCCAGGCTGAAAGACAGTGGCCTCTTCAAGAACTCTGAAGTCAGAGAGAGATGGCTTTGACTCCTGATTCTGCTATTTACAGTATGTTTTAGGGCAAGAAACTTAGGCCCTTTCAAGCCACAGTTGGGGATGATATCTTAGGTCTATTGTAAATTAGGGTATGTCACACAGAAGCTGCTTGGTATACGTTAATTTCCTTCCCTAGAGGCTGGTATTTATATGATGTGCCACCAATTCTCTATCTGTCCAAGGTTCTTTTATTCTGTGATATTTAAAAATGAGCATTTATCACATGTACTCATACTTTTTTTTTTTTTTAAACTTTTTTTTTTTTTTTAATAGAGGCATGTTTTATTTATTTATTTGTTTGTTTTGTTTATACATGCACTGGGTACAGTCAGAAGCGCGGGAGGGTGAGAGAATCCACCAGAGCCAGAGCGGGGAGCAGAGCAGGCAGAAGGACCGAAGTACACTGCTGAGGGGAGCAGCAGGCGGCAGGAGAGGTCTGCGCGCCATGTGGTACCCTCCTCCGGTGGCCGGGGAGCAGCCGGGGATCGAACCGGCGCCACAGAGGCCGCGGGCAGCTTCGCAACCCAGCACTCAACCGCTGAGCCACTGGGGAGGCCCTGTACTCATACTTTGAAAATCATACATATATAGAGTAGACATTTTGGAAAATAACGAAAAAAAAAAAAAAAGTCCCTTTTTTTGCCTTGGCACACAGTTTGTCCCCGAACATCACTTCTGACACCAACTAATGGTCTCCTTCAGCAGATTCCCACATTCACTTTCATCATGGCCCATTTGCTGGGATAAACAACAGGGTCAATGCAGTTGAATATAGAATGAGAAATCAAATCCATCTCATTAGAAATTGGATTTGGTCCAAGAGGCTGTTGAAACACAACTCTCACATTTTCAGAAACTGCTATTAATATGGAGGAGGCTCCCAAGACACCCAGACAGTACATTATGGTATCTTGTTTTGTTCTCAGAACCTGTTGTGGCAACTGAGAGCAATCCCTAGGGCTGAGGAGGAACAGATGCTTCTGGTAGCCTTTGTTTACAAAATGTGGATAACCCCCAAGTCCTCAGCACCAGGATCTATTTTTGCAGAGACCGATAACTCATTTCCCACTTTACAAAGTGCTTTCATTCAATCAATAAACACATACTCAAGGATTATTATCCTGGATTATTATTATGCCTGGTACTGGGTTTGATCCCTCCAAAGGATACAATGACAAGCCCCTACTATATCCCCCATACTGTATCTTAAAGAGCTGACTCCTTGCACACAGCTTTCCTATTACAATCCAAAGAAAATAAAACTCAGAGAAGTAGTGAGTGAGGTAGCCAGAACTAGAACCTAGCTCTCACTCTTTTCTTTAAATCCACAGGGGTATTTACCTATGTCTAGTGGAGAATTCTGCTTCTCTGTGTCTCAGGTTTCCCAGTTGAACTTCCTTCTCTCTGCAGGCTGCCTGGGTCTCCTCCAGCAAACTCTCCAGCTCAGTCACTCTCTCCTGTAGCTCTGTGCTCTTCAACTCGGAATCCTTAAGCTGAGAGACAGGATCCAATGCTTAGGTCAGCAAGTCAAAGGAAATTTTGTTTGGGAATCTCAAAAATTTTGTAGTCCAGTTGCAAATCTGACAGGTGTGAATCTGGACATGACTCCTTTGGGATTTTCCTTTCAGGAAGCCCAGAGGGTAACTGCATACAGCAGAGGCTGAGAAAGTCCCCCTGCTTAGCCTCTCCCTGTTTGTCCCAGGTATGCCCAGACATTGCTGCTACCTGCTGGCTCTGCTTCTGATGGTCTTCTAGGGTGGGCAGGTCAGCAAGGTAACGCTCCAAGGTTTCAATACGCTGCTGCTTCTCCCGGTTCTGCTCTGATTCCTTTTGGCATTTCTTTTTCAAATTATTGATATGTTTATCACGACCCCTGACCTAGAGAAAGAAATGTAAGAATCTGTCTCCATTTACTACTCTGGGTATCTAAATATTAACTTTTTTTTTCTTTCTTCTTTTTTAAAACATTAGCTTTTTTTCCCAAGTGACCAATGTCTCTGTTCTTAGGGCTAGTGAAGCTCATCAAATCTTACTGTTTGTGATGCATATACTACAAAGTAAACACAGTTGAAATTTTCAATCAAGATCAGGGAAGAAAGACTGGGCAGTTTTTAAAAACTGGTAGAAATTCTGTATAATAAAGAATTTGGTCTTTGTCTGGGTTACAAGGAGATAACTTCTAAATGCTTAAAATTTCATGCTAATGAGATAATTCAGAATGGGGCAACTAGAAAGTAAGAATAAAGTTGAGAAGTGGAGATGGGCAGGAGACTGAGTTCAATTATATCTGCAAAATAAGCCCCAATAAAAGCTCTGGATGTGAGCTTCCTGGTTGGTGAACACATGGTTACAGTGGGAAGGTGACATGCCTTGATTCCCTGGGGTGAAGCCCAGAAGGCAGGCTTGATACTTTCCCAGACCTCACCCTATGAGTCCCTTCATTTGGCTGGTCCTGATCTGTATCCTTTTTTTAAAAAAAAAACAACAAAAAACATTTATTTATGCATACAAGAACTGGGGTGTAGGCCAGAGGTGCAGAGGGTGAAAGGATTCACCAGAGAAAGTGAGGAACGAACATGCCGATCTACTGAAATACACTGCTGAGGGGAGCAGTGAGCAAGACAGGAGAGGTCTGCTTCGCCATGTGGGGTTGCTCCCTGGCCAGCCGGGGATTGAACTTGTGCTGCAGTGGCTGGCGACAACTTGACAGCACTGTCTTTAACCCCTGCGCCAACAGGGAGGCCCCTGATCTCTATCCTTTATAAAAGGTAATCACAAGTATAGCACTTTTCTGAGTTCTGAGTTATTCTGCTGAATTACTGAACTTGAAGGGGTCAAGGGAAACCCTGGATTTATAGTCAGTTGGTCAGGCATATGGGTGGCCCAGGAACCCAGAACTTGCAGTTGGCGTCTGCAGGAAGTTCAGTCCTGTTGCAGACCGTGCCCTCTGGGTGGTATGCATTAGAACTGAAATGCACACGTATATACTACTCTCCCTTGTAGCCAACTACCCAGTCTGGCGAGGTAGGTAATGCAGTTTTCCTTAAACAGCACACATGATGTATAAAGCTAAGCAGTCATTTGGAAGGGCGAATGAAGAGCTGTGTTCATTGTGTTTATTGTCATATCCCCGATACACAGCACAATGCTTGGCACAGTGCAGGCACTCATTCATATTCTGTTGAATGGAAACTTTTCCTTCACTGTTCTGGCTTTTTCTCTGGTTTATGAGAAACAAAGCAAGAGGAAGAAGAGGAAAAAGTAATACAAATTTATTGATGTCAAAGAGAAGGCAAGCGTAATTTAATCCAAAGACAGTATAGAGCTTTCTGAAAATCAGCCAAAAGCTTCATACTACATATGAACTGTACTCTTTTAAGCTCTGAAGCAGTGATTTTCACACTTTGGTATGTATCAGAATAACCTGGGAAGTTTACTGAACATGCTGAAAAAACATTAAAAAAATCATGACCTGATCACAGATGTTTCTCTTCTTTTTTCCAAAACAGCTCTAAAATGACAGTGTGAAAAGTAACATAACTGCAATCATATTAAAATAGGGCAGGAGAAAGTCTCCATAGAAAACACAAATTTATAGTGTTTAAACTGGATCTGCTCCTTCAGCTATTGGGCCAAACTGCTAACACTAAAAAATAATTTACAAGAATGAGAATAACTTGTTTGAAAGAACAGCTAGAGAACTGTTTCTTTGTGATTCCCTCCACCTGACCATTTTATCCCATGACTCCTTTAATTGACCATTATCTCATCCTCCATTACTTCATCATTCTTGTTCTCTCTAAAAAATAAAAGAAAAAAACAACCAACCCTGACTTTTGTTGCACCTCCAGACATTTTTGGGTTTTTACCTATTATTTGTAGACCTCAAGTTGCAATTCTCCACTATTCCCAAATAAACACATTTGGGCTTGCCTGCTAACTTTGCTGTTCTCTCTCTCTCTTTTTTTTTTTTTTTTTTTTAATAGAGGCATGCTTTATTTATTTGTTTGCTGGTTTGTTTGTTTTGTTTATACATGCACTGGGTACAGTCAGAAGCGCGGGAGGGTGAGAGAATTCACCAGAGCCAGAGCGGGGAGCAGAGCAGGCAGAAGGACCGAAGTACACTGCTGAGGGGAGCAGCGGGCGGCAGGAGAGGTCTGCACGCCATATGGGACCCTCCTCCGGTGGCCAGGGAGCAGCCGGGGATCGAACCGGCGCCGCAGAGGCCGCGGGCAGCTTCGCAACCCAGCGCTCAACTGCTGCGCCACCGGGGAGGCCCTCTCTCTTTTTTTTTTTTTTTAAAGATTTATTTAGAACTGGGGTACAGGCCAGAGATGCAGGGGGTGAGAGGACTCACCAGAGACAGAGTGGGGAACATAACAGGCAGACTGACTGAAATACACTGCTGAGGGGAGCAGTGGGCAAGGCAGGAGAGGTCTGCTGTGCCATGTGGGTTGCTCCCTGGCTGGCTGGGGATCGAACTCATGCTGCAGAGGCTGTGGATTGCTTCATAGTGCGGTGCTTAACCCCTTGCACCACCAGGGAGGCCCCTGCTGTTCTCTTAACATTTATGGCATCAGAAGTTAGACTGGAAGAAGACGAACCCTGATAGCTTTTTGTCATTTCCATCCAGGTTGAAGGTACCACTCTCAACTCACTGCTATGAGCACCTTACAGTCACTCTTGGTTGGCAAATCTACTCTGCATTCAAAATCTGTGGAGCTGAGTTCTACACCTGTTGGGTGTTTGCTTCAGTGGCCTAGCCTCTGCTTGTGATTCTCCCTCTGGTGAGTACTCTTCTAATCTTTTGTTACGGAATTCCAGTTTCCTACTACCAGTATGCTAGCACTTGGAATAATTTGGTATAAAGGTTTTGGCCTTTCTGTGAGCAATTCTCAGAGTTTTTTAGCTCCCATTTTGGAACTACAATTGGTTATAGCACAAACATTTTGGTCTGTCCTCTTATACATTTTTGCTTAAATTGAACAGAATAAAGATAATTTAGGGCCTCCCTGGTGGCGGAGGGTTTAAAGTCTCAGCGCTATCAAGCTATCACCAGCCACTGCAACATGAGTTTGATCCCTGGCCAGGGAGCTAACCCACATGGTGCAGCAACTTCTCTGTCTCGCCTGCTGTTCCCCTCAGCAGTGTATTTCAGTAGGTACACCTGTTCTGCTCCCCACTCTGACTCTGGTGAATCCTCTCACCACCTGCACCTCTGGCTTACATCCCAGTTCTTGCATGCATAAATAAATAAAATAAATCTTAAAAAAAATAACTAAAGATTATTTAGAATTACGGCCATCTTGGAGTCCCTGTGACCTCCCAAAATTGAAAAACCATGGATCCAAAACTAAGCAAACTGAATAGGATGCTTATTATTTGGTGTTCAGATAGCCTCCTTATAGTCGCTTACAGCAAGAGATAGACTCTAAAATTATGTCCCTCAAAGTCTATCACAAATCTAAAGGTAATGAACAACTAAAAGATAAGCCTCTGAGATCTCACACCTTTCTTGTCCTCCTCCTGCTCCACTATCCACTACCTAGATTTTGGGCCCAATGGAGCTGACTAATATTACCAGAGAGATTTATTTTTCTGTTTGGCCCAGCTGAAACCTTAAAAGATATTTGAAGGGCTCTTTTAAAAAAATAATTAACTACATGGTCAATTTTATTTGGCCAAACTGGAAGCTGATATTCAGAGTTTGACAGGAATCTTTTTTCTTTTACAATCCTTTGCAAAATCAGAATTGTAACTCCAAGAGGACTATTCCCAGAGCTTTGCATTCCAGGTATTATTTTATCTGGACCATTGCTCTAAGATGCAAACCTCAGGAAGATAATAAAAGGGGGGAAAAAAGGAGAAGAGAGGTGGCCCTTTTAAAATTAAAAGTGGTATATGAAGGCTTCTTTAGTCAAAATCTAGCCCACCGAAATTTTGTACCTGATTCATGGCCAAAAATTAAAAGCCATAGGTCAATGTTTACATTTGTTTCTATGTTGTATGTTACAGATGTGTAATTTTTTTCTTACCTCTGGATGGTATTACCAAAATTAATTTGTGAAAAAGTTTTAATTGGCTTGCAAGTATCTTTATAAATTATTTCTAAAACTCAGAAAAGAAAGAAAAACTAACCTAAGTGGTTTTTCAAGTTAACATGACCCCAGATAATTTTTGGTAAATGAAAGTTAACTTAAATTTTGGTTTGATTAAAATAGGAATGTCTTTAAGTTATCAGTAAGCATAATACTTTTTATTCTACATGGGTTTATTAATCCAAATAAGCTCATGTTCTCTAATAGCAGAAATAACTTAATACCTGACTAATATTTCATAAATTTTATGGATATTCTAAACATAACTAATTAAATAGTTTTTTGTTGTATTTTTGCATAGAAGAACTGAGGTGTAGGCCAGAGGTAAGGGGTGGGGTAAGAGGGTTTACCAGAGACAGAGTGGGGAGCAGAACAGGTATATCTACTAAATATACTGCTGAGGGGAGTAGCAGGTGAGACAGGAGAGGCTTGCTGTGCCATGTGGGTTAACTCCCTGGTCCGGGATTGAACTCAGGCTGTAGCAGTGATAGTGCTAAGACTTAACCCCTAGGCCACTTTTACAGTCACCTTTAAGCTAGATCTAACTTTTGGTCTGGATCAAACTGCCAACATTCCAAGAAGCTTACAAGAATGAGAATATGCTGTTTGACAGGACTGATAAGAGAATTTACCTACTTTTTGACCTCTTCATCTGACCATTTTACCTTGTGACATCTACATCTGACCATTACTTCATCCTTGTTTTCCCTCTATTAAAAAAACAACTTTTATCTCTCCTTGGAATATACTTTAGGTTTTTACCTAAATCTGTATACCCCAAATTGAAATTCCCTACTAATCCCAAATCAACACATTTTGGCTTATCTGCTAAACTAGCTGTTCTCTTATTAGAGGGTTAACAACAGGAAAGAAAGTCAGCAGAGGAAGAAACAAAAGTATATGAAGAAATTTCAATGTGTTTTTACAGTGGACTTAAAATCTACAGTGGGAATTAAAATTTGGAAACAGTGCACTCCTCTTAACAGCCAAGAAGCTCTGCACTGAAGCACTCAGAGGTAGTGTGATACTTCTGAGACAGGTATCAGCCACAGACTAAAAATAGGGGATTCACCAGAAGTCCATATACAGGTTAGCTGGATACTATCCTTGCTCTAGTTTCTCCGGCAGGACCCTGAACACTTATTCTCTGGAGAAATCAAATGAGGAGACCCCAGTCTCAATAATCTCAATAACAGCAGAGGAGTAAAATACTAGGTTGAAAACAAGTATAAATAAAAATCTATGCACGAAATTGTGGGACACTAAGCCTAATCTCCTTTTCAGTGCCAAGAACCTATAGGCCGAAAGCATACTGACCCCAGCCTCTCCAATTATTACGCAAAGATTCATTTCTAGACAGAATGAGATTAAGACATTCAGATGATATTTGAGTGTTCCCAAATGAAAAAGGACAATCTAAGCCTGATAAGTCCACCAGGCAATTACAACTAACCCAGAGCTTCATCCAGCATTTAAATACCTCATTCTTAAATAAGTGCCCACGCATTCAAGGATGAACAAGTCTCTAACATGAAAGACACTAAAACAAAACAAAGGGACATCAGAGAAACAAGAAACACTATAAGCAAATGTAAGCATCCTCAAAAGCTATCATCATCAGAGGGGTAAGACATCACATTCACTAGACAAAAATAGCAAAATATGCATTTACTATTCAGAAATATAAAGGAGAAAAAAGAGAAGAGGATGAATTCCTTTGTGATGTGAATTTACCACATGTTTAAACAAACATCTTGCAACCCCGCCATCAGGCATAACTGTGCAGACTGGTTTTGCAATCAGTTCAGCTGGTGGCACGTCACATCTTGGAGCAGTGAGGTATACAATTTTACCTCTCTACAGTAATTTTGTGGATGAAACAGAAAGGAAAGGTTCCATTTTTAGTAAATTGTCTTACATGAGAAGTAAACCTAGTGTCTCACCCAAATGGTTCTCTCTGGTTTCAACAATGTGGGCCAGTAACAGCTTACGCTTTTAGCAGAAAAGGACCAATAACCAACTCTTGTGATTTAGAGACCTATAAGCTCATTACACTCACCCTTTCTTCCTGTTTCTTCCCCTCCTCTGAATGCTTCTGCAGCGCCACTTTGAGTGACTCTCTGATGAGCTGAACTTCAACTTCTGAAGCAGAGAGTTTCTTTTCAAGCTCCATCTTTTCTTTGCTCAAGGCTTCGGTCTTCTGTGCGAATTGAGCACGTAAGAAAGTGTTCTCTCGCTGCAATTCCTGCCAGAAATAGTATTCAGTATATAACTATTCCTTACTCGTACAGTCCTAAGGACTTTAATTATCCCCAACAACTTTATGATCAAATAGCATCTTCAAGCAGGGCCTCTAAAAGTGTGGTTCTAGGACTAACAGTATCGGCATCACCTGGGAGTTTGTGAGAAATGAAAATTCTTGAAATCTACTCCCAGGCCTACTGAATCAATCTCTGGAGATGGGCCCCAAAACTGAGTTTTAACTCAGGAGGTTTAAGCTCCAGGTGATTCTGATGCACATTCACATTGCAGGCCACTGCGTTAAAGCGATTCTGAGGAGCTATACCATAATGGGAGGATTCCAGGATAAGACGTCAGAAGACCTGGGCTCAAAGTCTTGCTCTTCTCCACTTGTTCTCTACATAATCTTACTATATGATCTTAAGTCCAACTTCTTCTTCCTGAGGCCTCAATTTTTTTTTATCAGTAAATTAAAGGACTGAATTATTAGACGTTTCTAAGGACCATTCTCAAACATTCTGATTCTACAAGATAGAATACTATCTTAACAGGCCCACTATGTAGAAAAGTCAGTACTATTTTCTAGTACCCATCACTCAAAAAACTGAAACTGCAGAAGAAACTTGGTCAACAGAGCAGGTTTCTTTTAGAACCACTGAATTCAGTGAGAATATGGTTTCCCCTTCAGTTGCTCCTAGACATGAAGAATAAAAGAAGAATGGTTCTAACCCCCCACTACTACTGCTTCTCACTTCCCCGGCCAGGTTGATGGATTAAAACTTCTCAAAATATCATCCAACTCTAGAGCCTTGCACTATGTACTATGTACCTTGCTCTGCCTTCCTTTTCTCCCTGGCACCAAGGAACCCAGACTTCTATCTGCTTCAACTCTCAAGTCTGCCCCCATAGGGACAGAAGAAGCAATGCTTTATAATTAGGATGATTACTCTTTAAGAGCAGCTATACTTGCATCAGTTGGTCTTTTTTCTATCTTCTGGTGCCAAGCACAGGGAAAATGCTGAGTTGAGAAAAACACAATGCCATCTTGACTACTAAAGCTTACCTGCAGCCTCAGCAAGCAGACATCCCCAAAGGGGGCAGGGCGGCCTAAAAGGGCACTGTGGACTTGTAGTTCACTCTCTCGCACTTTTTGCTCCAGCTGAGAGATATGTTTCCTCTGCCTGCAAAAGCAAAGAGAATAAAGTCCAGGGGTCCTGACATTATACCACTTGCCGTATGACCCCCCACTTTCCTTAGATGGGTATAATCCCAGCTGCTCAGATGTTGGATTCTGAGCAGCAATATTCTGCTGAAGGAGGAAGAGCAAACGAAAAAGCTGGCTGAGGGAAAATAAGGAAAGATCAGTTGCAAAGAACCAGTGCCCCCAGAGCCCTTGCAGAACTATACAACTTATCATATTACCAGACATAGGACTTGGTTGCTTATCGGCCTAGCTCTATCATGGGGCAGGGCATGGGCCTAAACAGGAGGAGTATGCTGCCCCTGGGGAGAACCTCATTAGATGCCAGGAAAGCAGAGGCTGGCCTTATGTCACCTCTTGCCCTCTTACTTGTCGATAAGGAGCTCCTTTTCCTTCAGAAGGTGTTCATTACTGTTCAAGATGCTGATCCACTGTGCTGGCTCTAAGGTGGGCAGTGAAGAAGCAAAAGCAGCAGGATGGTGGCAGATGGCTCCATTCTGAAGCTGGAAAGACAAGCAGGCCCAGATGGGCTTGATTGTGACCCATAGGCACCTGAGAACACCTGAGCAGTACCCAGCTAGGTCTGTAGTCAAAGCCCACTCTGGCTCAGTCTGAGAAGGGCCAGTGTTTCTGAAATAATTTTAGCTCAGATGCATGACTACAGAGAACCTGCCAGGGAGACTTCTGCCAACTGAACTCTCCCTGCTCAGAAGGGCTCTAGTTTCTAAGAAAAGGTCAGTTATCTTTCATTATATGGCAAGAGAGGCAGACCAGGAGTTAAAATGTCCTCAACAACCAGGAAAGGAGAATATGCCGTTTCCTTCCTTCCTTAAGCAGAAAAAGGACTTTTCCTTTTTTAATATAAAAATGGTATAGTGGACGAGCAGAGTTCAAAGGAGATTTTTAAAGCCTAGTTCAGCCACTTACCAGTTTTCTATCCCTTGAGCAGGCTGCTTATTCTAAGAACCTGGTAAATTTTATATTTACTTCATCAGGGTACTACAAAGATTAAATAAGATTCTGAATGTAAAAGTACCTAACCTAATGACTAGTTATAAATACAAAAATACAGTCAGTGTTAGTGTGGCTAGGAGGTTCCTCTACTGTGGTATTTAATTAGATGACAAAGATTCAGTGGCGTTCATGAGTCTTTACTTCCTGTCTATAAATGTCTTCCTTCTTTCTTACATCCGTTTTCTTTAGAGTCAAAACTTATAAGACAAAACATATACAATCCTACACAAAACCTGCAAAATTCAAGAAATGAAGAGCCTCTACCTGCATTTGCTCCATTTGTAAACGGATCAACTCCAGCTGCTGCCGACAAGTGCTGAGCTCACAAGATCGTTCCCGGGGATGCCAAGGATCAGAACTAGGCTGCCATACCTGAGAGGGTAGAGGCTTTGAGAGCCCAGGAGCGGGTTGGAGTCCCAAAGGGAGCAACCCGCTGCTGCTTGGGTGTGGTCCATTCCGCTCACATACCACCCCACTGCCTGGTGCTTTCTTGGTCTCAGGCAGCACTTTGTACAGCTCCTTGTTTGTGTCAGTTCTTGGGTTGTGGAAGTGGACTCGGTAGTGGGGATCCGAATAAAGTGTCTCCATCATGGCTGACTGATTGAGGGTAGACTCCATACTGGGAATATCAAACTTCCTCACCTCTTCTTCTCTTTCATGGCCCACTGCTGGAAACCAGGACTGCTCAATTCCATTTTCTCCAGCAGCACCACAAAGATACATGAAATCTCTAGATGGGCCTGGAGAACGTTTCATTGCACCAAGGTCTCCATTTCTTGTCATTCCCACACTTTCAGCCAACCCTGACAAATGAAGTTTGGAGGAAGAGGGTCCAGCAGGTGTAGAATTTGGCTTGGCAGAAGAGGTCCCCAAAGTAGAAGGCATCACATGGGCTGTTGGAATGGTTACATGGCTTTTGATGGGCTGGAAAGATGGGCTGCTATTTGAGCTGCAAAAATCTGCAGAGAGAATGGTTATTCATAAGTGAAAATTGAAGCAGCAATTTTTCTTGATTTTGGCACTATGTCAGACATTCTGTGCCTGTCTGGGAACCAGGTAGAGAGGCCACTATCATCAGAAGCTCAGGCAAAAAGACACAGCAGAGCCTAAGTGGGAGATAATGTTCTAAATTGAATGCCATTCAAGGTAAACCAATAAAAGGCAACACTGCACTTTTAACTTATACTCTGTCCTTTGAATTTGAATGAAAAAAAAATCTTAACAGTCAACCAAAGCTAAAAACTGAACTTAAAAAAAAATCACTTACTTAAGGGAAATGGATTAGGTCCCACTCTTCTGGGAGCTGGACAACACTGAACTATAATCCAATCTAATAAATATGACCTTTCCAAGTGCTGCCAGAATCCTCTGTGACCTTCAGAAGCTCCCCAATGGAGGTGAGCGTGGAATCTAAACTCTCCAAAGAATAGAGCAAACTGGACAATGCTCTCTATATTCAGGGCAGGGGGTGCAGCATCTGAATCAGAGTCTGTTCTCTCTCCCACCAGCCAGATCAGACTGCCTAGATATATAAAGTTATTTTTAGTAACTCTCAGGTTTCACTCTAGCACAGTGAGCACTCTTAAGTGGATACACACTGAAATCCTCTATTTTATATTTTGCCACTCACCCCCTTGTTTATATCCAACTGTGACTTTTCCCTTTTCTTTCAGACTGGATTTATGCTTTCTTTAGTTCCTGCCTAGTCTTGGCAGACAACTTCCTGATTAACCCTAGCACAGAAGTTTCATTATTTCTTCATATTCCCAAACTTTCAAGTGCTACCCAGAAGATAAGGTCACAGAACTAATGTGCTAGGGCAGTGGGCTGCAAGCAAATAAAATAGAGTGTGAGGAAACACCTGTTATCTTCAACAGGCAGAAAACTCAATAAAAGGGGACAGGGATTATAAGTTTTCCTTTTTCATCTATATCCAGTACTTTTTCCAAACCAAGCACATCCACCATAGAGAAGGATGGACTACCAATTTGTTTCTCTTTTTTCTTTCCAACTACCAACACAACATACAAAGAAACGTTTAATAATCATGCTCTATTTTCCCTAACTTCCCTAGCTTAGGCAACCATTAAACTATTTTCTGTGTATACACTGGATTGGCCTATTCTGGACATTTCATGTAAATGGAATCATATAATAATGTGGTCTTTTGTGTCTGGCTTTTTTTCACTTAGTATAAGTGATAAAGTACCAAAGTGATTTGTTTTGCCTGTTTTTTGTTTTCATTGAAGTAAAACATTGAGATGTGATTTATATGTATAGAATCACACCCTTCAGGTGTATATTACCACCACACCCCCTACCAAGGCACCAAAGTCCTCCACCATAGCCCTCTCCCTGCTTTCCCTCCCCACAAAGTGACTAGTTTTGTGACTTTAATCAACTCATTTAACATTCTGAAATTCAGTTTTCTCATCCATAATATGGAAACAATAAAATGGTCCATAATTCTTAAAGGCATTCATGAAATAATGTAAAAAAAATTAGCAAATGTAGCCATCACAAAATATTTAATAAATAGTTATTATTATCATTAAGTCCTCTGCCTGCCAAGTTATCTAAATTAAAAAAAAAAAAAAACCCACAAAGCATTTTTATAAAATACCTGGCAGTTCTTACTTAATTTTAAGTGCAAAAACTAGTGGCAAAAACAATAAGATATGGGCCTCCCCTGCTGGCGCAGTGGTTGAGCCCTGGGCTGCGAAGCTGCCTGCAGCTCCTGCAGCGCAGGTTCAATCCCTGGCCACCGGCGAGGGTCCCACATGGTGCGCAGACCTCTCCTGCTGCGGTCGCTGCTCCTCTCAGCAGTGTGTTTCATCCATCTGCCTGTTCTGTTCCCTGCTCTGTCTCTGGTGAATTCTCTCACCCTCCCGTGCTTACGACTGTACCCAGTGCTTATATAAATAAATAAGTCTTAAAAAAAAAAAGATATCATTTAAAAAAAAAACAGTAAGATACAAGCTTGCAAAGAAAAAGATCAATAGAGGGTGGAAGGGATGGGATAAGTTTTGTGAGACAAAAAAATTTTTTTCAATAGATCTTGAAAAGTAAGATTTAGCACAAATGAGAGGGGCAAGATGAGGTGAAAACTGCATAAAGAGGTCCAGATTAAAGAAGAAAGGAACTCTGTGTGTGTGTATGTGTGTTTATAAAAATAGTTCAGTGCTTTTTTTTTTAAAAAATGATTTTATTTTATTTATACAAGAACTGGGGTACAGGCCAGATGCGCAGGAGGGTGAGAGGATTCACCAGATACAGAGCAGGGAACAGAACAGGCAGAAGGACCGAAATACACTGCTGAGGGGAGCAGCAGGTGAGATAGGAGAGGTCTGCTCGCCATGTGGGTTGCTTCGAGGCTGGAGGGGATCGAACCGGCACTGCAGAGGCTGCGGACAGCTTCACAGTGTTGCACTCATCCACCTGTGCCACCAGGGAGGCCCCAGTTCAGTGCTTTTTATAGTAAAACATCTGGTAATAGTAAGAAATATGCTTGAGGGCCTCCCTGGTGGCACAAGGGGTTAAGTCTCAGCTATGAAGCCATCCAAAGCCATTGCAGCATGAGTTCGATGCCCACCCAGGGACCTAACCCACATGGCGCAGCAGACCTCTCCTGTATTTCAGTAGATCCACCTGTTCTGTTTCCCATTCTGACTCTAGTGAATCCTCTCACCCCTTGCACATCTGGCCTGTACCCCGGTTCTTGTATGCATAAATTAATAAATCTTTAAAAAAAGAAGAAAGAAATATACTTGAATAGATAGAATAGGTCCAGATATGAGGCTTCTGAACTTCATTTTCCAAATAATAAAAATAATTTGAGCATTTGCCGAAAAGTAAAAGTATGAATCAGGCTTTTACAGATTTATAATCTGTCAGTAGAGGGAAAAACCTGAGGTCAAGAAACCTATTAGAAAGTTATTTCAGATATAACAGCAAAAATTGAGAGGATGAGACCTGCTACGAGAAGCATGGGGTAAAGAGAGTCAAGAAGATTCCTTGGCTGAATATACTGACTTATGAACTATCTGGAAATGACAGTGTACCTGGAACACAATTAGAAAATGACAACTCATACCGACTGGTAGTCAAATTATTAATCCAAACTTACCTTCCGCAATGTCTGAGCACGATGTGCCAATGGCCGTGTCTCCACTGTCAGCTGTACTTGAACAGCGGCTGAAGCGGCTCCGAAAGGCCTCTGAGATAACTGGGGTCTGCCATTCAGTCCCCAGGGAAGTGACCTTCTGAATCACACTGGAACCTGAAACAAGTGGCATTTCCCACATTTAGTGTCAACCAGCTGATATAACTCCGTAAGACTTATTTTTTAATCACTTAAACCTAAAAGAAAAGAGCAACAACTTACCCCTTCTCTCCTGTGCCTATTTCAGTTACTCTGAGTTAGTTAATTTTAAATGGAAATGCAGCATGAGAGATGAGTGTGTCCAAAGACAGAAATAAGACCTACCAAGAATCCAGGAGTGCTGGCACAGAAAACAGTATTTAATAGCAGCTGCCATTTTTGAAACCTTGAAGTCACAGCACTTTACAAACATGAGCTCATCTACCTACTTACTGTAAAGTACTATTATCCCTACTTTGCACAGGACAATGCTGAGATTTGAACACAGGTTGTTTTGATTCCAACACCTACATTCTTTCCTCTTTCAAAATTTTGTAAAGGTGTTTTTGGCATTCTGGGCATGACAATTATTCAATGTGTAGGATGGTTTAGCTTCCCTGGTCCCTAGTAACAGTACTCATCTCACCATCACTACGAAACTCCCAAATACCTCATGTTTTCAAATGCTCCCTAGGTTATAAACAGTCCAGGCCTCTGTTGAGAACCACTGTTTTACTGAACAAGGGCAGGTGGCATGAAAGTCTATCTGAAGAGTTTAAGACTTTGAGGGCAATATAAAAGAACTATTAAAATTTCTGAGCTAATAAGGCAAAACCAAACCTGATGAGATTTATTTGACTCCATTAGCTTGCTGTTTGAGGGTTAAGTAGATAGTATTCAATAAAAACTTGATCTAACATCTTAGTAAAGACTTAAATTCAAATATTTTTTAAAAAGCACCATAATTTTTCAAAATTATATCTGATGATCCATGTAAACAAACAAGCAAAAAGGTAATGGCAGCTACTTACTCATTTAAAGTGTCAGAGTTTGAGCTGAAATAAGAAAACATGATTTTTTACAGACTCTTTGATTTGGTGGAAGCAAAATGACATTTGAACACAAATCACCTTATTCCCTTCTTTCAAATTTAGTGCTTTTCCCGTCTTTTAAAACTTACTTTCTTATACTTCTGCTTCTTTTATTGCTACCCTTCTATTTTCTATTGCAGGCAACCTAACTTCCCCCAAGGATTACTTTTATTCTTTGGGTCACAGTGGACTGCTTGATTTGCAATAATCACACACGTAATAATCTGTAATAATCTTTAACAGAAAACATAGCTGACAATCAGAACTTCTGACCAGCATAATAGCTATACTAAGCTAGTGTAATTCTAGCCAGAAGCAAAGAAATTTGACCTCTTGGTGAATCTGTATGGTGTTCTCTGTCTAGTCAGTGTACAATCTACCAGGATTGAGGACCTTTATGACCATGTTCTTGGCCTCCTGCTGGACACCACTCCTCGTTAACACTACTTACCTTTATTCTTCATCATCACCACGACTTTTCCATCTACCCATTCCATATATCAATTCTAGAGATGGTTGATAAAGCACAAGTAGGCTTTAGTAGTTACAAATATTAAAACCATTTTAATCTGAATGAGTGACTACTGAAGACAATCATCAGAAAACAGTGAGCTTTGTTAGAAAATGCTTATCGAAGTATATACTATATGCAAGGCAGCATGTATAGAATATAAGAAATACCTGCCAAATATTTGCTATAGGCCTTGTGAAGTTTTTAAGTTATTTTTTAAATGATATGCAAAGTTTTTTTTTTTAAGATTTATTTATTTCCACATAGAAGTGGGGTGTAGGCCAGAGGTTGGGGAGGGGCGAGAGGATTCACCAGAGAGAGACTGGGAAGCAGAACAAGTGGATCTACTGAAATACACTGCTGAGGGGAACAGCAGGCAGAACAGGAGAGGTGTGCTATGCCATGTGGATTAGCTCCCTGGCTGGGGATCAAACTCAGGCCATCAGGGTGGAAGCCATGAGACTTAACCCCTAGGCCACCAAGGAGGCCCTTTAAAATTATTTTAAAGTTGAATAAAATGTGTCCGTTTCTTTATAAATACCCCAGAATTCAAAGTTTTTTAAAAATACACCTTATCTACTTAATATGTATACTGAGGGCCTCTCTGGCGGCGCAAGGGGTTAAGACACAACCTATGAAGCTATCCACAGCCACTGCAGCACGAGTTCGATCCCCGGCTGGCCAGGGAGCTACCCACATGGAGCAGCAGACCTCTCCTCTCTTGCCCGCTGCCCCCCTCAGCAGTGTATTTCAGTCAGTCTGCCTGTTCTGTTCCCCACTGTCTCTGGTGAATCCTCTCACCCCCCTACACCTCTGGCCTGTACCCCAGTTCTTATATGCATAAATAAATAAATATTTTTAAAAAGTATACTGAGATTGTACATAAATTTATATGTAAGTTTACATGTCCACTTAGCTTTCAAAATCTTGTCAATGCATTTTAAAGGCAAATTTCTAACTCTCCAGTAACAACACAACTAAGCCTGTTGGTACTGAAGAAAAAGTTCAATCTTTGTGGGTGAGATGACTAACCCACCCACAGGAGTACAAAGACAACATAGAATACAGTAATTTATGCTGTGTTTTTCTGATTTCAAATGGAACTATGTTCCAAAGTCATTCTGTGCCAATCTGTATCTTCCCCTCCCAATCTATCACATGGTCTTGCTGGAAGTCATGTAGCACCAGAAATAAATAGTTGCTCTCTTGGAGAGACCTGTTTTTCTATTCAATGTAGTCCCCTGTTATTTTTTCTTCTTTTAGTACAAGCATTTCAGTGAATGCTTGTTTGCTCAGTATTTCCTTTAAAGGAAATTTCTGTTATGAAATAACAGAGTGAAGGTCAGAATTTAACCCAGAACACTTTGACTACTCACCTGGTGAAGCAGCATGAGAGATCCTCTCACTTGGATATTTCTCCTGCATTGCCATCAACACAGTTATATGATCCAACTGTATAATGAAGAAAAAAGAAAAAACTAGAATAAGATCTCTCCAATATCTTTAATTTCCTGTGCTTTGGCTCCCATTCGGCTGAAATTGTATAAACTACAGAGCAGTCTTCCACATTTTACTCCTATGGATATTTTTAGGGCAAAGCAACTCTCAACACTCCACCCTTCTTCTCTTCCTAGAGTAAGAAAAGAAAATGTAAAATCAAACAGAGTTTACCAATACAAATCCCATATGGTCCTGGAACACCTCCAATTGTAATAATTAATATCATGAATGAATTCCTGGGCCCAATTCCCAATGTGGGTAGGTGTCCAATAAGCAATTCTTGGACACCAACTGAATGAGTGTCGTAATTACTAAATTCTCATTTTAGGAAGAAGGTGTTCCTGACACCAAAAAGCAATCCTCAGACACCAGCAGAGTGCCTGAGAATTCAAGTCAATTCAGCTCAATTCTGACACTACCAACACACAGCAACAAACCCCACAAATTAAGCGTTAAGTCCCCTAAGAGTGCCTCCAGTCACAAGTCCACGCTGCTACCAGTGTTTCTGATGACTGGCTATAGATTAGAGGTCCCATTATCTGCTCTTTAGGTTCAATTAATCTGTTAGTGTGGCTTACAGAACTCGGATAAACATTTTACTTACAAGATCACAGGTTTATTGTAAAAGGACATAACGAAAGAACGGTCAGATGGAAGAGATATATAGGGCAAGCTAAGGGGAAAAGTTTCCATGCCCTCTCTAGACACCATTCTCCCCAAAGCTTCACCAACCCAGAAGCTCTCTAAGTTTCATGGAGGCTCATTACATAAGCACGACTGAGTAATTCATTGGCTGCTGGTGAATCATTTAACCTCCAGCAGTTGCGGGTGAGACTGAAAAGTTCCATCCAGGGTTAGTTCTCCTGGAACTCATAGTCTCAGGTATGATCCACAAAGTCACCGGCAAGGCATCTTTTGTCACTCTCAACACCTAGGAAAGTCCAAGGCTTTTAAGGGTTATGAGTTAAGAACTGTGGATGAAAACCAAATATATATGAGAAATATATTTTGGTTATTTGAATGGCCAGATATGTATTTCTTATAAATCACATTATTATATATTACTTTTTTTTTTTTTTTTGTGGGACCTCCGCCGGTGGCCAGGGATCGAACTGGCGCTGCAGAGGCTGCGGGCAGCCTTGCAACCCAGCGCTCAACCGCTGCGCCACCAGGGGAGGCCCTATTATATATTACTTTTAATTAACAAGTCTGCTTAGTCATGGGGACAGGATGGAAGGATGGGGTGAAGAAATAAATAACCAAACCAACAGTGAAATAAATAACCAAACATACCATTCACTTAATGGTAGGTCCTGAGAATTTAGCAGAAGTCTAATTACTATATGTGTAAACAAAGGTTATAATTAACTATTACCAATAACAGCATATAATAAATTTGTATAGTACCTGAGAAGCAGTTCTGAGAAGTGGCTCAGAGTGTGTCTATTGATGAGACAGCTTTAAAGACTGGCTTCAACAAATTTCTTAATACTGCTGTGCCTCAGATACGTCATATAAAAATGAGGTTAAAGACTAATAATGCTAATTCATTTAGAATCAACTTACAACAGTGTCTGCCATATATTAAGTGCCTAATTGTTTTTATTACTATTACTTAGTAGTTCATGTTAATAAAAAATGGCACAGTAACATCCCTGAAAGATAAAGAAATATGAACTGGAAACTCTGAACTTATGAGAGTCCCAAAAGATTTTGGGACAACTGTTGACAATTCTTAGAGGTGAAATTCCACTTTTTTTAAAAAAAAGATTTATTTATTTATGCATACAAGAGCTGGGGTGTAGGTCAGAGGTGCAGGAGGTGAGAGGATTCACCAGAAACAAGAGTGCGGAGCAGAACAGGTGGATCCACTGAAATACACTGCTGGAAGGGAGCAGCAGGCAAGAACAGGAGAGGTCTGCTGTGCCATGTGGGTCAGCTCCCTGGCTGGGTGATAGCTTAATATTGCTGAGACTTTTCCCCTTCAACTTTGAAGGGGAAAAAGGCCTATACATACTATTTCTCTAGTGTACTTTACTGACCTCTGTTGTTTTCTCTTAGTAACAACAACCCAAACCCTCACTAATTCATCTGCAACAGAAATGGCACCGTTCCCTTGAATCCCAAGTTTTCACACATTGGGTAATTGTTGACTACTCAATTTATGGCTAGTATCACTATCTACTAGTGATTTCAAATAGTCATATCAATTTTCTTCATCCCTTTTTTTAAAGTATAACAAAATGGCTGGGCCATTGGATTTTCTGAGACCTTTCCGAATTCAGATGAATTGAAAGCATAATGACAAAATAACTAGCAGTAATAAAGTTATTGTATACTCGGGAGTTCTCTTTTAAATTCAAAAGAAAGAAAAGCATATGTCCACACAAAAACTTGTACATTAATATTAATAACATTTATAACTGCTAAAAAATAAAAAGATTTTAAAATCCATTGACTAAGAAATGAATGTGGTATATCCATACAATGGGATATTATTTAATAATAAAAGGAATGAAGCACTGATATATGCTACAGGGATGAATGTTGAAAACATTAAGCTAAGAGGGCCTCCCCGGTGGCGCAGCGGTTGAGCGCTGGGTTGCGAAGCTGTGCGCGGCCTCTGCGGCGCCGGTTCGATCCCCGGCTGCTCCCCGGCCACCAGAGGAGGGTCCCACATGGCGCGCAGACCTCTCCTGCCGCCCGCTGCTCCCCTCAGCAGTGTACTTCGGTCCTTCTGCCTGCTCTGCTCCCCGCTCTGGCTCTGGTGAATTCTCTCGCCCTCCCGCGCTTCTGACTGTACCCAGTGCATGTATAAACAAAACAAACAAACAAACCAGCAAACAAATAAATAAAGCATGCCTCTATAAAATAAAAAAAAAAAAAAAAAAAGAAAACATTAAGCTAAGAGAAAGAAGCCAAATATAACAAGTCACATACTGCATGATTCCATTTCTATGAACTTTCCAGGTCCGGCAAATCCTTAGCAACAGTAATTACTGGCTGTCAGAAACTAAGAGGAGAATGGTGGAGAACTGGGGAGTGAATGCTAGTGGGTATGGCATTTCTTTCCAGGATGATCAAAATGTTCTGAGTGGACAGTTACAGAGCCTGATAGAGTAGACAGTTGCACAGCCTTGTGAATATACTAAGCCCACTGAATTATACAGAACACAGAATTGAACTTAATGGTATGTGAATTATATCTCACTTTTTTTTTTTTTTAAAGAACTGCAAGGGATACAATGGTAAAGAACCTATTATATACCCAAAAAAGGCAGGAGCGAATGGAGGCAAACAGGGGAAAAAAGCATTCAACATGGATGGTTTCTATCTTCAAACTACAAGTTTTTGTCCTTAAACTACAAAATTACTCATCTATTCAACAAATTTGAGATGTATTCGGTGGTTACTACCCATCGAGCACTGTGCTTGCACTCTATAGGCATCATGTCTCATGTTTAAAGCGCACATCAAACTTCAGAAGTGGTTACTGTTATTATCCTCATTTAATAGATGACAAAATAGAAGTCTAGAGAGGTGACAGTCATAGGAAAAAGCTTCAAAGCCAGGACTGTGCTCTAATGCTACAGGAGTCTGGCCAGCATGACATAGAGAAATAAAGAAGTTATTAAGACAACACGAGATGGATTTTCTGTCTCAGACAAAGCTGAGTTGCAATTCTCAAAGTAGTTAGGAGCAGAGACAACCAAGTCTTCATTTTGCCCTTGGTCACCACCCAGTTTCATTTCACCCACACCGCTACACAAGAATTAGATTTTGACTGTAAACGGTATTTCTCCCCTTGAAGAATTATAATCTGAATGTGGACCATCACTCCTGGCAGCTGTTAAGAGAACCACATCAAGGCAGGAGAGGATTTGAAGGGATACGCAGACAGCTGACATAAACACATTAAGAATCTCCCACCAGCACACAATTTTCATGGCACTGATCACTCATTAAACCAGGACTAAAGAAAAGGATGCCGGTCCTTGCCAAGGAGTTGCCTTCACAAAGAACAAGCTTCAAGAACTGTACCATCACTAATCCACTATAAAGCAACAAGGTCTACGGGCGGGTAATGAGGTGTGGTTGGCTTAATCATCCTTGTATCAGGACTTCTCCCCGCCTGGCACGCAGTGGTCATCCACTAGAATTTACTGGGTGCATACTGTCTGCCTGGCTGTGCGCCATGCGGTGTAAATAGATCGGTGTACAAGACAAACAGGGTTTTGACCTTCCTGGTTTCCTGGGAAGTGCTGAGCGCTCTCTGTGGAACAAGTAAGCTCTAACAGACTAAACTTTAGGTTCATCCAAAGCCCCAGCTCCTCCATGTAGAGCAGGCTTCCTCCATCTCCGTCCCTGCGAAGTTAGGCTGGGGAAATCGTGGAGGGAGCTGTCCTGCACTCTGCAGGGTGATCAGCAGCATCCAGACTCCACCGCTAGATGCCAGGAGCAAACCCCGAATAGTGGCTGCAAAAAAAGGTCTTCAGATGGAGTCGGGCACCTCGTGGGGCTCGGAAACTAGTTGAGGTGCTCGGTGTCTCCCAACTTTCGTTCTGCTCACCTTTCAAACCTCGGCTGCAATCTCGCCTCCTCGGGGTCGGCTCCCTGAACCTCAAAACACACCCGCGCCCTCCTTCCCGTGTGCACCACCCGCTTCCCGGCCGCGCTCCGGGAGGACAAGGAGCGTGCTCCCGCCACGCCCCTGGAGACTGGCCCTGGGCCCGGCCCCCGGGAAAGCAACTGCTCCCCCGGGGAGCGAGTGGTCGCGGGGAAGGCGGGGCGGGCAGACCACCGAGGGGGCGTGCGGGGTGCAGGACTCGGCCGAGGACCCGCGGGGAGAGCGAGGGGGCGGCTCAGTCGCTCTGCGCACGCGCCTCGCCCTCCCACGGCCCTCCCCCACCACGGAGGCAGGTCGTCAGTGGCTGGGGTCCCCTCAAGGCGGGGCCGGGTCTGTCAGTCCTCCGGGGGGCTCCGAGGGGAGGAGGACTCACCTGATCCTGGAAGCGGGTGGCGAGATCGCTCACTCAGGGCCACGAACCGAGGCCACCACGCCCGCCCAGGGCCGCGGCTGGGTCCCTCAGCTGGACTAACGGCCGTTACAAGCTCTCCAGGCCGCGCGCCTCACCGCGCGCGCCGCCCTAGCCCCGCCCCTTTATGCCGCCTGCGACCAATCAGGAGTCCGCTCCGCTCCGGCACGCTGCCCGGCGCCGGGAGCAGGCGGGTCTCTCTGCGCATGACCCGGCGCCGGCCTGACCTTCTCCCGCGGCTCCCGCTGGGACTCGCCTGGGGCGGAGCTCTGCACCCCACACCACCCCCACCCCACCCCCGGCCTGCCGTAGCCTGCTGGGCTTGGCCAGGTTGAGACGCGGGCGGCCCGGGCGAATCTGTAGGGAATCCCATCCAACCAGTGCCACCCCCTAGCTGCACTCCCACCTGAGCCAGGGGGTCAGGTTGTGACCTGGAGCCAGGGGTGGCACGAGCCGAGCCGTTGCCTTGCAATCCTCAGGACTCAGTCTGTGCTTGGGGTCAGGTCTGGGGTAGTCCCTGGTCAGTTTGTGACCAGGGCTCAGGTTGAAGGGTTAGGAATCAGTCTCGCCTCCCTACCAACTCAGTGCCAGGGAAAGGAACTAAGTTCATTTGCATTTATGTATACGTGATGCATGGACCTTTCAAGAACCAGGCTGGGAAATTGTTTGAAACGAGGAACAAAGCCATCAGCCACAAGATAGTGAAATTACAGGTATCAGAAAACCTGATTTGGGAGAGAAAGTTGTGTGATTTCTTAACCTGGGCATAGAGTTAATTACTGAATCAAATTCGTTCTAGAGGAAGGACTGGGGAGATGTGTTCTGAAGTTCTATCCCTTGCCCTCTCTTGCAACATTGTAAGGTAATGTATAGAAGGCATAAAATAGGTTTAATGGATGATGGTATGATATCACAAATGAATTTTGGGGTATAGTCTGAAATTAGGATCATAAGTCTTTATTAAAATATGAATGGTGGGGATCAGTGTCTAAACGAATAAACTTGTGTACTAGTTAGGAAACACCCACTTGATGACTTTGGCCTTGTGAAAAGTATCAGTGAGAAGGGAGGGACCAGGGGCATGTAGAAGACTGGGAAGAATGAGGAAATTTTGAAGAGTTGGTGCAGAGAATGGAAGAGAAACCAGATTGGAAACACAGTGAGATGCTGAGATTTAAATTCACAAGTGACATTGTACATTTGTGCAATTTTCTCTCATGGACACCTGTATTTCAAAAGTAACTATTATACTATCAGTTTTCAAATATGCATGACTTCTTGTCTAAAGACTTGTGCTAATTGAAGAGAAAATTCATGGTTTATTTGATCTGAGATATTCTTAAATATTTGTTATGTTATAATTTTTAAAGACTTGCATATTTTAATAAAATAATCAATGGAGGGGGGACTCCCTTGGTGGCGCAAGGGGTTAAGACGCAACCTATTAAGCTGACTGCAGCTTCTGCAGCACCAGTTCCATCCCCGGCCAGGGAGGAGCCCACATGGTGCAGCAGACCTCTCCTGACTAACCCGCTGATCCCATCAGCAGCGTATTTCAGTCAGTCTGCCTGTTCTGTTCCCCACTCTGTCTCTGGTGAGTCCTCCCACCCCCCACCCACCCCGCACCTCTGGCCTGTACTCCCATTCTTGTATGCCTAGATAGATAAATCTGTTTTTAAAAAAATCAATGAAACTATTCCGTTGACTGGAGCTGGCCAAGCTCCAGGAACTTTCCCTGGAATGAGAGTCATAGAGTTCCCATGTTGAAGTAGAGATTAACTGGTCATGCTGTTTCATTTTACATTCAGGGAACTGCGACCTATAGAGAATAAGGAACTGAGATCCACACACACACACACCTATTTCTCATAAAGTGCTGAAGCTTTCTGGCCAGATTACAGAGAAAAGGAGTGGAAGTAGAATTCCCTGCTGTTTATTCACCACACCCTACCTCTGCACTGTCCCCTACCACAGGCTCAGAGGCCATGTTCCTTACCAGACAGCAGTTGGGGTGCACATGGGTTCTATCTTTACCCCCTGAAGCTGAGAGGCAGAGGGTGGCTGACTTCTTTCAGGTCACACAGCTGAGCCGAGCCAGGATCTAAGACCAGCACCTGTCAGTGTGTGTACTCCCAGACCCCTGTCTACCCGTCTGCCGGACTCCTGGTGCCGGAGTCACTGGACCCTGAAACCACATAGAAAAACTGAACAAGGGCCTCCCCTGGTGGCGCAGGGGTTGAGCGCTAGGCTATGAAGCTGCCCGCAGCCTCTGCAGCGCCGGTTCGATCCCTGGCGACCGGTGAGGGTCCCACATGGCGCGCAGACCTCTCCTGCCGCCCGCTGCTCCCCTCAGCAGTGTATTTCGTCACTCTGGTGAATCCTCTCACCCTCCCGCGCTTCTGACTGTACCAGTGCTTGTATAAATAAATAAATAAATCTTTAAAACAAAACAAAACTGAACAACAAGAAAGAAAGGAGGGAGGTCGGGAGGGAGGACGTTGCTGTCCAGGCCCTCGTGACCTCGGATCCCCCTTGCTCGATTCCTCCCAGGCGGACTCTTGACCAGTCAGTGGGAGACGCAAACATAAAAGCAGCGCGCGCCCTCTCCACCTCGGTCAGCCTTTGCCGGAGACCCCAGGCGGGCCCGAAGGCGGGGCACCTAAAGCCCGCCCTTGAAATCAACCCCAGGCCCCGCCCTCAGCCCCGCCCCCGGCGGGATAAACCAATCACTTTGCACCGCGCTCCTCCAGGCCGCCCTCAGCCCCGCCCCAGGGGGACCGCCCAGCTGGGAGTCCGCGCGGAGCTGCCCGGAGCGCCGCGGCCAGCCCGGAGCCTGCCCCTCCGCGCGGCCCGCTCGCCGGCTCGCAGGGCCGTGCCGCCCTCATGTGGCGCAGGGCCACTCGGCAGTGCAGGGAGAGCGTGCCACTGGCCGAAAAGCGAATCAGACTGAAGCTCGCGCCGCCTCCGGAGAGGCTCGTGGCTCCGCGAGCCCTGAGCAGCGGACGGGCTGCCGACCCGCGGCTGCGGAGAGGCTGGTCACCAAGTGTTAGGGGTCCCAACTTGGGGCCCGCGGTGTGAGTGGACAGACGCTGAGTCCTCCCCTTTTACTTATCCTTTATGGGCGTAGATGCTGGATCTCGTGCTGAGAACCTTGCACACTGCATTTCCTTTCATCCTCACATCGGGCCTAGGAGGACGATGAACTTCCTCTCCCCCTGCCCCAACCCCTCCCCACTCCCCTCTCCTGCCCTCCCTTCTCTTTCTCTCTCCTCCCCCAGGCCCCCACAATTATTATTTGCTAATGGGCCAGTAACAGCTCATGACCAGATGACCTTTTATTTTTATTTGTTGTTTTGTTTTGGTTTTCCTCTAAGGGTCTCTATTTTTAAAAAGTTCGTTTCCATAATCTTTAGATACAGATTCACCTGGCCCTTCACAAAGTTATGGTGTCCACTCTGGCCTCTACCGCTTCTTAGCTGTACTGATAAGTTCCTCAGATTTACCCGAGTGGGTGTAGTAGCCATCACTGCACGTGCAAACCCCACTGCCGCCTGGGGACTGACCCAAAGCACAGACTCTGGCTCTGCGATGTCTGCTCTGAGGGTTGAAAGAGCAGCTGTTGTCTCAGGTGACTGGGTGGTTGCAGCGTCCACACTGGGGCTGATTCTGCTGGATGCAAAGGTGCCTATACTGCAGCTGTGATGGTGGTTGAATCCTGAGCTTTGGTGGATGGCATGGGCCTGATGACGTCACGTCATGGCTGGGTGTGTTTGATGGTGATACTGTTGTGATGGTGGATGACTCAGACGATGCTGTCCCCTTCGTTGTCAATGAGCTCATGCATTCAACTATAGAGGACACCTTGTCTCTCCTGTTGAAGGATAGACCTGACGTTGTAGATGAACACACCTTAGTTCTTCTGTTAGGTGCAAGGTCTTCTGAGGAGACTGTTGTGTTTGACATCATTGGATTTTCACCTCATCTGAGTCAGGTGCTTCTCCAATGCCCAGGCATTAGTGCACTGAATCCTCACAACCAAACTAAGGTCAGGACTATTATTTCTACTTATCAGATGAAGAAATGGGGCTCAGACAAGTGAAGACATCTGCCCGAGGTCACATAGCTGGCAAGTGGTGGCATTGCACTTGAAAGTAGGACCCTAGAGCCCAATATCTTCCCTATGGTACTGCACTGCCTCACGAAAACATAGCTTCATTGTCATGGCTGAACTAGCCACTCTATAGAGAAAGGCCCAACCCAGCTATGCTGAGCTGGATCCCTTGGAAACCTTTCTCTTTCCCCGGGCAATGAGGGAAAAAAACGTAGCTCCATCACCTGATGCCCTGTCATTGCATCCTTGGCAGTGTCGTGGGGCTAATTCAGAAAACTGGAGGTGACTCAGCCCAGGTGATGGGCCTCTTCTTCCCACAACCTAGCTCTGAAGAACCACTGACCATTGGCCCTATCCCCACTCCCAGCTACAGCCTGCTCCTGCCACATCCTTTCTTTGAGCCCTGTGCAGAGCTAAGGGCTGACAGTCTAACGGGAGAGGTGGCCGGGAACACAGAAAAAGTAGAGGACCTGGATTCTAGACGTGGCCCTATTGCTGATTTACTGTGTATTCTCGGGGGGAAAACCCACGCCTCTGAGAGTCTCCATGCACCCCTCAGCATGGTGATGAATTTGGTTTCAATATCAGAGGGGCCCTCTAACTAGAAATCCATGGGTCTGTTTGCAACAAAACTCCAAGCTGAATGAACAAATAACTTCTATAGGACTTTCAAGTCTGGATTTGCAGGGAGATGTTTCCATTGGATCTGATTTTATGGTTTGTTTTTTTTTTCCCCAGATGGTTAACACGTTGTCCCTGCTCCTTGTGAAAAAGGAGCTTTGTCGTGCTACCTGGCATTATTTATCCAGGCCAATTTCCCTGCTCTGTCATTACATTAGTTTGCTTGTCTACCGCTGCACCAACATGGCATTCTCTTACTGGTACTTTTGTTGTTATTGAGTTTTGAGGTAACTTTAGTGTACCATACCTCTTCTTTGTTACTTGAATGTAAATCTCAGCATCGAATATATGAGTCTCCTGTTTTGCTTTTCAAAATTATCTTAGCTTATTGTTGGTCAAGTTTATCAAGTTCTACAAAATACTCTGTAGGGATCTGGGTTGTAAGTGTGCTGCAACTGTAGATTAGATTTGATGAGAATTGACATCTATACTGCAGAAACCAGACGAAGGGCAGGCCAGGGGGCCTGGGGCCAGCCTCCAGCCTGTGCTGAATCTTTACTCTCTCTGGTGTCATCTCGTAGTCCTGCCACTCTAGTCACTCACCCTAGACGAGACAGGAGAGTTCTGCTGTGCAATATATGGGTCAGCTCCCTGGCCGGGGATTGAACTCAGGCCTTGGAGGTGATAGCACTGAGACTTAACCCCTTAACTCCCTCACCACCAGGGAGGCCCTGGGTAATGTTTTTTTAGCAATAAAAAAATTTCAAATTCAGGTATGTACATTGCTTTTTAGACATAATGCAACCACATGATTAATAGCCTACAGTCTTGTAAACATAACTTACATGCACTTAGAAACCAAAACACTCATGTGACTTGCCTTATCATAGCAGTCACTTTATTTCTATGGTCTGGAACCAACCTACACTAACTCTGAGCTGCACCTGTACACACTTCACTGACAGTTGAGGATGAAATGTGATAAGGCCTGTAAAGCACTTAGCACATAGTAGCTGCTTAATGAGTAGAACCTGCTATTGTTAATAATTATCCTCTTCTGCTCCTATCTTCCTTGGTGCTTTGCCCAGGGTGCTTCTGTCCTGGAGAAAGCCATGGACTTGTGGGGGTGATGAGACGTGAAATTTCCTGCCACTTTCTAATATCTACCCCTCCCACCCCCGCCATGTCCTAGGATTCAGGGCTGCACCTCTAACTCTAGCTTAGTGAGTGAAGGTAATTGAAGAGGGTCAGGCTTTTACACCCCTGGCCTCTGTGGCTATCACTTGCAGCCTTGCTCTTGTTCACGTAGAAGGCGCGGGGTATGGGGCACACATGCCTGATTATGGACACCTGAGCATGAATGTGTGCACATGTGCGAGTGTGCACACCTCTGCCTAGGAGGGAGGGGATAAAAGGGTGACGTCATGCTGGGGAAAGGGGTTCAAGTTGCTGTCTCCCTGCTGGTGTGTTCCCCCTGCTTACCATTAAAACCTTTGAAAATGATGCCCAGGGCTCCAACATTCTCTTTCAAACTGCTAGCAGTGAACCCACCCAGCCTGGATGGTTGCAGAACAGTGAAGCATTGGGGGTGGGTGTGGTTGCTCTTTGTCGAGAAGGGCAGAGGAAGGCAGCAGGTGTAGGGGCAGGAATGACACAGTGCAGGTTTTCTGATCCAGCAGACTGGGTAAAGGAGGAATCAGAGTCCTTAGTGGGTTTTTGCAGGTCTTTTATTGGGGTTCACCAGGCATATGGCAGGCAGGGGTGCTGGGGGGCCGGGAGGCAGGCAGTCCTCCCAGCCCCCAGCAAATCCTCACTCTATCTGGGCTCTCTGGCGTTCTCTCTGCTTCTCTGCTCTTCTGTTCGTTCTGCTGCTTCTTGGCTTCTTCATCGGCTTCTGCTTCGGCTTCTCCTGCTCTTCTCGGTTTCTCTTCGGCTTCTGCTTCTTCTTGTCTTCGGCTGGCGTCCCCGTGACGCCGCCCTTAAAAGAACAGTCTTAGCCCACTTGAATCCTATCCAGGTGCCCGCCATCAGGCATGCATTCAGGATCACAGTGTTCCCTCATCTATCCTGATGGCGGGAGGGCAGAAAAGCCTGATATTTTTCCTTACCCTACAGCAGGGGTCCAAGCCCCAGGCCCTCAGTACTGGCCAGCATGGGAGGAAACTAGAACTGCAGAAACGCCAAACTATTGGCCTGACCCAGATGGGAAAGATTTCAGAGAGGAGGAGGCAATATAGATGAAATGGAGGGAATAGACAGAGAGCTTCCTGGAAAAGTATGAACGGTCAAAGCCAGAAGCCCCTTGGAGGTCATCTCACCATGTTCCTGCCTCCAAATTCTGCCAAACACCTGAAGGTGTTCAGATAATTTTAGGGATGGGTGGGGGCTGGGCTTGTTCTCCTGGAAACAATACCTTACTTCCACTCTTTTTTTCTGTCTCTGGCCAGCCAGAAGGGGGGCTCTTGAGAGCCCCAGAGGATAGATGGAATGTGTCTGGTGATACTCACCAGGCAGATGGAGGGCTCCATCCCCAATAAATAGCAGCAGCAGCAAAAGCCACTGGCTGCCCATGGCTTTGCTGGTGGATGGTCCTGGAGAGCACTGGGAAGGGGTCCTGGCCTGAGTAAGGGATAGACAGAGACTCCAAGACAGTGAGACCCTGCTGATACCACCTTCCACCTGCCTGCTGAGTGTACCCTGTCCCTTGTCTGGACTCCTTCCCAGCAGGCCCCAGGGGTTTTCAGGCCTGGAATCAATGCTGGTGGGGGGAGGGGATGGAGAGTGGCGTTTCCTGTCAGCTGCAATCATTGGGTCTCTGGGATTCCTGTTCCAACTGGTGAATCTCCCCAAAGTCCCTGATTGTCAAACTTTGCTGCATAGCTGGGTAGAACTCAGGGTCCGAGCCTTCCCCCTACCCAATACCAGGGACCCTGAGTCTCAGGGACAAGGCTGATCTCATCAGTCTCTCAACTCCTGGATTAAGAAGCTATTTGATTTTAGAGCTAGAAAGCAAGTTCGTCCTCTCCCCACTGCACAGATCGGGGAATGAGGCCCAGTTATTTACCCATGAATAGAAATTCAGGCGTCCTATCTTCCAAAGCAGCGGTTCTTGTTGCCCATGACTGACAAGCTTTCTCATACTCCCTGCACCACTAGCTCAGGAACCCGTGGCTTTTGATGATCTTTGTTGTGAAGTTCCCAGGAGGCCTCAGGTTTCAAGTTCCCCATTAGACGTGATTCACCTGACCCACAAACTCTTCCTGCTGTCTTCCAGCAAGTCTCAGTATACCCCTGTCCTCCAGAGGCCAGCCAAGACTCACGCTTTGCCCAGTCATTCCCCATGGCCCCAGAATGGAGCTGCCTGTATCTACTACACTTGTTTGATGGTGACCCCATTAGACCAGGGCTCCCCAGAATTAGGACCAGTCTCCTGTAACTTCAGAGAGAGGGGAGGGGACCTCTCTTTTATCAGACAGGGACATAGCCAGACTGGCAGTGACTACAGGTGTGGTTGGGAGTCTAGGGGAACCAGATCATGGTATAGACAGAAACCTTAACTAATGGGGTTCCCAACCATAAGGACCACACTTTGCCCCTCAAAAAATCCCTAAGGACAGGGATTATATCTTTACCCTAAGCCAGAAATTTTCAAGGTGTGGATTATCCCATTAGACAGGATGTTCTAGAGGGCAGTCAGTGACTCATCCAGCAGACAAACAAGCTTTCGAGGGGCAAGATCTTCTTGTCCATCAGACCTGGGGCAGGGCTCCCCTAAGGGGTAGGAGCTACATCAGCCAGGCACTTGATCCCAACACAAAACTTTATTGCAACACATAGATGCCTGGCCCCACTGGCCTCATCCTTTTCCTCTCAGTGCTTGGGCACACCTCGGCCACATTTAGCTCTTGCCTAGAGCAAAGTGCCAGGGATGCCCACTCTTAGACCAAACCCTGGCTGTTTTGGCCAGCACCCCTTCTGCACTCAGGCTCCGACTCTCATCCAGCACTCTTCTCCATCCTGGCTCCCCTGGACTTGTGTTCCAGGCTTCTGCCCAGGTGTAAGAGCATGGGCTCAGGTCAGGCTGTGCCGAGTCATGCTAGCGACGCGTCATGCTAGTGACGCAGGGAGTTGCAGCGCCTGGATGTGTGCATGCAGGCCCCATGGCATCTTCCTGCCTCTCAGCGGCTGCCCTTACGTTTACTAAGGAGTATATTTGTTGTAGACTCCTGAACCTGCAAACCAAGAAGTCTTGTCAATTCCCCCACCCTGACATGCTAGCTCTCCCTTACTCTCCCCCATTCCAGCTTCACTGGCTGCCCATCCAGGCCTCCCAGGGAAATTAATTAAATGCCTGCCTAGCATTCCCTCTGAGCTCAGGCACTTAGGTGTTGAACATGCACAAGGCTCCAGGTCACCCTGGCCCAGTCAGATGGCGTGGGAAGTAGAGAAAGAAACTAATGTGGGTGCAGCTCTTTTGCACCCTAGACAAGATCCGGGCACCTCTTACCCCAGATCTGCCACTGAGCAAGAACTGAGTTGGCTCAGGCAACTCTAAGAACAGACAGCTAGAGATGGAAGTGGCTCATAGGTGAAGCTGAAAGGAGAGGGTGGGGCCTCTGGATAAGGAATGTGTGGAACATGGCCAGACTGGCAGTGACTGCAGGTGTGGTTGGGAGTCTAGGGGGACCAGATCATGGTATAGACAGAAACCTTAACTAATGGGGCAGAGACATGCCTGGGCTGGGTCAGGCAGTGGGGTGAGCACTTATTGGGTGCCAGAGGGAAGCAGCACCTTGTCTCTTGTGATGAGTGCAGTGATCAAGTCCTGCTCGCGGGTCACCTCTCGGATGTCTATGGAGGACCCGCTCTCCAGCGACAGGCTCAGTGACCAGCGCCTCTGCAGCAGCTCCTCCTCCTGCTCCTGGTTGAAGCGGATGGAGCGCACCTCGTCCACTATCCTGGGGGGTGGAGGGGTGAGGGTGTTCGAGAGTTGGGAGTGGAGGGAGGGAGGAGGAGGAAGAAAGGGGTAGCCCTCCCACCTCTGCCTTGGCATCCACCCCCCTCTGACCTCCCTTTTCACTGTAGAGATCCAGGCCAGGCTGGGTGCTCCCGTGACACAGAACACTAAGTCTGGATCCCAGCTCCTCTGCCTAGAGGGACAAGTCACTTAACTCCACTGGGCCCCACATTATAAAACACCCAGAAGAATCCGGGGTGCTGCTCGACTCTGACTCAGGGACTCAGGGGCACCCCCAGTACCACCCCTACTCATTGAGCTCATCTCGAATCTCCTTGTACTGCTTCAAGTTCTCCTGTATTGCCTCCAGCACCAAGAAAAAGTTGTCACAGGTGTTTTCTGAGAGGTTTGACAGGGGAGCCCCCACAAGCGGTTCCTGGGGGAGGCCAGACTTCTCGGACCGGGCGACCACACAGTGCACCAGTGGCAGCTTATTATTCTTATCCTGATCCAGGTCACCTATCTGGGGAGGGGGGAAGGGAGAGGATAGGGACAGCTCAGCTGGCACCCCCTCCCTAGCCCTTCCGATTAGCTTCAGGTCAGATGAGTCTCTCTCTGGACACCAGGATTCTAATGTCCCTCTTTCTAGCTCCAACCAGTCTTAACTTTCTTACCTTGCTGTGGATGCTCAGCTTGAAATGCACAAGCCTTTCCCCACCCTTCTTGGAAATTCTCAACCCTTTAAAAAATGTAGGGTCCTTCCCCTCACCATTTCGCTCCTGATAAATCTTACCCAGTAAACTTCTAAGGCCATATCTACTCCTAAATCAGTTCAGAATCCTTGACACTTTGGGAAAGTACTCTCCCCCCGCCCCCACCCTCTTGGAAATTCTGTCCCTGAATAAATAATACTATAGCTAATTAACATCTATTGAGTTCTTAGTTTATGCCATTTACCCATGTAATTTCCGTCATTGTCCTGTGAGATAAATATAGAAGAAATTTGGGCTTAGATTGGTTCAATACCCTATGATCACTGAGCTGCTGAGTTTTGAACTGCCAAAGAAACAAGACACCATCAGAAGCCCCAGTTAGAGGGCTGGCACTCAAGGGTGGAGGATACTGCTCTTGGGTATCAGGTGTGGCTTTCTGCAGGCCTCTGAGTGAACAAACACACACACACACACACACACACACACACACACACACACACGGGCTCAGGTCATCACTCATATGCACACACCCTTTCTTTCCTCCCCACCCCATTTACCTCACTGAAGGTCATTTGATGCGATTGCCCCTTCTGCTCTCCTGCCTTCATCATTAACTCCAGATTGGTGGTCACCACAACAACCAACAGGTTGATGCCAATGAAGGCACCTATGGTGATGAAGATGGCAAAGTAGATGGCTCCCCCAAACTCCACTGCATACTGCCTCTTCTCCATCCTGGAGATGACAGGGAGGGATCCTATCATCTCCCTGGACATCTGAGCCTCAGTTTCCTCATCTATGAAATGGGGAGATTATCTCAAGGCCTGTTGGAGTTCTGCTTCCTCCCTGCCACTTGCACAACCATCCCAGGCCAGGCAGTTTATGGCTGATTCGGGCAAATGGGAAAAGAATCTTGGAGCCTTAGATATATCTGACATGCCTTTAAAGCTGAAGCAGGGGACCGGATACAGAGGCAGACAAACAGGAACAGCAGCTACGCTTTACCGAGCATCTGCTGCACTGCCAGACAGTGCCGGCTCTGCATGGTGGGGGCTATACACCAGCACTATCAAGTTTAATTGGTTGGCTATACCCTTTATTCATTATCTTCTTATTATAAAACGTAATTCAGTTTATGATAGAACGATCAGAAGGAAAATATAAAGGAAGAAAATCCACACTGTTCATGCCTTGTTGTTGTAAATATCCCATAAAGTGTTGCCTCTCCTCTCTTTCTTTCCTCCCTTCTCTCTCTCTGTCTGTCTGTCCCCCAGGCTCCATGCCAAGATAAGATATTACAGATTTTTTCTATGGACCCTCACAGCAAGCCGGGAATAGTTACTATTGTATTGTAATTGCCGCTTGATAGATGGTGGGACAAAGACTCAAAAGCACTGTCTACCTTTATTGAGCTCTCTGTGCTTTTCCCACTACCTCCATCATAACTGGTAATGACCACAGAAGTCCCTTCCTAGGCAGGCTTCTACTCTCACATGAACAGGATAAAAAGAAATCAGTCAGGGGGACCTACTCCTTGTGGTGAATGGGAAACAGGTTCAGAGATAATGAGAAAGATGCAAAGAGCGGAATCCAGCATCCATCTATGGCCAAAATGACCTTGGGCAGCAGGCCCCAAGTTCCCTGGCAAATAGGCAGTTTGCTGTGCGCCTAGTTTGGGCTGGCACGCTGTCCTGAAACCCCAGGTGAACCACAGCCCTGTTTCCTTGCCCAAGGCCTACTCAGCATGATGAGAAAAGCATTCTCGAGTAAGCCCCAGGGTGGATCTTTGAAAGGGTACAGTTTCAAGGGACAGGTTTCAAAAGGTCTCAGACCCAGAGATCCCAGCCCGATAGTCTCCTTTCCCCCATTTAAAGTCCTGAGCATGCTCCCCCTGCCAAGCTAGCCTCGTCCCCAGCCCTTCTCCCTCCCCGGGCAATTTTTTGGTGCCTGCCTTGCCTATCTGGGCTGGGGGCCTAGAGTCCTGGGGCACTCACTGAAAGTCATTGTAGATGTCCAGCCAGCCATCCTGGGTGATGCAGACGAAGAGGGTATACAGGGCAACGTGCATGTTCTGGAAATGCATGGGCACGGCTGCACCAAAGAGAGTGACCCCAAACACAGAGAACACCTGCCAGAGAGACCGAAGACCCATCCTGACTTCACCCAGGGGCCTTGGAGACAGGACACGCAAATGCCACGCAAATGAACTCTACCGAGGGAATCACAGGGATTCAGGCCCATAGGTCTTTCCTCTGTTCCTGACACCCTGTATCCCCAGTCACCCAGGGGCCCAGTTCAGGGATGGGGAGGGCTGGGGTTGGGGGAACGGCACTGACCAGCATGAAGAAGAGGATGAGGGCCATGATATTGGCCATGTCGGGCACCGACTGCCCGATGACACGGATGATCCGGGCCAGGGGCTCCACCGCCATGCACACGTGCAGCAGACGCAGCGTCCTGTGGCAGAGTCTCTCAGGGGTGCCCACTGGTCCTTCCCAGACCCCTCCTCCTCATTGCCTCTCCCCACCCAGAAAGGCAGCAGCGATCCCTAGCTGCTAACACCCCCACCATCTCTTTCCCAAGATCCAAACAGGTGCTCCTCCTGTCTCCAGAGCTTTCAGCTCACCTGAGGGTATAGGTGACAGAGATGACATCGAGGTCATTGATGAAGAGCGCCAGGATCAAGGTAAAGACGATAAGGAAGTTGAGGATGTTCCAGCCATTCTGGGGGGTGGGCAGGCCCCCACAGGGTATGTAAGGCCCAGTCCATGGGCATCCTGGGTCTTCCCTCCCCACATCCCCGCGATCAGGTCGGGGAGCTCAGTGTTATTCTCAGAGAGGGCCATTCATCTGGGGCCATTCATCTGCCATTCACTTGCCCCTCACTCTGCAGCCCCCCAGACACACGACAAAACACGCCTGCACTTACTGTCGCATGTGCGTATCGGCCGCCTCGTGAAGTCCCAGAGACACAGTGGAGACTGACACACACACACTAGTTCCCAAGCCGAGCCTCCGCCCTGGCTGGCGCACTGCGGAAAATGGCCTTGCCTGACAAGCGACCCCAGCACCTTCGAATGCTCCAGGCTTCGGGTGACACACACTTCAATTTCTCAAGGAAAACTGTTTCAGTAGCCAGTTCCAGAGACATGGGCATATTTTGCAGACTCTTTGTCCAATGAGGTACAAACTCACATAGGAGTGGGGATGGGACATGGAAGCTCACATATGTGGAAACGTCAAGTGCAACTGCTAAAGACAGGACATTTTCTCTATGGACCTCCATTAGGGGCATTTACCTTTGACCAGTGACCGCATTTCTAGAAATCTGACCCACAGAACTTCTGCTACAAGTACAAAATGACACCCGCAGAAGGTTGAAAACAGCTGAAGCACCCAGATCCTGGTTAAAAAAAAGTACGGCACATCCCCTTACGGAGAGCTATGTAGTCATCCACAGGAAAAGGGAAATAATCTCCATCTCCTGGGTTAGGGAGGCTGACTGTCCTTTAAGTGACCAAGCCAAGAGCAGGACAGTGCTTATTTGTGGCCAGAGTTAGGAAAGGGAGGACTAAAAATATTTACATATTTGCTTCTGCTGTGGGAGAAAAACAAGGGACACTAAATATAAAGGCTAACTAGGAGGCCCATGTATATCTACCTTAAATCATCAACAAGAAAACTAATTTTAATGGGAAGAAAGTTCTTGAATTTAGTGGCCAGTCCAATAAATACAAGGCCTGCTGGCGCCCCGCTCACGGTGCTCTGTGCTGAGATAGAGGTGCGTGTAGGTCTACACCCCTCCCTAACCATCCAGTTGTAGGCTTCTACTATGTGCTGGACACTGAGCCAGATCCTCAGGAGACAGGATTTCCGCCTCGTTGGGCTCAGAGACTGCTTTGAGGGAGGTGAGCAGACAGTGAGTGTTAATTCCCAGTGAGAGAGAGAAATATACATGTAACATCAGGGAGACACAGGGCAATATCTAATTCAGGTGGGAGAGACAGGAAGGCTGGCTGGGAGAAAGGACATCTGCATGATATAAGCTGCAAGGAGGAGAAAAGTGGCAGGAGAAAAGCAAGTGGCAGCAACTTTCATAGACTAGGACTCAAGCATGGACAGGAGCAAGGAGGTCAGACACAGCCGTGGCCGCCTGCATGCATGTGTGAGTGTGTATGTGAGTGTGTGTGTGTGTGTTGGGAATGCATCATCCTATTCTACTTCCTGCCTTTCCAAGTGCCGCTTGTACAAAGCTGTCAAAAGATATCCACACTAGACATTTTGTTCTAGATTCTATATTCTGTGTTCCATGAAGTGGGACTTCTAATTCCCCGAACACTTGCAACCCTAATGGGGTTGTCCTGGTAATGACGTATAAATGATGCCTTCTTTAAAGATATAAATACTTGATAGGGTTTTTTTAAAATAAGCCTCTTCTCACACACATTCAGGGATAAAGTAGATCCCTTGATTCCAGAAATCCCTTCACTCTAAGAAGTCCTGTTCAAAGAGTTCCTGAGTTTTTGTCTTAAAGTAACTGAAGGGGGGCCTTCCTGGTGGTGCAAGGGGTTAAGTATCAGCACTACAAAGCTATCGCAGCCTCTGCAGCATGAGTTCAATCCCAGGCCAGCCAGGGAACAACCACATGGTGTAGCAGACCTCTCCTGTCTCACCTGCTACTCCCCTCAGCAGTGTACTTCAGTCAATCTGCCTGTTCTGCACTGTCTCTGGTGAATTCTCTCACCTCCCCCCACACATCTCTGGCCTGTACTCCAGCTCTTGCATGCATAACTAAATCTTTTAAAAATATATATATAGCGGCTTCCCCAGTGGCGCAGCGGTTGAGCACTGGGTTGCAAAGCTGCCCGCAGCCTCTGCAGCGCTGGTTCAATCCCCGGCTGCTCCCCGGCCACCGGGTGAGGGTCCCACATGGCGCGCAGACCTCTCCTGCCGCCCGCTGCTCCCCTCAGCAGTGTACTTTGGTCCTTCTGCCTGCTCTGCTCCCCGCTCTGGCTCTGATGAATTCTCTCACCCTCCCGCGCTTCTGACTGTACCCAGTGCTTGTATAAATGAATAAATAAATCTTAAAAAAAAAAAGAGTATATTTAAAAATATATATATATTATATATATATATATAGTAACTTAAGGGGCCTCCCTGGTGGTGCAAGGGGCTGGGACACGACCAATGAAGCTATCCGCAGCCACTGAAGGGTGAGTTCGATCCCCGGCCAGGGAGCTGCCCACATGGTGCAGCAGACCTCTCCTGTCTCGCCCGCTGCTCCCCTCAGCAGTGTATTTCAGTCGGTCTGCCTGTTCTGCTCTCCACTCTGTCTCTAGTGAATCCTCTCACCCACCCCACACACCTCTGGCCTGTACCCCAGTTCTTGTATGCATAATTAAAAATCTTTAAAAAAAAAAAGTAACTTAGGACCCATTCTCATGCAGCCAGCATTTGGTACTCTGCAGAACTGAGGATAGCAACCTGCTGCTGTGGGGCCAAATCTCATCAGCAGCCCCCCCTTTTTTTGAAGACCCTCAGGCTAAGAATGGTTCTTAAATTTTTATTTTTTTTTAAATTTTTAAAGATTTTATTTATTTATATAAGCACTGGGTATAGTCAGAAGCATGGACGGGTGAGAGAATTCACCAGAGCCAGAGTGGGGAACAGAACAGGCAGACTGACGAAATACACTGCTGAGAGGAGCAGCAGGCGCGGCAGGAGAGATCTGTCGCACCATGTGGGACCCTTGCTGGTGGCCTGGGGATCGAACCAGTGCTGCAGAGGCTGCGGGTAGCTTCGCAGCCCAGTGCTCAACTGCTGTGCCACCAGGGGAGGCCTGATTTTTATATTTTTAAATGGTTGGTGGGAAAATTTTCACAAGGAATCAATCATATTTTGTGATATGATGTTCCCATTCAGCAGGGGTGCAAGAGGGGCCACAGATCCTGTCTGTCCCAGAAGCCTAAAATTTTCATGTGGCTCTTTACAAAAAAGAAGTTGGCTGACTCCTGCTCTTGAGCCCTATAAATTAAGATGGAGCCTCTCAATTCCATTTCTCAGATCAGGAAATCAAGGTTTTCCCACGATCTCATTACTGGGGAACAGGGATAGGTGCCCTGGGAGACTGGACTTCTAGTACAAGTTACTTTCTGCTGCATCACAGACATGCCGGGCTGTCTCTTTGCACACACATGCTGGGACACACATGCACACGCACACACACATACACACAGAGTTTGTAGGGCCAGGAGGTCAGGGGTTGGGTTGGGACTGAGTGGCTGCAGTTCCTAGGGAGGAGTAGGGGAGATGGCAAGGAGATGGCCCAGGATCTCACCTTCCAGAAAATCCAGAAGCCATTTAACCAGCTGAGAATAACCTCACAGATAAGGATGGTCAGCACAATTTCATCTATGGTAGAGAACAACTCATAGTGTTTCTACATGGAAGACAGAGAAAAAGAGAGAGACAGAGAGGTCAGTGCAGCAGGGCCTGGGCAAGGCCATGTTCCTGCTGCTCTTCATCCTCAGGCCTTCGAAGCTCCCTAGAGCTCTTGCCATGTACCTGCCCGGCACCAGCCTAAGCCCACGTGCACATCACCCCAAGTCATCCATCATCCTCCAGAGGAGGTTTTATCTCTCTTTTTTTTAAAGATTTATTTATTTATACAAGAACCTGGGTACAGGCCAGATGCACGGGAAGGTGAGAGGATTCACCAGAGACAGCGCAGGGAACAGAGCAGGCAGACTGACGAAATACACTGCTGAGGGGAGCAGCGGGTGAGACAGGAGAGGTCTGCTTTGCCATGTGGATCTCTCTCTGGCCGCCCGGGGATCAAACTCGTGCTGCAGAGGCTGCGGACAGCTTCACAGTGCGGCTCTCAACTGCTTGTACCACCAGGGAGGCCCGGTTTTATCTCTTTCAATGAATAATCAGAGAGGGACCATTGTCTGATGACAAACCTGTGCTCCTGGCCTTCAGAGTAGGGAGATGTGGAAAGGGGAGGCGGGGGAGGCAGAACAGGCTCCAGGACTGGGAGGAAAGGCCCTGGCCCCTGAGGTGGGGGAGCCCAACCCCCTCCTCCCTTCTCTAGTTGTCCCAACCTCCCCTGCTGTTCTGGTTCACAAACCCCCCTGGCCAGGCCTGACCAAACTCCTGGGGATGCCCTCACTCACGAGTCCAGGACATGTACTCTGGGTGGACAGACTGATGGATAGATGACTTAGTGATTGTGAGTTCTGTCGAAAACTCAACTCATTTCACCCAACTGAAATACTCCTTCAGCATCCATTAAGCTGTGACCTCACTAGAGTTTGTGACCCCTTTAACAGCCCCCAACCTCCTTGACTCCACCCCGGCAGGTACTACCTTGTCTCCTTCCTTTCTTCATTTCCACGGCCAAAAGACTTGGTGCCCCAACACTCACTGCCATATGGAGAGCCCTCCTGTCACCCATAACTTGCCACCCCTGTCCACTGGTCACTGAGAGGCAGGAGGTTAGGGCTTATAGGTTCGTGCTTGTTCTGATTTTCCAAATGTGATCATGGGCCAGGGGTGTCTAAGAACTTTCTTTCCCCTCAGCTGTCCCTAGCTCCACCCTGATGGCCATGGGCTCTTTTCACTTTTTGCTTCCTAAAGAGTCCACCTGCTTGCTCCAAGCCATGGGCATCTTTAGCTGAGTTACAGTTGCCTTTTCTATCCATAAGCTCTTTATGGCTCCCTGTTGCTTCAGGGTAAGGTTCAAAGTCCATTTGCCATTCACAGGTTTCTAGGACTTGACCTTCATGGACTTGCGTCCTATACTAGGGCTTTCAGCAATTTTGACTGGGACCTATACTATTATAAGAAACATACTTTATGTTTCACACTGTAACACTTGCGCACTTTTCCTCTCTCCCCTTCTCTCTCTCCCCGCTCCCCCCCAATTTCTATTTTATTCTTTTTCATTCTACATCAATGAAACATCCTGTACCTTCTGTATCTGTACTGTGAATGGTTTCATCAGTGGGATGTGCTGTGCCCTGCAGGGGCACTCAGCCTGCAGGGTCTGAGTCATGGGGTCTGTCTCCACCACAGGGAAAGTAGTTCTCAACAAGGTCACAAGACTACACCCAAGGGGCACTTCGGGGTCCCTGTGTTCCTCGTCCCCTGGCCACCTCTGACCCTGTGCCCTCTCCCTTGTAGCCCTCTTTCCTGGGGTCCATCTCGGGCCACCCCTCCTCAGGTCCCTTTTGCACCTCCCCTTACTTTTATTTCTGTGCTTGGGGGCTCTCCTCAGAGCTCTGTGTGGGCCTCTTCTCAGCAACACTCTCTCCATGAGGCAACCTCCTCCATTCCTTCCACCGCGATGCTGGCAGCTCACACCAGGCACCTCCATCTTAGTGCTCTCTGCAGCCTTCAGAATTGACCTCCAGACCCTCTCTAGACAACCCTGTGTACATTTTACAGATGCCTCAAACACTCTGCAACTCAAACTGACCTCAGCTACCTCCCCAAACCTGCTCTTCCTCCCACATCTGACTGTCCCAACAAACAGCACCATTCCACACAGTTGCTCAAGGCAAGAAATGTAACTTCTTGCCCTCTCTTTCTCTACCTGCATGAAATGTTCATGCAGGTAGTGCACAGTAAGTGCTCACTCGGTTATTGCTATAAAGTAAATCAGGAAGGTCCATGGATTTGACTCCATGAAGCCTAAAGAACTTCACGGGCACATGACCTCGCTTCACCCACTGCCATTGTTCCAGTCCAAGTCCCACCATCTTTTCACCTGAGCATCTACAGCACCAGCCTGCCTGGTGTGTCTCCCGCCATCCTCACCCCTCCCTTCCACAGGCCACACTGGCAGTCAGTGTCAGTTTTCTAAGACATTTGCCTAGTCATATCGCTTCCATGTTTTAAACTCTTCCCTAGCTTTTCCGTGACATGGGATCTAAATGTCACCCTCCTTAGCATAACTTAAAGACCCTGTGTGATCTGGCCACTGACCAACTCTCTGGAGTCACCCGTCACCATTTAAAAAATATTGGACATTTTGGGCCTCCCCAGTGGCGCAGCGGTTGAGCGCTGGGTTGTGAAGCTGCCTGCAGCCTCTGCGACACCGGTTCGATCCCCGGCTGCTCCCCGGCCACCGGAGAGGGGTCCCGCATGGCGTGCAGACCTCTCCTGCCACCCGCTGCTCCCCTCAGCAGTGTACTTTGGCCCTTCTGCCTGCTCTGCTCCCTGCTCTGGCTCTGATGAATTCTCTCACCCTCCCGCGCTTCTGACTGTACCTAGTGCTTGTATAAATAGAGAAATAATAAATAAACAAACAAATAAATAAATCTTTAAAAAAAAATTGGACATTTTAAAAATATTGATCCTCAGGCCTCCCTGGTGGCACAAGGGGTTAAATCTATCCTAACTATCAAGCTCTCGCCAGCCACTGCAACATGAGTTCTATCCCCAGCAGGGAGCTGATCCACATGGCACAGCAGACCTCTCCTGTGTCCCCTGCTACTCCCCTCAGCAGTGTATTTCAGTGGATCTGCCTGTTCTGCTCCCCACTCTGTCTCTGGCGGATCCTCTCACCCCGACACCTCTGACCTATACCCCAGTTCTTGTATGCATAAATAAAAATAAATCTTTTTAAAAATATTGATCCTCATGAGCACAATTCAAGTATGTAGTCTATTCCTTGCAAGCAATGAAAACATCAAGATAAGGCCAAAGGCCCTTGGACACACAAGGGCATAGCTCAGGGTAGAGCATTTGGCTGCAGATTAAGCCGGACACACAGAACTCACTTATATGCTGTTTCTTCTGCCCACACACTCTTCCCCACCTGCTTGGTCTGCTCTGACTCACTTTTTACCCTTAGCTTAAGCATCGCTTTCTCCAGGAAGCCTTCTCTGGCCCTCAGGTTAGGTTCAATGCCTTCTTTGAGCTCCCACATGTTCCATCGGTCACTTGGGTATTTGTTCTTTTTTTTCAAGATTTATTTTATTTATTTATGCATACAAGAGCTGGGGTACAGGCCAGAGGTGCGGGGGAGGGGGGAGTGGATTCACCAGAGACAAAGTGGGGAGCAGAACAGGTGGATCTACTGAAATACACTGCTGAGGGGGGGCAGAGGGTGAGACATCAAAGGTCTGCTGCACCATGTGGGTCAGCTCCCTGGCCGGGGATCGAACTCGAGCTGCAGTGGTTGCGGATAGCTTCACAGTGCTGAGACTTAACCTTTTGCACCACCAGGGAGGCTCCACTCAGATATTTGTAACAACTTGATTGTGTCTGTCTAAGACAGAACCTGGTACTGTGTTCACCTCCGGATCAGCACAGTGCCTGGCACAGAGTGATTCTCCCTCTGACTACTGATTAAAACAGGATGCCCTTCCCTACAAAGTGCCCATTTGCCTGACTCTGCCCATACCATTGTCTTCCTGCTCTTCCTCAACAAATGCCATGCCTACCTCCAAGTGAGGCCCCCTCTACCATGAAGTCCTCCTTGATCTCTAGACTCTAGGACCCTGCAAAGTCAGATCTGACAGGCCCTTGAAGGGCATCTACCTCCACCATCATGGACAGATGGAGGAACATGAGGCCCAAGGAAGGAGGGGCCTTGCCCAGGCCCCTTGGTAGGTTCACAGGACAAAGGTCAGGTTGGTGCCCACCTGGTGAAGGATGGCGTTAGTGCGGAGAGCGATGGTGATGGCGTTGATCACCAGCAGCACGGCCAGCAGCAGCTGGAAGGTCCAGTGTCGGAGCAGCTGCTTGATGTACATGCCGGTGATGAACTCCTCCATGTCCCAGAAGTCCTGGGAGAGGGCGGGACCTTCTTCAGGCAGGCGTCACCGTAGCGTATTTGCTCTCAGTGAATGTGGGTTTGGGGGGTTTTCTAGGAAGAGAGGTTGCTGAGCGGGTCATGGAATGAGGTTATGAGCGTGGAGGTTAAAACGGGTCACTGCTGGGAGATCACTATGGGGGTCATGGCAAGGGAGACTCTTTGGGGGTTTCTGTTGAGTAACTGTCATTATATTGGGGCTTCTGTGGGGAGCACTGTCGGGTGGTTACTAACATCATGGGGGGCTGCTACCTGGCTCCCTACTGGGGAGGGTGCTCTGGGGGCACATTTAGAAACAGAAATGCATAGTTATTCTGAGAGTCTAGTACTCCATGGGCACAGCTGCAGAAGGGTCAGTGTGGGTGAGGATTGCTTCAGCCCAGTCTCGTCCTTACCTTTTTACTAATGATATCATAGCGGTTGATGAGAATTTGCTCCTCTGGCTGCGTGTGGGCATCGTGGCTCCTCTGCAAGATGAGGCCCTCCTCAGTGTAGTTGCTGGCCCTCCCGAGTCAGCACGGCCCCCGTGTGCCCCACCCCCCAGGATGCTCAGCTTGGGTTGTAGAGCCAGGCAGGGGCCACGTACCATGAACCTCAAATGTTTGACATTGGTGGTTTTGGTGCATTTCTGCCACCCGATTCTCTGATTCTCTCTCATAGTTGCTCAGGCTCCTCCAACACCTCAAAGAAACTTCATTCCAGGAGGCGTTGCTCCCCCTTGTGGTGATATCATAGAGGCCTCTGTGACCCCCCCACCAGCTCTCTGCATTCCACCAAGGAATTCCAACACTGGGAAGCTCCTCCCACAGACCCTGCCGGGGACCCCACTAAGGGAGTCAGGCATGAAGGGGCTGGGCTGGGGACAGAGGCTGCGGAGCAGGCCCCCGCGCAGCCAGGAAGGAGACAGAGGGCTGAGTCCCTGCATCCTGGAGTTGGAGGTGAGACTAGGCTAAGGAGAGGAAAAAGATGTTTTGCCCAGTGCCCTCCTCTACAGATCTCAACCTGGACCCCTTTCCCACCCCATCCCGTCACCAGATTCCAGGGTCACCCACCCTGCCTTCCATGTGAGGTATATGTTTCCCCCCCCAGAGAGGGAAAGACTGGTCTCTATTTCTCACTTTGCACCCTGCCTGGGGAAGGGGCAGGAGGGTACCCTCTGGTCTCTGAGGGCTGGAGAGACACCCGGTTGACAGCTTTTCACCCCAGTTCCCTCTGGGGATCAAATTCCTAACTCTGATAAGGAAGTCAAAGACACACTGATTTATTTCAGAGAAACTAACTTTACTTGGTTCAAAGTGTCTCTTGTGCGCAGAGAAGAACACACGGACAGACTCGTCTGTGGCGGGGGTGGGGTAGGGGGGCGAGAAGGGCAGGCTTGTGCTCCCATGAGTCAGAAGACCAGGGGGCCAAGGGGTGAGAGGAGAGGTGCAGCCTGACCTTCCTGCTCCTCCTCTGGCAAGGGAGGATAGGGGTGGCCCAAGGCCCACTTCACTTCACTCCACTCCAGGGGAGAGAGGAGCAGAAACGTCAGGAGCTCGGGCCGGGGGGAGTGAAACTATGGACCACACCACTTCCAACCTTGAACAGAAGCCAGCACGGCAGAGGCTGGGGATGGAGGTGGTCCTCAGGGCCAGAGGCCAGGAACTAGGGTAATAGCTGGGGCCAGAGGTCAGGAGGTCGGAGGTGGCTCTCTGAGGTCAGGGGCCAGGAATGAGAGTGCTCCTTGGGGGTCAGAGGGCAGAGGGTGGGAAGAATGTTCTCTAGAGTCAGAGGTGGGGACTTGGGAGCTGCCCTCAGCCTGCACCACGCCCCAGGCCCCCAGGCCCTCGGAGTAGAGATCCTGGTTCCGCTCCTTCCACTGTCGGAACTTCTCCCCAGTCAGCTCAGGGTCACCGAGCACTTCCTCCAAGGCCTGCAGCTCCTGCATCTTTGCCTGTGAGGGCATCGGGGCCAAGGAGCCGAGATCAACCCGAGGGGTGCGGGGAGGTGGGGGGGGTAGGGGGGAGTGGGGGAGGCAGAGCCCCAGCCCAGCATCTAGAATCCAGTTCCCACTGGCTCTGTCTCATCCCGATTCACAGACAGAGAACTGGAGCTTGGCCCAGTGCACAGCGGAGCCCGGAGGAGCACCAAGCCCAGCACGGAGAGCCCAGAGCCCAGTCCCCCAGGCCCCGCGCCCCAGCTGACCTTGAGTGTGCTCTGCAGCGCCCGCACGTGGTGCACTCGCTCGTTGAGCTTGGGGTCTCGGTTGCGCCGCATGAATGAGCTCCGCCATTGTTCTTGAGTGAGGGGCTGTGGCTGGCCCAGGAGGGACACCCCACCTTGCTTCAGCCCCCGTACCATTCCTTCCAGTGTCCCTTCACTGTTGTCTGTGGGAGCGGGAGCAGGATGAGGGTGTGCCGCCCTGGCCTCCAGCCTCCCCTTTCTGTTCCCGACCCCAGCACAGCACCTGATGGGGAGCTGAAGGAGGTCCGTGGGCTGCCCTGCGTGGGGGTGGCTGCAGGGGCTGTGTCTCCATGGAGCGGACTCCACGCTCGGGCAGGGCTGGGCTGCAGGCAGAGCAGGAGAGAAGGGCATCAGTCTGAACCCCACACTCTGCTGTTTATCCCCTTCCGTCCCTCACTCACTGAGGCTGAGCGGGAGCCAGTGTCATCGTCATGGTCTTCTGCTTCTGTCTCACTGTAGCAATCTGGGGTGCACAGGAGCAATTAGGGAACCCGCTAGGTTATACTGGGCTTTTTTTTTTTATTTTATTTTTTAAAGATTTATTTATTTATTTATACAAGCACTGGGTACAGTCAGAAGCACGGGAGGGTGAGAGAATTCACCAGAGCCAGAGCGGGGAGCAGAGCAGGCAGAAGGACCGAAGTACACTGCTGAGGGGAGCAGCGGGCGGCAGGAGAGGTCTGCGCGCCATGTGGGACCCTCACCCGGTGGCTGGGGAGCAGCCGGGGATCGAACTGGTGCTGCAGAGGCTGCGGGCAGCTTCACAACCCAGCGCTCAACCGCTGCGCCACAGGGGAGGCCCATACTGGGCTTTTTGAGGCCAGGTATTTGAGATCCAGCCCCTGTCGCAGGACAGGCAGAGGCTCAGGGGAGACTCACCCTCGGAGACACCCACCTTCCTCTCGGGGCGGGGGGCCCCGGCCTGGAGACTGGTACTTGGAAATGCAGGTAATGAGATGGCGCACCCACCTGTGAAGGGGCAGAGGGGGTCTTAGGGGGCTTCCATTTACTGCCCGCCAGGGGCTTCTCATCCGTCTCCTCTTAGCCTTAATCCTCAGAGCAACTGGGAGAGGTAGGAATGCCTATCAGCCCATTTTATAGGCGATGAAACTGAGGCTCAGAGATGTGAGGGTCTTGACCAAGCACGATCAGAGCTGGGCTTTGACGCCGGGCTCCAGGAGCACTTGGGTGGAGCAGGGAGGCAGGTGGGGTGGGAGGGGCACTCACTTGCTCAGATCTGTCAGGGTGTCAGCAGCGAAGATGAAGGGCTTGTACACGTCATGGGTGAGCTGGAACACACTGCCAGGGAGCGCAGAGGGCTCTCACTCAGCCTGCTGTGCCCAGCCAGAACCCAGAGAATCTGCGCCGGGATCCCCAAGCACTTACTGCCTCCTATTCGCTCCTCCTGACACCTCTTCCTTTGTCCCCCGCACCCCAGCCAGTCACGCCCAGGACTTAACTATTTTTTCTTCTGATCATATCCACTTTCCAGACTGTAGTTGGAGACGTTGATGAGCCCCTCGGCCTTCTCGTCCTGGGGGTCACAGTGTAAGGGTGGGCCTCAAACCCCCACACCCTCAGGGCCCCGAGTCAGGCAGGGCAGGGCAGGGAGAGGGCACCTCCTGGGTTCTCAACCACAAATCTCAGTGCCAGGAGGACAGGAATCTGGGGCAGGGGGTGGGAGAGTGACCAAGGGACACTCTGAGCCAGGAAGGGAAGCCAAGCTATGCAGAGGACCAGCCAAGAAAGAGGAGACGGCTCTTGCATTTTTTTCATTAGCAGATGAAGCGGCTTCATACTATGTTTTCCTTTCCCGGTCTATCTCTCCTTTCCATACGACTAACCCCCACGCAGTGCCTTCTCAGGAAGCCTTTGCCACTCCTCAGGCTGGACTGGGCACCTCTGCTGGGCTCCTACCCTCCTGCCCTTGGCTCTTCCCTCTCCACATGTTTCTGTGCCATGCTCGAGTTTGCATTCACCCCTCTCCCCTGCCAGCCTGGATAGTTCCTGCTCTATCCAATCCTTCCCTGAGCCGCCAGTGCCCAGCCAAAGCTGAATACACAGGCGGCACTGAATGTTTGATGAATGAATAAACAATTGAACAAATGGCCCATTACAAGGATGCACAGAATAAGAGAAGAGGAAGGGAAAGTAGGCAGAATAAAAGTGATTCTCTGCACACCTCTCATTCACCTTTTCCAGAATCTTTTAACACACACATTAACTCATTTCTCTCCAGAGTACCCCTGTCCCCCAGGTGAGGGGAGACCTCCGCAGATGGGTAGAGAGGAAGAGGGAAAAGGACTGAGGCCCCAGGCCTCACCTGGGGCTGGCGGTACCAGTAGAGCGTGTGTCCCTTGAGCACGAACCAGCAGCGGCGCCAGCGCGGGCCCATGAAGCCGCCGGGCACCTTGCGCAGCAGGAGCCAGCCGTCGCAGTCGGGCTGGCCCAGCTCCCGGCACGACACCCGCCGGCGGCTCAGCCGGGTCGCCACGCCTGCGGGGCACAGGCAGTGAGGGGTGGGCAAGGCCGCCGGGCCCCCAGACCTGCTCCCCCACTCCCCATAGGCATCCCCAGACCAAATTTCTAAACCCAGACTCCGTGCTCATAAAGTGACAGGTGTCTGAGGTGAGGACTGTGAGCCCCATTTCAGAGACAGGGAAGTGACGTCAGAGGAGAAGCCGTCTGCTCTGTCTGCTCAGACCCAGAGCGGGCGAGGTGCCCCGGCCGGGAGCACGGGTCTGTCTGAACTCAGAGCAGGGCTGTTTCCAGGAGAGACTGTGGGGGAGTGTGGGGTGGTCTTGCCCTGCACTGCGAAGACTTCTAAGAGCCCCTCACATTGGGGCCCACTCTGTCAGGTGCATCTCATACCTTTTGATTTCTTGCGGCCAGGGACAGGACTCTGAAAGGACCAGAAGAGGTCAGAGAAGGGTCTGGTGCTGCCTCACACCCCTCCTTATCGAGTCCCCGAGCTTACCCGGTCAGGAGACCCCTGAGTCTCTGCAGCCCCCACTGGGAGTGTGGCTGGGGATGTAGGAGGGTTGGATAGGGGCTCAGTGTCAAGAGAGGTCGAGTCTGTCAGGGAGTGGGGAGAGACACAGGGCCCATGAACCAGTCCCTGGACCAGCTGGAGGGAGGGGGTATCAGAATCCCAGGGCAAAGGGCTGCCCAGGGCATCTGCCGCCTGGTGGGGTGCTGACACTACCTGTCCAGGCAGAGCTAGGCACAGGGCTTGGGTTTGAAGGCAGATCAAAGGCAAAGACGTCCTCAGACAGGGCACTGGAGGGAGGGAGGAGGGATTAAGTGAGGCCATGGTTATCCCCCCAGAACACCCCCAAGGCCGACTCTGTTACCTGGGAGAAGATGAGGCTGCTGGAGCCCTCAGGTGTGAGGAACCCAGGGTCTGAGGAGGCGTCTAGGGAACAACCAGAAACAGGGTGAAGGAGCTGACCACAGAGGTCTGCAAGCAGGCGGGGGCAGGCAGGTACCTGAGGGGGTGTCTCTGGCACCGGGACCTTCTTCAGCACTAGGCTGGCCCCAGTTGGCTCCCGCAGCAGCTCCCTCACCACGTTCTTATAGGGCCAGCCCACCTAGGGGGACAGGCAGGTCAGGGGCTCTGCGGCAAATCAACACCCCTCATCCTCGGGATCCTCTCTCAGCCTTCCTCTCCCTCCTAGAGGCCTCCGTGGCCCCTTCACCTTGGCCCTGCCGACTCATCCAAGAAGGCCCCTCCCACAACTTGGGCCTTCAACTCAATAACCCCAGGTTCTACTCAGACCCCCTCACCTCCCACCTCGCCCTTCCTGTCCTCACTCACCACCACTTGCTCATTGACCTGGACAATCTCGTCTCCAGGCAGGATCTGCAGCCGAGAGTCAGTGGAGACCTGGTGTGGAGGGGAGGGCTTAGAGGGTGCCCTCTCCTGGGGCCTAAAGCTGGTTTGGCTGGCAGGGACGTGGGGTGGGCAGGGACCTGGGGCGGGCTGCTGAAGGTGTGGGGCTCTCACCGGGGTGTCCACTTGGGACACAAAGTGCAAGCAGTTGCTGGTGGTGTGGATTTCCAGGCCCTGCCAAGATAGAGGTTGCAGTCACTGAGGATGTGGGGGCAACAGGGCCAGTGGGCAGGACCCCTGCTGGGCACCAGGATCCTTAGGTGGCTAGAACTGGGCACACACTGGCCCCAAACTGGCACTGTCCCAACCTGCTGTGTGACTTTGATGTTGCCGCCCTCCTCTTGGCCTCTGCGGCCTCTTCTCATCCTCCCATAAAGGCCCCAGGGAGGCTGAGGTTGCTGACCCCTAAGGTCTAAGATTCTCCTGAAGGGAGAAGCAGGGTCAGGGCAGGGCCAAGGCAGGGATGGGGCGCTGGTTTACGCAACAGGTTAAAGACTAAAGCAGAAAAGTTCAAGTTCTCCTCCCTGTCATCTAACTTGCCAGGTTTATGTCCCAGTGCTGGAAAGTATCACCTGGGACCACGCCAGCAGTAGCCCCTCAGGGTTAGGGAAGGTGCTGAATGACAGAACCTGGGAAATTCCTCTGGGCCTTTAACTGCTGGACAAATAAGGCCTCTCAGCCATAATAGGACAGGCTCCTATGGGATTCTAGAGTCAGGTTCAGGCCCAGCCAAAGCTGCTGAGGGGTTAGAGGTGAGAGATGAGAGGTCGGGGCTCACCAGAGGATCGTCCAGCTGTACCCGCTCGAACACGGCTCCCTGTTTCAGCAGCTCCTGGGGACTGCAGCTCAGGATGTTGTGACAGATCCCTGCCACGTGACCACACTCGGGGAAGAGGAGGAACAGGATGTCCAGTCTGAGCCCCATCCCAGCCTCATCCCCAGGACTTTCCCATCCCATCCCCCAGACTCACAATCCTCAGGATTTTGCTCTCCTTCTCGGCTGCTGGACAGTCCTGGAAGCAGAGTAAGAGTGCAGGGCTCTACCCGGACTGGGGGTTGGGGGGGGCCCACTTCTCCAGAGGCCAGGGTGGAATTCCTATACCCTGGCCCCTCCCCAGAACTACACGGTCTCAGAGTTTTGGCTTATCCCTCTGATGCCAGACCCCCAAAAGTCACTATATATGTCCCCTCCCCATTCCTGAGAGTCAAACTTTCTGAGGTGCCCCCACCAGCTAGGAGACCCCATGTTACCAATGTCCCAGACCCAGCAGCCAGGCCTTCTCTCTCGCCGCCCACGCCTCACACCTGATCTCTGCTGATTCACAGGTTATAAAAAGCTCTAGGCTGACTTGGTCTCTTTGGCCTGAGCCAAGCCTCGCCCCAGTACTCCTACCTCCTGCAGAGTTTGGCCCAGCTCCTCGCACAGCTCCCCAATCTCCTGGCAGGCCGAGAAGTCATTTAAGTGGGAGAAGAGGTACCTGGCAGAAAGAAAGTCCAAAGCAGTGGTTAAAGAACTATGCTTAAAAGTCATGGAGCCATCCAGAGCTGCCTTGGGATAATACTGCTCTGATGGGTCTGGTTTGGGGTCAAGGAGATGCTTGATAAAGAGGTCAGCACAGGACTGATTGGTCAAGTGCCTATTACATGCTCAGCCCTGTTCTTGGCACTGGGGAAACTGACATTAGCACCTAATTACACCAATAAAGATTTCAATCCAACCTCTGTGAAGTGTAGGGAGTTCTGAGAGTATATAACAAGGAAGGCTTCCCCCAGGGAGTGACATTTGGCCTGGGATCTATAAGACAAGCAGCAGTCAGTAGAGGGGTGGGAAGAGCTCTATGTAAAGTGGTTGCAGTGACTATTGGGGTACAAGCTGGAGGACTGGGTGGGATCCTGGCTGTCACAGCACCTCTGCAGAGACCAACTAACCTCTTGTGCTACCATACTTGAACAAGAGCCAAGCTGTTTTTCTCTCCCAAGAGGAGAAGCCAAGGATAAGAAAGTGTCCCCTCACGGGTTATCCTAACCCTGGGAGGAGCCCGAGGTACCTGTTGAGCCAAAAGAGGAGGGCACGGGCCTCATGCACCAGCTCCACAGCTGCGCTGAGGACTTCGGCAGGAGGCTCGGCACAGTCCCCCAGGCGGCCTTGCACTAGACTCTGGAAGGCCTGGGTCCCCTCCAGCAGCCTCTCCGTCAGGCTCTGTAAGTTCTCTGTCTGTGGGCTGGAGCTCTGTTCCAGAAGGAGAGCAGGTCACCTCCCGGGCAGCCACCAGACCCCCACTGGCAACCCCCAGATGGATGGAAGCTGCAGCCAGAGTGGCCAGCATCACTCACCAGGGCCCGGAGCTGTTCTATCCCTTCCAGGATGAGCTCCTGGTGGCCCAGAGGCCGCACAGTCAGAGCCTCAAGGCTTCGGGGGCAGAGTTGGAGAAGGTATTTGCCTGGCAGCTCCCAGTCCTCAAAGGGATAGTCCTGCAGGGAATCATCGAGGCCTGGAGGGAGAGCAGGGGTCAGTACGAGAGGAGCCAGGGACTGTCATGGCCTTTCCAGCCTGTTCTTCATCATGAAAACCCTTGTCCCTCCCATCTGTTCTTCATGAAAACCCTGAGTTCCAGGCTGCCCATTTTACAGATGAGACTACGGAGTTAGGTAGAATGGGTGAGGGCTGAGGCTTTCAAAGGGTGGTCCTGGCAGCAGCATCCACCTCATTGAAGAAATACAAATTGTTGAACCCCCAACACCTACTAAATCAAAACTCAGGGACAGGGCCCAGCAATTTGTTTTCATAAATCCTCCAGGTGTTCAGATGCTTACGTCTGAGAACTACTAATAGAGGCAATAACAAGCGTGGGGTTAGAAGTCAGGAAGACCTGAGTACCAGCACTTCAGCAAGGAACTTAATTTCTCTGTGCCTCAGTTTCCTCACCTGTAAAATGGGGATAACCACCCCCTTCCTCTCATGTGTATATTAAGTGCCACAATACATACAAGCCTTTCCTGCTTCCTGCAGATGGTCAACAGCCTGCACCAGATTATCATGCCCAGACTCTACCGTGATCCGCAGGCCCCTCGTGGCCAGGCGGATACCTGCCTCTAGTCTCATCTCTCAGCACAGCCTCAAACCCAACATTTTAAACCACAGCATTAATTCCCGGTGGCTTTTGGAATGTTCTTTTGCCTCAGGGCCCTTGCCTGTGCTATTCCTTCTGCCCAGACTGCTCTTCCAGCTCCGTTACTCCCTTTTTCATGGAACTCCCTCCAGGAAATTTCCATAACTCCCCAGGCTGGGCTGTTTGCTTTCTTGCTCTCACTGCCTCTGGAGCCTCCACAAACCTCTGCACCTGAGCTCCCACCTGATTACAAGGCCTTCAAGGACCAGGCCTTCAGTGAAGTATAGGGAGTGCCTGGTGCATGGCAGATACCCCAAGAACTATCTATGGACCATTTACTGTGCATTAGACAAAATGTTAACAGGCTTTACACATAATAACACATTGGATCCTCACAGTATCTAGGACACGTGGACTAGAGTTGCCCCCATTTTACAGAGGGGAACATACACAGAAGAGTGCAGCTTGCACATTGTGTAAATTCTGCCCGTGACAAGCGGGGGCTACTTGGGTGGGGAATGGGTGTGTGTGTGTGTCCAACAGCCCTCACTCCCTGGGACACAGAGCACACCACACTGGGGATTCACGAACCTGTTACTTCATGGCTGTGGCCCCGGAGCCCCTCCTTCCCATGTGGAGTGGATGTACCACAGGCACGCTGCCTCCCGCCAGTGGGCCCCACAGTAAGCAGCAGGCTAGGTGGGCCCTGGCCATGACGGTTCTACTTTGTCCGCTTCATGAGGTCAGAGTTTTGCCTAATTTTGTGGCTAGGGAACCTGAGACCCCGTCACAGGCTAGTGAGGGCAGCGGGAAGTCTGACTAGAGCCCCAAATCCCTGCCCCAGTGTACCCCATTCCTCCCTGCATTCCAGCTTCCTCCTCCAGAAGGGATGTCCTGACTCATCTCCCCCTCCCAGGGGCTCCTCTGACAGGTCTCCAGTCTGAGCTGCTTCCCACCATCTCTCACGGAAGCCGGGAGCATTCCCCTCTCCCCACACCCCCGGCCCCTAGGGCTGGGAATGAGCCAGCTCCTCGGTCCAGCTGGGGCTTTTGCTTCTCTCATTAGGAACCTCCATATCAAGTCTGACTAAATCACTTCCTGGCTCAGTGTGTCAGTTTCCCCTTCCGAAAGCTGTGTTTAATAACAGCCCACTAGGCCCTGGGGGGAGGGGAGATGAGTAACAGAGTGGGTGTGGGACAGCTGGGGCTGGCCCCCCTGTTTTCATTACACAACCACTCCTTCCCTATTGCCAACCTGGCAGCCTCTTGGGATGCTGGAGAGACTGGGGACTCCCTTCTGTGTCCTAGGCCTCTCTCTTCAGGGGTTATTTCTTCACCCCCTAGAGCACTATACCAGATACTTGGCGGACTCTAATAAATGCCTGCTGCTGACTAACCAACTGACAGACTGGCAGGTCTTTTTTCCTTTTCCTCTCCCAATCCCAGTGCCCCTCAAGCCCACTTTGCCCCAGCACCACCTACCTCTCAACCAAGCTGCCACCTTCCCGGGGGTCCAGGTCGATACAGGTTCCATGGCCAAGTTCGGCCGCTGGGATTTGCGTCCGCTGTGTCCCACTGGCTCAGGAATTTCCGCTCCCGGACTTGGGGCGGACCCAGGCGGGGCTCTGGGTGGAGCCTCCAGCCTACCTGGGCCCACGTGACTGACTAGGTGAGGCGCGGTGACAGCCATTGGCCCACCACCTGTCTGCCTCCTGCCTCGCCCTTCAGGCCTCTATGGGACAGTGGGTGGCCTCACCCGGGGGAGGTGCCAGTGGTGTGTGACTCTGGCAAGCTCAGGGCCGCCTTGGGATCGTTCCCCAGAGGGCTCAAATGGCAGGGCAGGAACCAGACCTTCAGGTTCCCCAAAAAAAGGGCCAAAAGGTGACCTGTGAGCACAGTAGGGCTGGAACCTGACCTTCAGGTTCCCCCAAAAGGACCAAAAGGTCACCTGTGAGCACAGTAGCCTGCAGAGGCGAGTCTAGGGAGTTAGAGCCCATAGTGCAAGTTCCAGCCCTGTGTCCTGTTAGCAGTGTGACCAGGGCCAACCCTCCCCACCGGCCTCAGTTTCCCTGTCTGCACATGGATGTCACAGTCTCTACTTCAGAGGCTGCTGTGTGCAGGTCGTCCTATAAAGCCTTTAGAACAGGGGTTTTTAGACCCCTATTCTTTTAGTACCATGGATCCTTTAGGCAGTGCGGTGAAACCTTTGGACTCTTCTCAGAATGATCTTTAAAACGTAAAACAGGGCCTCCCCGGTGGCGCAGCGGTTGAGCGCCGGGTTGTGAAGCTGCCCACAGCCTCTGCGGCACCAGTTCGATCCCCGGCTGCTCCCCGGCCACCGGAGGAGGGTCCCACATGGCGCGCAGACCTCTCCTGCCGCCCGCTGCTCCCCTCAGCAGTGTACTTTGGTCCTTCTGCCTGCTCTGCTCCCCGCTCTGGCTCTGGTGAATTCTCTCACCCTCCTGCACTTCTGACTGTACCCAGTGCTTGAATAAATAAATAAATAAATAAATCTTTTTAAAAATAAAATAAAACATAAAACAAAATGCTGGGAATTACAAGGAAGACAATTATTATTAAAATATAGTTTAAAACAAATTTATGACCTAATGTGTTTATTAACATTAAATGACAAGACTGGCATTCTTGTCAGTCTAAATTCTCCTTTTCCAAGGACTTCAGGGTGTTGTCATTCAGCTTGAATAAGCACATTAAACCCAGTGGGGTGGTCTTTGATTCACCTCTTCTGAAATATTGATCAGCAAATTAAAGACAGGGAACAGGGGATGTAGGGGAGTCATGGAGAAGCCAGGGTGATGGGTCCAAGAACTGCAGACTCTCTATTGTTCACAGGGCACCCCGTCAATGGCTACTATGTCACAGGAGTGTGTGAGACAAAATGCTGTGCAGGAGTGGATAAGAACTACCATAACTTTGAAGTAGTTATGAGCATAAATAATACTTCAATACCTGTAGTAATACAACTTGATATGAAAACATATATAATCTCCGTTGGTGACAAAGTCACATATAGTTTCCCTTCGGAAAGCAGGGTTTAATAACAGCCCACCCACCTTAAAAGCCACGGGCCTAGATCAATTCCTGACATGTACCAAGTGTATAGTCATCACTCTAGGCCAGCAGGAGTAAGCGGGGTCAGTTTCACTTGCCGTGTGGCTGAGTCTAACTCCCATGCCTCTCTAAAAGAGGGATAGCTAGACCTTAGTGCTTTGAGCTTTTAGGTATTTTGAATCTGTAGCATGGGGTAGATCTGAGTTATTACTGCTTGAATTTTGTGGTGAGAGACTTGGGTCTGTCCCTCTGACTCTGCCAACTACTTTGGAATCTACCAGCATCCTGGTAGAGACCCGGCCTACAAAGCCTGCAAGATAACAATCTTGCCTGTAAACTGGAAACTCCAAATCTGAACTTAGTCCACCTATGCCCATGTAGCGTGTGTGTTTTTTTTTAAACTTTTTTTTTTAAGATTTATTTTTTATTTATACAATAGCTGGGGTACAGGCCAGAGGTGCAGGAGGGTGAGAGGACTCACCAGAGACAGAGTGGGGAGCAGAACAGGCAGACAGACCGAAAGCACTGCTGAGGGGAGCAGTGGGCGTGACAGGAGAGGTCTGCCCCGCCATGTGGTTATCTCCCTGGCCAGCCGGGAATTGAACCTGCACTGCAGAGGCTGCAGACAGCTTCACAGCACTGTGCTCAACCCACTGCATCACTAGGGAGGCCCTCGTGTGTGTGTGTTTTAATTGTCATGGGGTAATTTCACAGTTAGTTCTCTGGAGACTCTACCACACCTTCACATATGGTGTCAGACATGAGAGCTGGTTGTTAGCTGCTGCTTTCAAGGGTCCCTGAAGGCCTTGCTCCCTGCCAAGAACTCACAAGGCTCCCAATTCACAAAACAGCCCTCCCCTCTCTGGCTTTGCCCCGGGTCCTCATGCCCTGCACTGTACCCCTCAACACTCCTCTGTGCTATGTCCTCTAAAATTTTGTCTCTTCCTATAAAAGCCTTCCTGTGGCATTTGGGGAAAGTCCAGTCAACAGACCTGTCTCCCCCATTTTGACTTCATCAAATATCTACCTGGCTGGCATACGATATAGAGGGGAGAACCCAGCCAGTCTCTGCCAGCTCTAAACTCACAGCCCTACAGGGGAGAAAGAGACAAGAACTTATACCACTTGGACTCACCTGGTCCCTGCAAAGGACAGGAGGGCTAGAAACCACAGGCTTCACTCTGCCCCCAGGCCCCGGCAAGGCTACGCAGTTACAGGCATAGTAAACGGCAGCTTCTATTTTATTTATATTTTTTAAAGACTTATTTATTTATGCATACAAGAGCTGGGCGTAGGCCAGAGGTGTGCGGGGTGAGGGTATTCACCAGAGACAGAGTGGGGAGCAGAACAGACAGATCTACTGAAATACACTGCTGAGGGGAGCAGCAGATGAGACAAGAGAGGCCCCACGCTATGTGGGTCAGCTCCCTGGCTAGAGATTGAACTCACACCATAGCAGTGACAGCACTGAGACTTAACGCCTAGGCCCCAGCTTCTATTTGAAAGGACTTCTTATGAAATTATGCAAGTTCTTTTTACATAGTTGCTGTAAAATTTTTGAAGGGAACAAGTCATTATGTGAAAAGAGGATGCACCCTTTCCCAGCATGTCCCTAGCCCATCCTCTGGTGCGGCCACCAGTTCTCTCTGTAGAGATGCCACATGCTACTCCGCAAATATGCACATGTCTGTAGCAGATGCTAGTCTGCTTTGCTTCCGCAAATATGCTTTTTTTGTTCCTTTTCATTTTATGAGATAATCATGTAAAGTGCTTAGAAAAGTGCCCAGCACGGTCAGCTATTGTGTTTTAGCTCATCACAGTTTAATCAGTACATGTAGATCTTTTAGTATTGTCCTTGAGCCAAGGATAGGGAAGACTTCTAAGTAACTCCATCTTCGGGAGAAGTATGAAATGTGCCTTTCCCTGTGGTAGGGCGGTTGATGTAACAGAAACCAAGTGAAAAGGATGATAGTTTGGAGGGCAGGGGCTAATAAGTCACCTTCTCCCTCCTATGCTGAGAGCTGATTGGTAACACCCATTTATCTGAGGTCAGGGCAGTCTGAGGAGGCTCCCCCAGTACCTGGTCCAGGCCTGGCTCTCTGTGCTGCCAGGCAAGGCCTCTCCTGCCTATCCAGCTGGCCTCTCCTGTAGATGGGGGAGGTGCTGCTCAGGCCTGATGCTGATCTCTCCTGACAGCTGCTCCTAAAGCTGGCAAGGCGGGTAGGGATGGGAGGGTGAGGGAGAGATTTAAGATTTGAAGGCCCAGCAGCCCCACCCACTGCCAGACTTGGGAGGGCAGACCTGGTGAGCATCCTCTGAGGCCATGGCTCTCATGCATATGAGAGGTCAGGAAGCTCTCTGCTCCTATCTTTACCTCTTGGTACCATGAACACCTCTAGCCCTCATTCCCTCTTCCACTCCATAGGCTGCCAGGGAGACTAGAGGCACCCACCATGCAATTTCGTCGCCTGACTCCTGGCTACTTCCGGGTGCTACAGGTAAGTAACCCCTAGCTCATGGCTCCTGGCATTGGCCCCCTTCCTCCCCCTACCATGGCTGAGGGCTGGGTTGATACCCCCAACAGCCAGGCCGTCACGTTCCCTGCCGCCTGAGCAGCCAGGGCCCAGATGGGCAGTGAAGCAAAAGGGATTGGGGTGGAATCTCCCCAGGGCACAATGGCGTCCATATCTCTCCACCAGCCTATATCTTTCAGAAGCCCCAACTGACCTCTCAGGCACACCTTCTGTGAACCCCAGATGCAGGTTGCTGGGGAGCTGAAGGCAGAGCCCCGGAGTACACTAGCTGGGGCTGTGGCAACACTGCTGGCTGTCCTTGGGCTGGGCGGCTCCTGCTATGCTGTCTGGAAGATGGTGGAGCAGCAGCGGCAGCGGCCCCAACCCCAGGCTCCACGATGAAAAGGGCAGCCACTCACCTGGGCTGTGGGGTAGGTGACAACCTGGGGGATGCGGTCTCGGGAACACGCATCTTTTCTGGAGCCAGTCCCTGCCTTCTTTGGAGTTTAAGTCTGATCCCACACCCCAATTCTCATTGCATCTGGGCTCCTCCAGTTCAGATGCCAGGACTCCTGAGGGAAAACCAGACTGCAGGTTCCAAAGCTGAATCAAGTAGAGAGTAAGCACCCTAGACCCTGGACACAGCAAGAGTAGAGAAACTCTTAAGGGGCAGGAGTTTGGGGGAGTAGCACAGGGATTAGCAAGTCAGAGGCAAGCCCCCATTATCCAGTTTTTTTATTGTGTGTGTTTGAGGTGGGAGGGTCACCCAGAAGTCAATCTACTCTCCAAATCCAGGGCTAACAGAAGTTGAAAGAGTCTCTCCCAGACTAGTCCATGCAGCACTGTCCATGGGCAGCTCTTCTGCCACGCGTGTCAGCTGGATGTATCCATCTCAGGGACGTCAGTGGACACTTCTGTGGGCACTGCCAACCGCTGGGGAGGCACATAGGAGCCCATACCTGCTGCCCTCTCGGCCTCTTTCTGACTGTAAGGCTCCACACTCAGTTGCTTCAGCCTGGGAAAAAGAAGAATAGGAATTCGGAGCTGACCAGACCCAAGCCCTGTCTGCCGCCTGTCTGCACCCATCCATCAACCCTGTCCTTAACTTCCTCATACCTTTTTTTGTGGTCTTTGGATCGGAAGTGGGTCTTCAGGTTGGCAGAATCGATGAAGTACCTCCTGTAGGGATGGGGGTAAGGAGGAGAGTAAGGAAGTGACGCCCTTAGGGTACTCCCTGATCCTAGCTCCTCTGACGCCAGGCCCCAGGCCGGTAGGGGTGGGAGCAGCAGCAGACCCACGGGGCCCAAGAGGGCACCCCTCGCGCCCCAGCCATGCCACCCTTGGTCCGTACCGCGGACCCTTCTCCTCAGGCCAGGCCCGGTCAGGACTCACGCGCAGGCCAAACAGCGATACAGGCCACACCCTGGCAGGTCCGGATCAGGCTCGGCGCCCTGGTCTGGTCGGGGTCGCCCGGGAACCTGGGGCCGCAACTCGCGGTGAATCTCATCCAGGTCCGGCCGCCGCCGCTTCGCCTTCATCTGACGGGCCAGGGAGTGTGCTCGGTGCGCGCCCGTCCGGCGGGAGCGACCCATGATTGGTGACAGCGGGGATCGGAGCCAGAGCCCAAACCTCCGCACACGTGCGGGTGTTTCCGGGCTGCTCCGTGACGTCACGCGACGGCCTGGGCGGAGCAGCTGCGGCCGACCTCCTCTGATGACGTCACTGGCGCGGGCCGCGCCTTGAGCGCCCCCAGGCGGCCACTACGTTAATGATGGAGCTCGGGGGAGGCCCTGAAGCATCCTTACCTGAAGGCTTGAGCCTACCCGCCAGCTCCCGCTGCAGGGCTCTGGGTAGTGGTGCCCCAAGGGAACTGCGGGCGCTCCCGCAAGGCCCACACGATCTCAGCGCCGTCCTCTGGCCCTCACACCCTTCCTGGTTCCTAGATCTGAGACTTCGCGGTGGGAGGAGGGGCGCATGCTTTGACCACCTCTGGAAAGCCCTGGACACTGTGACGTGAGTAAATGAAAAAATGAATGAAAGAGAGTGAATACGTTTGAAATGCCGGCCCCCACGAGACTCCCTGAGATGCCGTCAGTCCCAGAAAAAGCCCTCGCCACGGCTCATTGCTCCCCAGTTACTCCCTTGGGTCCTCACCCTCCATATGCCCCCAGCCAAATCCGTGAGGGAGAACTGTACTTGTGCAGAGAACCCAGCGTTCAGGGATCCTGTCAGTTGGAAGACGGGTCAGTTCCTCGCATAAGAAGAGGAGGTGCTCATAGAAGGACTCCCATCTTTGTCCTCTTTCTCCGAGCCCCTGATCCTGGCTGTTTAGGGGTTGTGTGCTCACAATGGGGAGAGGGCCAGGGGACCTTTCCCCATTCTCCAAAGCTTGGTGCATTCCAGGTGACCAAAAGAGCTCAGCAATAATTCAAGGGTTCCAGGTCTTTGGAACCTGTTGCCAGGAAACAGGGAGGTAGGCACGTGCGTCCCTGGGGAGAGGAATCGGTTTCCAGCCCAGACAAAGCGGTGAAATGTAAGCCCAAGGTGCAGTCTGGGGACCTGGGGACCCTCCCACTCTAGTTTACAAGGCTGAGTGGAGAATGGGGTGTGCCCTTACTGAGAGCACAGCTGGTGTGCTACAGTCACACGGGCATCAGTGCTGGGCCTGGGCCCAAAGGCTTTGTAAATGGTCTTTATGAATGGAAGAGGATTTTTCTGGAATCATTCCAAGAGATCATATTCAAGTATTACTAGGCTCAGGAGGGAGACTTCTGTGGAGAGAGACATCTTTATTATTCTTGGGCTATATGGGTCAAGACAAGGGCCTGAGGTGGCAGAGACTGGCTTTGTCCCCCCACCCCCTAGATTCCTTTGGATCAGGTTCACCTGCTGGGACTGTGCCAGCTGGGGAGGCTGGTACATCTTTAATGAAGTCACCTGATATCTCCGGACAGGCTCTGGGCCTCACCAAGTTCCTGGGGCCAGACCCATTGGGTGTCCATTCAGGTACCAACTTCCTGAACTTGGGTGCCAGGCCCATTTCTTTTGAAGCCATGAACCAGGCTTTCTGGAAAACCTACAAAACCAAGATGCTACAGACCCTGAGTGGGGAATCTGAGGAGGACCTGGCGGAGGAGGTAGATATGATCCATGCATGTTGGGTGGGGCATGGGCAGAGGGACAGCCAAGTGACAGGTACAAAGAAGGGCAAGGGACAGATTCTGAGAGAGGGGGCCATGATTGTGCAGAAGCAGATGATACATTCAGGGATGCAAATGTCATGGTGTCGTGCAGAAAGTCAGGACATTCAGGAAAGCTCAGGAAGGAGAAGACTAACTGCCAAGATCCAAGGGCTACCCAGTGAAAGAGACCCTTCTGGAAGCAGTGGGAAGTGGCCACGGGGGCATACTCAGCTTGACAACCTTTCTAAGAGGCAGGGCTATGCAGAAGAGGGATAGCTTGCCTTGAGCGGAGGTGAACCCCTAGTGCTGGAGGAAGGTCCAGTGGAGCAACACTGGACCAGAGCCATCTATGTGCCATATCTTTCCTGACTTGAAAGCCATGGAAAAGGGCCTGAAACTGGGAACATTTTACCTGTACGGGGTGTGATAAATGGAGGTTACCAAACAGATGTGGCAAGGGTCATTCTGTGGGCGGTGGGGGCTGGTGTGTGTGAACAGTGTATGTCTAAACAGATTGATGTCCACGGGTGAGCTTGTATAGATGTGCCTGTGGCTCGCAGGGGGATTGGTGTTAGAGTAGAATCCCCAGTAAAGGTGTATGTACAGGTGTGAACTGGGTGGGCATTTTCAGGTGTGTACATTTGGGGCCAAGGCCTATGCCTGTGTGGCTCTGTACACGTGTTTGCACAGTCGATTTGTATGGTGTGCGTGTACATCTGCGTCCTGCCGTCTGGATGGGGGAAGAGGTTTTGTGAGCTGTGGGGCCTGTCCACAGTGGCTTAAATGCACAAGTGTCAGTGGTATCTCTGGGTATGAGACGCTGTGCAGGTGCCTCCCAGCACATGCATCTGAGTACAGGTGAAGAGCTGGAGCCCTGTGGAGGCATGTTCATGCAGAGGTGTGTCTACATCGGCATACCCTGGTCCACACGGTCCTGGGTGTGTGTGTGCGTGCCAGTGGGTGGGCAGCCACGTGCGTGGGAATGTGCCACACTGGCCGTGTATGTGACTGAAGGGTACCTGAAAGCATTTGTGGTGGGTGTGAGGTGACTAGGTGTGTGTTTAGTTCTGTGGGGCTTAGGGTGCTTGGGTTGTGAGTTCCAGATTAGCTGTGGGAGAGGGAGGACCCATTCTTTTGGGACCTCTCTCCTACTTGGGGGGCGTGTCTTGTATCCCAGAGGGAGAACCCGGTGTTAGTGCCATCTGAGACGGCAGAACCCACTGAAGAGGCCTTCAATCCCATGTCACAGCTGGCCCGCCGGGTGAGTTCTCGTCAGAGGCTGTTGTTGAATCTTGGAGGTGGTGCTGGGGCCCTCCCCTGACTCAGCCCCTTCTTCCCAGGTTCAAGGGGTTGGGGTGAAAGGTTGGCTGACAATGTCATCTCTGTTTAACAAAGACGATGAGGACAAGCTGCTGCCACCGGAGCCCTGTGCTGATCAGTATGTGCGTGTGTTGGGGGGAGGGTGTTCTGGGACAGGTCTGGGGGTCCCCCTTCTCTGATGTCCTTTCCATCTGGTCTGTTGCCTATCTTTCTGACCCAGAGGAGGGCTGGGGCACTATTTCTGTTTCTCAGGAAGAAAGAGGCCATATCAGCATATCCAGGAGATTACACATATCTCAGAAGGAATTTACCAGTTGTGGGGATTGAGAGGCTGGAAGGTGTTATAGGCTCTCTCTCCCCACCCACTTGGGAGGGAGGTCTCCCTAGAGCCAGGAACAGAGGAGAGAACCTTTAGGTGTGGACGAGAGGGGGTCCAGATCAGTGATTCCCAAGTACAGATCTAAACGCTTATCCTGCAGGGAGCTCATCAAACACAGATTCCCAGGCCCTCCTTCAGAGGTTAGTTAGCAGGTGACCCGAGGTCTGGAACCCACGTTTTCAGCAAGTTCCCTGAGGACCAAGGCACACGAGTTCAGAAAGCCCTGTCTTAGGTCTTTGACGCTGGGGGTGGGGGGCGGTTGGGTCTCATCCTGAGTCATCCGCCTAGTGCCATCCCCAACCTTGCACACACACCCCTGGACATTTCTCTGTCTGTTCCTCTCTCCTGGAGGGGTGTCACTCTTGCCCTAGGGTATCCTCCCTTCCAGATCTCTCCCTCTGGCCTGAGGATCCTACCTCAAGCCTCCTCACCCCCCTTCGATTGTTATTCATTGTTCTTCCCCGCATATTTCCTAACTCCAGAGTCCCCTCTCCCCTAAACCTCTGACCTAGATCTTTCTCCTTCCCCGGGGTCGCACCCCCCCTTCTTCTCCCCAGTGTTCCCTCCATCCCGGTACTTGACCTGACTGGCCCCTTCCCGCCTGTCTTCAGGGCGCCACTCTTGGCCAGGGATCCCGATCCCGGCGCCCTGGTCTGTCTCGCCGCGGAGGCCTTTCCCGGCGCGCCCCGGAGCCCGCCCCGGGCCTCCAAGCCCTGATCTGCCCGGTCTCGCGGGCACCTCCAGCCCCTGGCCGGCTCTGCGCTGCGGCCGCGGACCCGCCTGGGCTGCTCGGGCCGGGTGCGCGCCCCTCGACCCCGCCTTCTCTCCGCGCGCTCTCCCGGCCTCCCGCCAGCGCCTGACCCCACCCCTCTCCGCAGCCCTCTGGCGGCGCCGCGCCCCCCGCAGGCCTCGGCGGCCGAGGAGGCCGCGCCGCGCGGGCCGGGGCTCTGGGACGCGTTCGCCAGCAGGTGGCAGCAGCAGCAGGCGGCGGCGGCGTCCATTCTGCGCGGCGCCGAGGCCGCCCGGGAGCCCGACCCTGAGGCCGGGGAGGAGGCCGCGGAGGACGCCGTCGAGCGTCGCGAGCCCCGGGAGGCTGACCCCGCGGCCGGCTTCAAGTGGGGCTTCCTCACCCACAAACTGGCCGAAATGAGGGTGAAGGCTGCACCCAAGGGCGACTAGCCGGCCGGCCGACCTGAGCCCCTGCTCTTCCTCCCGCTCCCATAAACACCCTGGCCGGACACCCGAGTGGCCGCGTGCTTCTGTCCAGACGGCGGAGAGGCTCTTTGGCGGGGGAGAGGGGCAACCTCAAGACGGGTACAGCTCGGGGGGGTCTGCACCTCCTTTCCCACAAACGTAAAGGTAGAAAATGGCCAGAGACCATTTTCAGGTATCAGGTTGGATTGTGGTCAGTTCGGGGTCCAACTTTCCAAGAAGCAGGAAGCCCCAGAGGACAGGACCTATTGCCCTGTCCAGACTTTTAATTCGAGCAACGTGGCTGAGGCCCTACTGTGTGTCCCGTGCAGCAGGAAGGTCAGAACTCACTGTCAGTGGTTCTCACACAAAGTGACGGATTGAGGAACGAAAATAGGGCTGTACTTGAGAGTGCAGAGGAGGTGAGGACGCAGGAATTCCTGAGCGAAAATGGATCTATGTAACCTTAGCTGAATGAGTGGACAGGGGTAGGTAACCCAGGTAAAGGAAGGACTGTGAACAAGACCAGTGGGAAAGACAGGTGAACCTGAGTGGCTTTTGTTTTTTTTTAAAAAAAGATTTATTTATACAAGAACTGGGGTACAGACCAGAAGTGTGGGGGGGTGATAGAATTCACCAGAGATAGAGCAGGGAGCAGAACAGGGGGATGGACCGAGGACACTGCTGAGGGGAGCAGCGGGCGAGGCAGGGGAGGTCTGCCACGCCATGTGGGACTCTCCCTGGCGGGCCGGGAATCGAACCTGCACTGCAGAGGCTGCGGACAGCTTCACAGAGCAGCGCTCAACCCGCTGCGCCACCGGGGAGGCCCCTGAGTGTCTTTGAAGGGAAAGAAGACAGTGGCAGGATGGGAGGCCAAGAGTTGGCAAAATCCTGGCTCAAAAAAGTGACCCTTCTTGTTCTCAGTTCTGGATCCTCCACCCTCCGCGCCTCCTCCTCAAGAGCCAATAGGGGGCAGCAGGACTCCAGGAACTGGGGCCTTTTAGGGGTGGTGGAGCCCAGATGCCTGGAGTGGACCCTGCCCCAGAACGGCTGCTGTGGCTCCCAGCGCTCGCTGGGACAGGCGGGTGGAGCGACCATAACAGCGTCCGCGCTAACCACTTCCGAGTGGCCACCGGGCCGTCTCCGCGGCTCGCGCTCGTTACCGGGCACCCCCTGCCCGCCGTGCGCCTTGCCCTGCGCGCCCACGGCCGTTTCAGAACCGCGTGAATGACCGAGGGGAGCAGTTGCGGCCCAGAGGCTGGGGGCCTGCTCGTCACAGAGTCGGCCCGGCACCCACACCCCAAAACCCCCGCGTAACCGCGCACACCCGCCCGCCCCTTCCTCGGCATCTGTTTCAACAACGCCTGGACTTGATCCAGCAGGTTCTCTAGCCCCCCCCCCCCGCCCCGCCCGCAGCTTCTAGTCCTCAGATCCGGGGCCGCGAGGCCGCCCCGCCCCGCGCAGAGCGCGTCTCCCACGGTCCCGCGGGAAGCCCAGGCCCGGCGGGCGGGAGGGGCTCGCCCCAGGCAGCTGCGCGCCCGCGCCCGGGGCTGCCCCCGGCCCCGCCCGCCGCCCCGCCGGCCGCGCTCACACGGCGGACTCGAGCGGCGGCGCGCGGGCGCGCTGGCAGCCGTACAGCCACTGGATGACGCGCGCGTTGCGCTCCACCACCGACACCGCGGGGCGCCCGCCGCGCGCCGAGCCCGCCGCCTCCGAGCCGCCGCCGCCCTCGGCCGCGGCCGCGCGCTCCCCGCCGCCGTCGCTGGACGTCCAGTCGCTGGCGTCCCGGGAGCCCGGCGGCGGCGGCGGGGCCCCGGGCGGGGCGGGGGCGTCGGCGCCCCAGCTCTGCGGGGAGAAGCGCTCGGCGCCCAGCAGCTCCACCAGCGCGCGCTCCAGGCCGCAGTAGTTGAAGAAGCGCTCCTTCTCCGACAGCGGCAGCGAGCACGTGGGGCACAGCGCCCGCTTGCCCGCCGCCTCCCCGGCCTCGGGCGGCGCGGCCCACGCCCCGGCAGCCGCGGGGCGCTCGGCGGGTCCCGGGCTGGTCGCGGCGGCGTCTCGCGGGGAGCCCAGGAAGAGGCGCCGCACCAGCCCCTGGCCTTTGGCGTTCTCCTTGTTCACCGAAGCCTTGCAGTCCCGCTTCTGGCGGTAGAAGATGAGGGAGTCGGGCCGAGGCAATCGTCGCCCGCTGCCACGGCGCGCGGATCTGGGTGTCCTGGGCGAGGCAGGGGGCCCTAGCTCATTGCAGGGGTGCGGAGTGAGAGGCCCAGGACCCCCGCGTAGGGCTGGCTCCTGTCGTCGTGCTATCACCTGGTGCGTCTTGACGTACTTGGCTTTGTCGGCCTCCAGCCTCTCCACCGCGCTGGGGGTGCGTCCCCTGGACAAACCGGAGGGAGAGGCCAGGAGCATCTTAGCAGGGCAGGGTAGGACTGTACCCCATAAGCCACTAGCAGGAGGCAGCTAGTTGAGCAGAGGGCAATTGGCTGGGCTCCCTGGAACCTACGAGAAAAGAGGAATGGTCATGGAGAGCAGACAGCGGCCTCGCCCCTTTCCAGCAGGCATTCCTGGGAACAGGATCGACAGCCACCCCTCCCCCATGCAAGTCCCCTAGTGCCTTGCCCTGGGGCAGAGGCCCAAGCTGTCCCTTCCCCCATCCCGCAAAGACAGTGGGCGGGAGCTCCCTGACCACTCAGAAACACATGCCTCTTCGAGGGTGCTCCAATGTGGCCACAGGACCATGCCAAGCAAGCATCAGCAAGCAGGGCACTTGGAAAAGGAAACGGGGCTGGTCCGGGCTTAATTCCCGAAAGTAGCTTCAACCGGAAAAAATACCTCTTCCCAACCCAGCAACTTTAAGTCTAAGACAAGGAGGCTTCCCAGCCACAGACTGGCTCCAGCAGGCCCACCCTTCCCGCCCCCACGCGCGGAGGTCAGGGATATAACCACTGGGTAGGAACCTCCAGTAATTGCAGCCAACTGCCCTGCCCAGGCCCAGCAGGGCCATCAGGGAAAGAGAGGGAGGTGGTGACCAGGTCATGTTGGTCAGCTACCTGCCCCAGCTCTGCTGCCCTGCCAGGGAATTCCAGAACGCTCAGCTGTAAGCATCACATTGTGTGCATCTGCGTTTCCACTTGGTAGGAGAGGAAGCTGGCCCCGAGAGGAGAGGGCTTACTCAGTGGGAGTCAGGGGTGAGGACTGGAGCCTGGGTCTCTTGCAGTGCCATCCAGAACTAGAGGCTGGCTTGCACTTTCCCAGAGCTGCCCTTTGATGCTCTGCTTCTGTTCCCACGGCTTTAAAATCAAGCAATTTCAGTTAGAGATGGGCCGTCCTGGCCTCCTGGAAAAGCTGCTTCCATGAATTCTTCCCAATAACTTGCACTCCCAGAAGTCTGCCCTCAGGGTCCTTGCCCCTTCTCCTCCTGAGACCCTCTGACCCTTGTTCTCCACCTCCCTTGTGCCAGGAAAGGGACGAGGAGGGGCTGTAAATCAAGAGCTGACAGTTCTATTGGCAGTAACAGAATGGGCCACCCACATGGCTCCGCACACCCTTCCCACCCCACCCCACCCCTGCCTCCTGCTTGCCCCGTCCTCCCTTAGGCTGAGAGGGACACGACAGTTCTGGGGGTAAAGGAACCTTGGACCTTGGGTATGGAGGTAACAAAGGAACAGAACACTCCAGGGATGGGGGAGGGTTGCCTAGCTGAGAGGCCAGGGGGCAGAGACGGTGCCAACCCCACTCTCCCCAGATTAACCTGTTCAGCTTCACACACACACACTCTCCTACTTTCTGGTAAGTCAGTGCATAGGTAGTTGGTGAGAGGCAACCCAAGTAGCAAGGGAGAGTCTGGAAGCACCTTATCTCCTGTCTCCCAAGGACTATACCAGGCAACCATCAGATTCCAAGGTCCCAGGAGGGCACCGTGGTTGTCTGACCTCATAGGTACCTTTCTGTCCCCTCCTCCTCTTCCTAGCCCTCAGCAGCGAGGCTATAAAAAGTCCTAAACACAGGGACCAAAATAGCCTGCTGTCCGCTGCCTCTTCCCTGCCCCTAGGCGGCCTTGCTGTCAGACCACAGACATTCTGCCCCAGAAGTCTAGGGGACATCCTTGTGCCCTCCATCCCTTTGTCCACCTTCTCACACTCCTGGCTTAGTGGTCCTGGCTGTGCCCAAGGCCTCAGCTGTGGAAGCAGACTGGGGGGCTGTCCTCCTTGGCTTGCAGCCATCCCCTCTGCCCACGGGTCCCTGGATGCCCACCCACCCCAGCCCTGGGTCCAGGGTGCACTCACCTCTGTGTGGGGAGGCTAAATGCAGGGGTCCCTGCGCAGGGCCAGACTGAGGCCAGGAGGGACAGCAGGGACTGGAAGTAACTTTGGTGGCAGCCAAACCTCACTCTCCACAGGAAAAGCTGAGAGCCTCCACCCCCCCAGATTAACCCTCGCCTTCCTGACCTGGTGCCTGGCTTCCATTAACTCCTTCCTGACCACAGAGTCAGTGCTGGCGAGGACCTTTGGGCCAGGTCCAGCTCCTTTCTTTTACAGATGGCCACACAGGCCCTGACAGGTAAAATGATTTGCAAAGAGGCATAGTGAGGTTGGGACACAGCCAGGACCCCAAACAACCTCTCCTGAATCCCAGGCTTCCCCCAGAGGCCTGGAGTGGGCACCACCTGTTGATGTGGGGTCAGCCCCCTCTGCTAGGCCTTGGCAGGCACTCTTGGTGAGAAGGGGAGCACAGAACTGAGTACTAGTTGACAGTGGTGCCTTTTCCTCTGCAGCAGGTTTAGACCTGTCCCAGTAGGGATGTATGGATGTGTTGAGCCTGCTCTCATGGGGTGAGGCCAAGAATCTGCAGCCTAAGGGGGTGGGAGGGCAGTGGTGCCACAGATGAGCAGGGGGAGCTTGTCCCCGCAAGTCTAGGCATGAAGGTCACCCAGGAGCCCATTGGAGGGGCCTCTCCCCCAGGTCTTCTGATGGCACATGGGATTGGCTGGCAAGAGGATGATGAAGGGATGATTCTAGCTTCCAGACTGGGTGGGTCTCCCTTCCTCCTCTGCCCTCATTGAGGCCTTCTAGATTCTGACATTTCATGTCTCGAGGGGAAGCCTCGTTCCCGTAGTACTGGTACCAGGAGGCAGCCTTCCTACCTGCAGAAGGCAAATGCCCCAGCACCCAGAGCTCCAAGACCAATCCCACCGCCCCCCCCCCAAGCTTGCCAATCCCCACAAATCCCTCTCCCTCCCTTACCTCTTTAAATGTTTGCAAAACACAAGGTTGTGATCTTTGATCTCCTTTGACTCCCCAACAACCGTAGATGGGGTTCCAGCAGGGGTGCCACTCAATGGTAAGGAAAAGGGCTCAGATAGGGGAAGAGACTCAGATGGGGGAAGAGACTTTCTGGAGCCCAGCTGCAAATCCACTGCACACTCTGCCTGTCAAGTCAGGTAATGAGCTTGACACTGAAAGCCCATGTCCTTGCAAGAGACTCTTATGACCTAATTAAAGGGAAATTCCCCCCCACGATAGGTCCATATTTTATTGTTACTACCCTTTACAAGATCTTTCAGGTACATTATCACCACTCACCCCAGGGCCATCTTCGGGGAGTAGGTTTGATTGCTTTTCAAGCTGAAGAGGCTGAGACTCGGAGAGGTGAAATGACTTTTCCAAGCTCACACCAGTAGGAAAGAGCGCTAACTTTTTTTTTTTTTTAAAGATTTGTTTATTTATTTATACAAGCACTGGGTACAGTCAGAAGCATGGGAGGGTGAGAGAATTCACCAGAGCCAGAGTGGGGAGCAGAGCAGGCAGAAGGGCCGAAGTACACTGCTAAGGGGAGCAGCGGGCGGCAGGAGAGGTCTGCGCCATGTGGGACCCTCCTCCGGTGGCCGGGGAGCAGCTGGGAATCGAACCAGCGCTGCAGAGGCTGCGGGCAGCTTCGCAACCCAGTGCTCAACCGCTGCGCCACCAGGGAGGCCCAAGATCGCTAACTTTTAAGATGAGATTAATATAGGCTAGGGGCTGTTCTGAGCACTTCGCACAGGGATTAACATGTTTAATCCTCAAAAACAATCCAGTGAAACAAGTGCTTTCATTCTCTTAATTTTACAAAGGATGTTTGGGGGTGCAGACCATTGGCCCTGAGATCTGGTCATAAAAGGGTTAAGCATGGAGGCTGGGCAGGGCCCAGCTGGGATGCTGTCAATGGCAGGAAACCTGGCCTGTGCCGGAGGGGGAGGATGGGGCTGTTGTGTCTGACTCCTGATACAACCCCCATCCCTTTGGTCTTAAAGGAGCATCCGGGTTGGGTGGAAGGGCAGGCAGGGGCCCCCTTCTCATCCCTTTCCAGGAACGAAGGCCAGATGCTGGGCTACAGAAAATGGGGCTTCTTAGTGCAACGCAGGGGCTGCCCTGGGCAGCCCCTGGACTGAGGAGGGTCACCAGAAGTGACCCTGCGGCCCCTCCGGAGCACTCTGTGGGGCGAGACACAGCCTCAGCCCTGGGAGCTCCCAGTGCAAGGGTGGGGGACGCAGCTCTGCCCTCAGGGGTCTCCAGTGGTGAAAGAGCCTGGTTCTCAGAAGCTCCCAGGCTACAGAGAGACAGGACTCTGTCTAGGATGCCAGTGGGCCCGACCCCCCACCATTTTGGTAGGGCAGAGTCGCGAAGGGTAGTCAACTTGGGCTTTCCTCTGGGTGAGAGCCCTGAAAGAGTTAGCGGGCCCGGGAAGCAGGTGAGGAGTAAAGAAGTAGAGCTGCGTCCTGCCTGTGGCCTGGTGGCTGCACTTGCTGTGAACTGGATCATCTGTCTTTGTGGTGTTAAGGGTCCCCAGGGAAAGCCTTAAAGTGGCTCCTTCCGACTCTAGAGCCAGGCAGAAAGAGAGGCCAAACCTGAGTGATGTTTCCTGCCTGTTTCCGAGCTCATTCCCGGATCACCTTGAAGGCTGATTGGAATGGGCCTGAGTCAGAGCCCACTTCTCCCAGGAGAGAACTGGGAGAGATGGGGGAGCAGCTCTGGGCATAGTGAGACAGGCCAGAGGCTCTTCAGATCCAGTCTCAGACCCAGGCCCAGACCCTCGCTTGGCAGAGGAGAAATGTGTATCACCCTCATCAGCCAGCGACGCCCCCAGCATACCCCTCTGCCCTGCCTCTGACTCTAACCCTGGTCCTCCCTCACTGTGTGGCCTCTGACAAGGATGTAGCCTCTCTGGATCTCCTTCTGTGTGGGCTGGAGTGAGACCCTGCTCTTAAATGGCACAAAAGCATTGGCTGAGAAGGCAGAGGTGCTGGGCAGATGTTAAACCAGCTGCCTCAGCGTGGCCCAGCAGCAGCACTTCGCTGACACCACTGGTCTGAATCCTCCTCTTCTCACCCCACAGTGGCTCTCAGCTGTTGTCAACAAATCATGTTGAACAAGGTGCGGTGCAGGGGCTCAGCAGCTGGATCAGACACAGTTTTGGTGTCAGCCTGCGGGAGGTCGGGGGCAGCGGGTGTGTGAAGGACATTCGGATAGAGACAAAGCACAGAGCAGCACTGTGATGGCCGAAGGACAAAGCAGGGGGTATTGGGGTGCATTTGATTTGCCCCATGGGGCAGGAAGCTTCCAAAACTTCCTGAAAGGAGTTTCTGGGGATGGTGGGATGGGAGGTGGGAGGTTAGGAGGTTGGAGGCTAAGGAAAGGGTTGCTGGAAGACAGGGGAGAGGCTCAGGTGAGCTTGGAAAAAAGGTGGGGTGCAGAGAAAGGAGGGTTCTGTGAGGAGATGGATTCAGTGAGGTGATGGGAACCCTGAGAAAAACCAGGCTGGACATGAGAAAAGGGCCTCAGGAGGCCCAGCCAAGGGAGAGGGCTCAGCGGCAGCGGCTGTAAGGCCCAGCAGCCTGGCCAAGGCAGAAGCCCCCCAGCTGGCCGCGTGTGAGCCCCCACAGAGATGAGAGCAGCTCTCCTTTCAGGCAGGGCTTTCCGTTGCGGAAAGAATCTCAGCCGCAACAATAGCCTGGCTGCAGTGCCCTCTCCCCGCGAGGGGTGTGGCCGCTGCTTGGAGCCAGCGGCATCACTGCCCAGTCCGAGCTGTGGGCAGGAGAGGAGGGGCACAGTGGGCGAATGGAGGGGAAGGTGTCGTCAGTGTTTTTTTCCTGAACACCTACACGTTGCTAATGAACTTTGCTAATGAGTGGGTGAGTAGAACAGTGTTTCTCCTTTTAGAGGTCTGGCTCGGGTGCGAGTAACCCCACCATTTGCCCAGCGCTTACACTGAGGCGTTATGCTAGGTGCTTCTGCTCGCTGCCTCAGGGGCTTCTCACAAAACCCTATGTGAAGCTGTAAGGGGAAGACAGGAGCTCCAGCCAACAAAGTCCAGACAGGAATGGAATCTTAAGGGTGAGCTTTAATCAAACAGCCGCAATCTGAAAGACAGGGTGGTTAACACCCTAAAGACACCGGCTTAACATTTCATTTCCAGCTGGCTTTTATTTTTTTTTTATAACTTTTTTTTTTAAGATTTATTTTTATTTATTTATTTATAGAAGTACTGGGTACAGTCAGAAGCGCGGGAGGGTGAGAGAATTCACCAGAGCCAGAGCGGGGAGCAGAGCAGGCAGAAGGACCGAAGTACACTGCTGAGGGGAGCAGCGGGCGGCAGGAGAGGTCTGCGCGCCATGTGGGACCCTCCTCCGGTGGCCGGGGAGCAGCCCGGGATCGAACCGGCGCTGCAGAGGCTGCGGGCAGCTTCGCAACCCAGCGCTGTGAAGCTGTCTGCAGCCTCTGAAGTGCCGGTTCAATTCCCCGCCAGCCAGGGAGATTCCCACATGGCGCAGCAGACCTCTCCTGTCTCGCCCGCTGCTCCCCTCAGCAGTGTACTTCGGTCCTTCTGCCTGTTCTGCTCCCTGCCCTATCTCGGGTGAATTCTCTCACCCTCCCGCGCCTCTGGACTGTGCCCCAGTGCTTGTATAAATAATAAATTTTAAAAAAGATTTATTTATTTATGCATATAAGAACTGAGGTAGAGGCTAGAGGTGGGGGTGGAGATGGCGGGGTGGTGAGAGGATTCACCAGAGACAGAGTGGGGAACAGAACAGGCAGATTGACTGAAATACACTGCTGAGGGAAGCAGTGGGCGAGACAGGAGAGGTCTGCTGCGCCATGTGGGTCAACTCCCCAGCCGGGGATCGAACTTGTGATCAAACTTGTGCTTCAGTGGCTGCCCATAGTTTCATAGTGCTGCACTTAACCCCTTGTGCCACCAGGGAGGCCCCTCCAGCTGGCTTTTTATAGTGAGTTGAATAAAGACAGTCGTTCAGCAGTTAGTCCCTCACCATGGCCAGGAGCTCGTGATGTCCAGCCCTGGAGCTCCTTATCACCCTCCTGGACACCTGGCCTCAGGCGCGCCCCACCATGCTGAGGCTTCAGATGGCAGTGGCTCCCACACTCTCCAGATGTGCCCTTGGGCTAGAAAATTATCTCAGAGCAGGCAGGCCATAAACAATGTGTGTGTGCAGATTTCTCACTCTACCAGGAAGAGTGTCCTCCCCCTCTCTCCCCCTCCCTAGCCCCTGTCAGAGCTGGTGAGGAACCGGGGGCAGCTAGCGTGAAATAACTCACCGGGTCACCTAGCTGGCAGATGGTTCAGGAACGCCTGCTCTGAGTCTACCTCCCGAGCAGCTCGTGACCCGCTGGCCTTGCTGCTCTGTTGCCTCGGTGGAACTTCAGGGCCCTGGACGGGAGCAAGGGTCGGAAGGAGGGCAGCCGCCATCGCAGACCTCACGCCACCCTGTCTCAACATCTTCATCCACATCTCCAGCAGCCCCACCCCCAGCCCTGTCTTCATCTGGGTGCCTTCAGGTGCACTGCAGGGAACGAAACATCCGATCTAGAAGTCAAGTGGGGAACACAGGAGAGAGGGGTTTCTGTGGCAAGAATTCTACCCTCTGCCTGGACAAACATTTCATAAATTTTTGTATCTTTACTCCACAAGATCTATTTTTCTTGTCTTGGTGTTAGCACGATGACTAATTTTGTTGTTGCAATTACAGTTTTACATGTTTTATGTTCACCTGACAGTAATGCCTCATTAGACAGTCTCCTCGGTCTGGTTTTTTGGGGGGTTTTTTTGGATTTAGTTTTTAAAAATTTCAGTTGAGTGATATTTTGCTCTGCTGAGCTAGTAGCAACCAGAATTGAAAATAAAATTCTGAAATCCATACTTAAGTTTAGAAACGATAATTTATCATTTCTATCATATAAATCCTATCTCATACCACACCATCTCGTTAAATAACAGAATGTCTAGAATCATAACAGCAAAGAATTGGCACCAAGCTTCCTGCCTATTATGCCTAGTCTTCATATAAAAATGTTAAATAGATTGCTTAATGTTGCAGAATGTTCCTTGGCCGCCATACACCATCACATGCCATGATTGCAAATGCCCCGCTACCGACTAGAGCATAAAAATGGACGTCCTGTCTTTGCTGGGAACAATACTTCTTCACGCGGGATCCTATGGTATTCATGCCCTCTGAGAGGAAGGATTTGACAAGTTAATTAATTTGTCCTTTCTCTTACCTAAGTGCTTGCGCCACTTGTCTACCTCACACTCCGCAGCGGCCGTCTGCCACCGAAGGGGAGGCACAGACCTGCCTGGTGTTTGGGTGCAGAGAGTAGTGTTTTGTCTTGAGCGCAGCGCTGAAATGGTGGAAGGTATGGGAACAGGTGTTGAGGGTTGTGGTGAATGCTGTGCAGCCTTGAGCACCCAAGTAACCAATATCTCCATGGTCTTTAGTAAGTGAGTTTTGGGGGGCTTTTGATAGTGGGGCCCCTGCAAAGGAGAGTTATAAGGTTGGCATTGAGTGGTGGCCAGGGAGGTGCTCTGTCACGTCAGGCATGACCTACCTGGGATCTACCCTTTTTTTTAAGGATTTATTTTATTTATTTATGCATAGAACAACTGGGGTGTAGGCCAGAGGTGTGTGGAGGGGTGAGAGGACCCACCAGAGACAGAGTGGGGAACAGAACAGGTGGATCTACTGAAATACACTGCTGAGGGGAGCAGCGGGTGAGACAGGAGAGGTCTGCTGGGCCATGTGGGTAGATCCCTGGCTGGTGATCGAACTCATGCTGCAGTGGCTGCCAATAGCTTGAAAGTGCTGATACTATAACCCCTGCAGCACCAGGGAGGCCCGATTTACCCTTTTATATGTGAGGAAGGCAATGCCATAGAAGGTGGAGGCTGAGCACTGGGCAGATACCTGCAAAAGTGGTATTATACCCGCCACCCCTAATATCACCCTAGCACTGTAAGTAACCCTTTAGCACACCGGCATTGTGAACACCTGTGGCTTTTGCCTTTCAGCTATGACTCATCTTTCTTCCTGTGAGCTTACCCTAATCTTAGTCACCCCTCTCTCCTGGTCTGTGCTCCCAGCTGGGGTAACTTGACTCAGCATGGGGCACTTGACCTAGGCTGGTGTCAAAACACCTATCACATTTCTCTGGCCACAGTACTTCATTTAAAGTGGACACATAACTCAACATAGCCAAGGAGACTTTTGCTGAGACCAAAATGTTCTCTCTTCCCTGCTGTGCCAGAACCTGGGAAGACAGATCTCTAGGACCCTGAGCCAGGAGAGCTGGGGCAACAGCACCGAGGAAGCAGCTTGGAGAGTGGGAGTAGGGGCGGTGAGAAAAGCAGCCTGGATGAATGGGATCTCTGGAAAGTCACCTCTGAAGCCAACTTCTACCTGGTGCTACAGCTAGTGAGCCAAGGCCTTTCCTCCTGACCTTGTTTGGATGATTTTTGAACACTTCCAAGTAAGAAAAAACAGAAGAAAACACATCGTTCTCTTTGACGCTAGGGTCACCCCCAGTGCCTGTTTCGTTGAACACATCTCGGTTTGCTCACTCTTCTGATTCATCTCCATGCAAACTTCCAGGAATGGTCACCTGGAAGGGAGCTGACCTGAAAGAGCAGCAGTCCCGTGAGGGGTCAGGAGACCAGAGTTCTGGGCCTGACTTTACCTGGTCTCACACCTGGGCTGGAGCAGCTCACTTACACTCTTCAGCCCAGAGTCTGACCTGTTCAAAGAAGAAAGGTGGTGGCTTTGGATCAGCGGTTCCCAAATGCCTTTCCTTAGGTGGATTTCATAATTCACTTTGTTGTTTTTTTTTTTTTTGAAGATTTATTTATGCATACAAAACTGGGGTATAGGCCAGAGGTGCGGGGGCGGGGGTGAGAGGATTCACCAGAGACAGAGTGGGGAGCAGAACAGGTGGATCGACTGAAATACACTGCTGAGGGGAGCAGCAGGCGAGTCAGGAGAGGTCTGCTGTGCTATGTGGGTCAGCTCCCTGGCTAAGGATCGAACTCTTGCTGCAATGTCTGCGGACAGTCTCATAGTGCTGATTCTTAACCCCTTATGCCACCTGGAAGGCCCCCATAATTTACTTTGTTAACAAGATACTTGTTAACAAAATGTTTGCCAGGCCTCCACTCTCCAAGAACCTAATTTAATAGATGGGGGGAGAGGGGAGGAATCAAGGAGGAAAGACTGCAACCCTGATCAGACTGATGTCATTGATATGTGTGTCCATATTAGAGGCGTGCATACCAATTGGAGTCTAGATTTAAAGTATCACCTCTTGGGCCTCCCTTGTGGCGCAACCAGTTAAGATGCAACCCATGAAGCTGTCCGCAGCCTCTGCAGCACTTGTTCGATCCCCGGCCGGCCAGGGAGCAACCCACATGGCGCAGCAGACCTCTCCTGACTCGCCTGCTCCTTCCCTCAGCAGTGTATTTCAATCAGTTGCCTGTTCTGTTCCCCACTCTGTCTCTGGTGAGTCCTCTCACCCCCACACCTCTGGCCTGTACCACAGTTCTTGTATGCATAAATAAATAAATATTTAAAAAAATAAAGTATCACCTCTTGCTCTTGTTAGTTGCTCTAACAGTTTGCTTGGTTGGTTGGCTAAAAGGTCTACTCCACATGCCCTGGATTCAATAGGTGGAGATGCCTGCATTTCCCTGGTTAATGCCCTAATGACTAAAAAGATGGGACTGTTGGAGAAGATTTAGCACATGAAATTGCACATACCCACTAATCCCACCACGTATATTTCCCAAGAGAGCTCCAAGGGTACTTTCTCACCCCAACCAGAAGAGTTCAAAGTCAGGTGCAGCAGGGTGAAATGATAACCAGATTGTTTTGACTTGCAGGGACCTTTGATTAGAGTGTCCCTAGGAATGACATAATGAGCATATGCTTATCATTTATATACTATTATTGAGTTGTATCACAGGAAACCCTATACCTTATGACTAGAAACCTAACTTGACTATGGTCAGCTTATTACCAGATACAAGCCAGTTCAAAGCCCTTAAGTCCTGACTGAAGGCCAAGTCTCTCTCCTTTTTTTAAAGATTTATTTGTTTATTTATACAAGCACTGGGTACAGTCAGAAGCGCGGGAGGGTGAGAGAACTCACCAGAGCCAGAGCGGAGAGAACAGGCAGACTGGTGAAGTACACTGCTGAGGGGAGCAGTGGGTGGCAGGAGAGCTCTGTGCGCCATGTGGGACCCTCACCCGGTGGCCGGAGATCAAACCGGAGCTGCAGAGGCTGACAGGCAGCTTCGCAACCCAGGTTCAACCGCTGCACCACCGCCACCCGGGTAGGCCCCAGGCCAAGTCTCTTAAGGGAGTACCTTGTAGCACTTGCCAGAGCTTCTACTAGAAATCTCCCTCTCAGGAAGGGGAAGAGAAAATCCAGACATTTTCGGAATGACTAGAGTTGATGCTGTTATCTGGGAAGCCCAGATTAAACATGTCCAGTGCTGCACCTCCCCCTGCAGTGACCTTTAGGGCTAATGGCTTTCGCCAAGGTCCCTAGGTCCGGCTGGGCAAGGAACCAGCGTGCAGGGGGAGAACAGCAAAACTCCCTAAAGCAGGGGAGTACATCAAAGTTCCCTGAAGACATGGATAAGACAGAAGCCTATCAAAGGATTACGACCACCAGGAGCTAAAACCTTATCTCATCTTTCTAGAACTACAAACTTTATCCCTTCATTGTCTTTCTAAAACTTCCTTCTTTCTTCTATAAAGGTCATTTGTTGTTAATTAAAAAATCATATGAAATCCTTAACACAAGGCTGACTCAAATGAAACGTTACTAAACCCTGTAATAATTGAAATATAGTTTAAGTGAAAAAGTAGCTAGTAAAACAAAAAATGCGATCATATAGCTTAAAAACAAAACTAATGGATTATCTACTTAAGAAAGAGGCTAGGTCCAGATGTAAAGCACTCAGCAATAAGCTAAATCCATTCACTGCTCCTGTATATATTCTGGCAACTAACTCAAATAAAATCGCACTCAGATTTACACTCTCTCTTGAAGTGTGTCTGTTTGTCATTTCTTCAGCGGAATCCCTGACCACCCTGTGCAGTCTCTCAACCCTGAGACGGCCTCATCGTTCACTGCTGTGCTGGTCCGCGGCAGTCCAGAACTAAACTATCTCCTGTTGGCCCAGTCTCGTCCACCATTGCCTTCCTCATCTCTGTCGATCTTCTCCATCTCCACGTCCTTTCACTTGCAGGAGCTGGAAGCTGACCGTGAACTTGGACACATCTCTGTCTTTCCTATCCCATGTCTGTTCCATCAAGGGCGTGAGTTGGCTCTATCTTGAGGGAACATCCAGGCTCAGATCGGTGCTCCCCCCTCCCCTACGACTACCCTGGCCCAAAACATCACCGTTCCTGCCTGGATTATTGCAATCGTCTAAGTCTCTCTTCTCCTAACTGCATCTCCCAACAGTCTGTTCTCCCCATAATTAAATCAATCCTTTAAAATGTGTCCATCATGTTTCTCTGCTCAGAACTCTGAGAAAGGCCCTTTTCACCAGAATCAAAGTCAAAATTCCGAGTGACTCGGAGGCTTTCCATGACCTGGCTCTGATAGCTCTCTGGCCTCCCT